ATTTTCTGTTGTAAAACATAATCATAGGTTGCCTTAATTCAGGCAAAATTGTTTCCTGCTCCACCCAGCGGGGCAACTTGGAATGGCAACTTCCAATCAGATCAGAAGTTGCCCGACCACCAAATGTTATGTGATCATTATGCCAATTATTGTTCTTCAGTTACCTAAAATGTCATTGGCTATCCAAAACTCTATAATTCATGGCACATGTATCGATACAATGCTTCGTCACTAGATGTGTAATGATACATTGGTCCGTGAGTTAATATCGTTCTTGCCATCGATACATGCGTCAAATCGTTTGTAAAATAATCAACTTTTAATTTTTTTCTTCTCTGGTTGCCTGGTCCCTTCTGACCCACCAGAGGTCGCTGCATTTACAACATAAATTAGATTTGAAGCATTCGTGACTGCAGGAATTACTCTTTGGTTCTTTCGGTAAAGTCACGTAGAAAGAAATTAAATAATAATAGAATACGACGTTTCGATTGCAACACAAGCAACCATCATCAGGTACAAATGAATGAGAAAACAAACCTAGTAAACTTGGAAATATAATGCAATACAACACAGAGTCGGCCAACACAACAGTCAACACCCCACCTGGTTGATTACGTTCTTCCAAAGATTGCTAAATTTGAGAGAGAGACAAAACACAGACACGGAGACACACAGACAGACACACAAGCAGATAGAGACTCACACAGAGACAAACAGAGAGACACACAAATTTAGCAATCTTTGGAAGAACGTAATCAACCAGGTAGGGTGTTGATTGTTGTGTTGGCCGACTTTCTGTGTTGTATTGCGTTATATTTCCAAGTTTACTGTGTTTGTTTTCTCATTCATTTGTACCTGATGATGGTTGTATGTGTTGGAATCGAAACGTTGTATTCTATCATTTAATTTCTTTCTACGTGACTTTACCGAAAGAACCAAAGAGTCATTTACAACATAGTTGAAAAAAAAATGAATTCCCTAACCGAATTTCAATTTAGAATTGGGACATTTCATTGCTTCATTAAGGGAGAGGGGCGAGGGAAAGAGTGAATCATTGCAGCTGTAGCCGTCTGCGATGCTTGACCTGAAACTAAAAACTAAGCAAATGATAGCTCATCAAGGAGAAGTGACTTATCACGTGGAAATTTCTCCCAGCCATATACTCTGCATGATTCTAAATGTGGAGGGGAAAACTGGAGGACCCGGAGGGTACCGTATGTGGTCGGATATCTGAAAAGCGGCTGCACTGGGCCTCCCCCTGCTGGCTAATGAAATGGAATGCACCGAGCCACCCCCCCCCCCCCCCCCCCCGGGTATCTGACCCGGTGAAAGACGCGAGTCCGAGGCGCTTTCCTCTTACACAACAACAACAATGGGGGGTGCCGCCTTGGTGGTTGGGAGTTAACGGTCTCTGGCAGCGTTTCGTGCATTTTTTGCGCCGAGAGAAAGGCACGTTGGGTTGGTACGCGGTCGCCCCCCCCCCCCCCCCCCCCCCCCGTGAAAGGCTGTTGCCCACTCTTAGGCGTTGCCAAACGGTGCCATTCGGTTTATTTTGGGGGGGGAGGAAATTAAGGTGAACTCGTCAATATAGCTCGGGCCGTCGGAACATGGGCCCCGATCAATCCACTGCTGGATGATGGCCTCACCCCAAGCTGGTCACCTCCTTGAACAGTTCTGAAATGCAACAATAACGGCGTTCACAGCAATGCTGACATGTTGTCAGCCGTGTCTCCTTGGTGCGGCGAAATGTCACGCGCCACGCAGTCCCAGCTACATTATGTGCTCGTCAGTAAACCGTCTTAAACCACCACACCTCCGTACAAACTGAAGTTATTATGCTTAACTTTTATAGATATATGTGTATTGTGACAATGTGACTTTCTGAGCACTCAATAACACAATTACAAACTGTATGATGGGCTAAATAGGTTTTCGTGGAAATGATGTTGAGAACACTGATACACAGCAGGTTACCCTACCCCTCAACGCTCCCGCTATTTCGAGGACACTGTAACAACGCGAGGCACCGTGTGTGAGGCTGTAAAAACGCTACCCGAGGATTTTCACCCATTCCATTCCCTCCCCTCGACCGCTCCTCTTTCCTCCTACCTCCTTCCCCCCTCGCCCTTCCACCATCATCGCCCCCCCCCCCTCCTCCCGACCCCGTTCAGCGGGAACACGGCCGGGAGCCGGGAAAATCTGGACCGGGACACAACTGAGACGGAGTCTGTGGTATCGGCGAGGAGGGAGAGGGCACGCAGGAAAGACCGACACGATGGAGGTAACGCGTCGCTGTTTACATCGCTGTCATCCGCCAGGGTTATCAACCGATGGTTTAAAAAATATTCGAGAATCATTATTTTTTTTATCTATTACAAAAGTCACGGAGTCGATAATCGTATCCACTTCAACTTAGTTGGGGGGGGGGTGGGATTTGTATATATCGCGCGCTTAAAAGTTTTGGCCACTTGAAGCACCTTACATTAGAATCGGTATAATTATTTAAACTGCAGGAACAACAGCAAACAATACAAAAACACACAATAGGAGTGCAAAATCGAGAAAATGGTAGAAGCAAGTCACTAAATATAAGTAAAAAATACATTAATTATTGGTAAGTCCGATTTATCAAGATTGGGCAAGGCAGCAAAAACAACAACAACAAAACAGTGCCAGACCACACCAAGATAACTCCACACAGCAGTATTCTCTCAATCAAGTGGCACATTAACATTGAACTACGTAATGATCAAAAACATCACACATCTCATCCCAGCCATCCCATGGCCCATGTGTTCAGTCCAGTCCAAAGTGATCTCCACGAGCAACCATCCCACTGCGCGCTGGCTTTGAGATTCTTCCTTTCCCATTAACAAAGCTTCAAACGCGCTTGTTAGAGCCGGGGACACACAGCTTCGCTTTGCATCTTCTGCATTTAAAGATGGGTTTGTTCAGGTGATGAAAATCGATTCGTTACACTCACGGTACACGAGCATTAATTGTACACGTGTGAGAATTGATCACGCGTGATCTTTGCAAATCAGATGCAAATAGGATGATATGCTAAAAATATATTTATGCAAATAGACCGATTAAAAATTGTATGCACACCACAGAAAAAATTACTAATTTAAAGGTGATGCTCTGAATGAGACGAAAACATGGAATTGCTTCACCATTTGAATCGTGCCTCCGAATCGTGACATCTTCATCGAACCGCTGAGTCGGTAAGGGAGGTGCAAGCCATTACACGTATCTACACAACAGGAGCATTTTGTCTTATTTTCAGGTTATTTCCTTTTTTTAAATCCTTTATATTAAGTTCGCTTGCTTGCGTGCTTGCATGCTTGCTTACGACCGTGCAAACCTTTCTGTCGTTTTTTAACCCACTTCCCGTGATCCAATCGAGCTGACATTTTGCACACAGACTCGTTGTGCGAGACAATTAATGTTCGTGAAATTTTTTTTCCAAAATTGTACACTGTTTAGGGAAAACAAATTAAATATTTAATTACCAATTGTTTAATACTGCAGACAATCATCTGACCCATAGGTGGCAGCCATCTCAAGCCAGAGGACGAGAGGACTCTAGCCGCCACGCATATAAAGGATTTAGAGTGAAAAACTTTGTTTTTACGGGTTATACTTATTTAAGGTGCAGCTACATCAGGTGCAACAGGAAAAGGGATAAAGTCCTAACCACGAAAGGGAGAGAGAGAACGAGCGAGCGAGCGGTAAAAATAAAAAAAGAACTCTAATGTGCGTTGAACCTGTTGGAAGCTGAAACGCCGGAGTCTTTGTGTGAAAAATAATCCGACGCTACTTTGAGGGCCACCGTTGCCCCGGGGAGGGGTGGATGGTGGTGGTGGGGGGGGGGATGTTGGGTTGGTGAGCGTCTCTTAACGGCAGTTTATCATCGTCAAAAAACCTCTCGCCAATTATTTACGAGCCTTCCCCCCCACAACTCCCCCCCCCTCACTGTTTGTCTTCCTAAATGCAAGCGCTCACCTTAAAATCTTTACAGTTGGAGCATCGAACGTTTTAACGGCATAACATCCAAACGGTTAGGCAATCCGCAGCGCTGTCGCTGGTCGTGTGCTAGGCGAGGTAAACCCGCCCCTCGCTTTCTCGGAGTGGATCGAGGGAGAGAATGTATGGGGTCTGTTGCGCCAACTGGGAGATCGATGGTGGGGTGGTGTAAGAAGGTAGGGGCGGGGTCCGGGGTTTGGGTTGGCTGGATGTGTGGGGGACGGTGGAGCGAGCATTGCCCAACATGATCGGTGCCAAGTAGGCGACATGTTAACTACCTCGCCTGGTATACAGGAGGTCGTGCGGTTTGATCCCGACCCTGATGCCTGCTGTATATTTGGAGTTTGCATGTCTCTCTCCCCGTGGTCACATGGATTTTTCTCCTGGTCCTCTGGGTTTTCCCTCCATTTGGCTGCTAGCAACTTCCACGTGATTAGCCACTTTTTTTTTTGCTATCATCTGTGGCCAGCTCGCTTTTGAAAAAGAGCTATATAGCTCAGTGGTAAAATAAAATAAAAAATAGTTTGATCAGTAGGCGTGTAACGATTCACGATTTTACGAATTGCAGAGTTGTCGAGCCACAGACCCAAAGGTTCAAACATTAAAACGTCCAGCAACAAACAGCCCTATGAGAATCAAACCTGTAAACGATTACACAACCCGTCGTAACAAAATATTATCTCGTGCCGATGAGTCTAAATTCAAATGAAACGGGTCCGCAGTTGTCTTCCACTGTGGCAGTCAGTCGGTCACTTAGGCTCAAATTTATTTGGACGGTGACCTAAAAAAAGAGAACCATGATGCACCACTTCAGTTGGTTGTTGTTTGCGTTGAATCGGCAGCGTGAGGGGAGTGATGTCGTGAGGGCAGTGATGTCGGGCGAGGGTTTGCTTAGCGTGGCGCTAAGTGGCTGAGGTGCGTGTGGGGGGGACGGCACAAGCCTCCTATTGTCGCTAGGAATGTGCCCGTGGCACGAGAGAGAAGGTGGTGGGGGGGGTTGCGGGAGGAGAAGCCACGACGCTGGCTTTCTCTCTCTCCTTCATTCGCTCGCACCGTACTGTGTGCCCCCGAATTGGCCCAGCTAGGGCTTTGCCTTACTCGGGTTACACGCTGCTGCTGCGTCGCTTCCATCTCCTCCAGCTCCTCCTCCTCCACCGCTTCACTGTGCTTGAAGAGTATCGTCCCGCGAGCATCTCCAGAGCGACAGCAACGTGCGCACCTGGGATATCGATTGGAAGACGACGACGACGGCACGGCGCATTGTTCCTGACGTCTCTTTCCGTCTTAAAATTCTTCCCGTTTAAAGGCATCAAGAGCCCCTTTTTAGACCCGTAGCATTTTTTTTTTATCTACCGCACCCGGGGGACCCTTGTTGCGAGGACATGTTTTGTTGCCTTTGCCCTTCTGTCCGAGTGAAAGCCGGAGGAATGTAGAAGAAGAAGACAAGAAAACAAGAAAAGCAATGACAAAAACAGCTCCTGCCCATTTCCTGCGAACGCGGTAGACTCGTCTGTTGACGTGAGTTGAGCGAGCGAGCGAGCAAGCGAGGCTTTTCACGTCTGGGGACAGTCGCAGAGTTGGCGTGCTGTGGCTTGACCGCCAACTTGGATTAGCGACGAGCCCCTGGGGGTGGAAGCGCGACCGGCCGTCACGATAGCGATGAGATACGGGCCTCGCTGCCACAGCGCCCCATCATCATCGCACCTGTGCCGATTGATCGCTGCTAATTATCCGTCCCGCCTGCCGGCTCGCGTAAATTTGTAGCGGAGGGAACCTGTCGGACGCGCGCGGTGGTCGTTGGTCGGGAGGAGGCGAAGGGTGGCTCGCCACATCACAAGGCCCAGCTGCCTCTCGCCCCCCTTGGGACTCCGCGGGGTGCCACCGTGGATCCTCGCATGTCGCCGCGGGTGCCCCTGGCGAGGGGATCGCCACAGCTAAGTCTAAAATTATCCGGCTCGCTGGTGAAACTGTAGGCGAGGGGGGCCACCCGAGTGTGGGAGCTGGGAAGCTGCGGTGGAAATCATTAACCAGAAAAAGCGTGAAGCCTCGTTGGTTTTTATTTAAACTCGTAGCAGGTTCTTATACTGCAGGAAGCTGCTTTAGCCGCCTGTAACGGAGTGTTCTGTGCTTCTCATGGAGAGTGCTCGACGCTATTTTAGGGCCCAAGTCCATTGGTATCCTTTCGCCGGAGCTTTGAATTAAATCCTCGGTTAAACAAAGGGATTTGGCAGACTCCGTGTTGAACTGCTTGAGGCCGTTTGGGTCAGGACGACTTAAGAAGTTGACATCCAGTTTCCAGGGACTCGCCACTTCCAACAACAACACTTCCTCTAAGAACAACAACTGCAACGCTCAACGACAACAACAACATTTCAACCTTTCACAACTTTGTCTGGCGTCACGAGGAAGCATGAAGTTGCCACGTGGACGGCAAACCGGCGGCATTCGTCCTTGCGTCCTTTCGCCCATTACTTCGCGACGCGCAGCGCGCGGATGGAACCATCTTTGAACCGCAGCCGAGCGCGATCTCCGGCGGGCACGTGTCGCGGCGCGCCAGAACGCTAGCGCCGGCGAGACGATGGCGGCGCCCAGGTGACTCGCAAGCCGCACCCACCGCGGGCGCCACGAGCCGCCGCCCGGACCCTCTCAGCGATGACCCTGCTGTGCTTCGGGAGGTTGTGCCACCGGCGCAGGGGCGGCCGCTCGTCGACGAGGCGGCGCCCACCCCGAGAGCCGCTGGCGGTGGTGACGGGAGAGGAGTCCGTCGTGACCACCGCCGCCGTCACCGCCCGATCGCGCAAACGTACGTAGTAGCGCCCCGTTTCGGCGCATAGGTTTATGCCGGCGCATCGAGCCATTTCTTCTCCTCCCAAGCCCTCTTCAACCGCCGAAGATGCTCGCAGGAGTGCAATGGCGAAAGCGTGAGGGAAGAGATGCTGAACACCGCGGTCTAACCCCCCCCCACCCCCGCATGCGTAAGCCCCGGTACGGTTACGGCGGTCAAGGAGTTTCCATCGCGTCCGGTTACACGCAGAGCCACGGCTTACACCGCCACGGCACGACCGTTTCAGCCAAAAGTAAGGATGGGTTACTCCTTTGCTGTTGGGGGTGTGAGAAATAGGCGATGCGGGGGGATCGTGCGTTGGACTTCTGCGTTCGTTCTGACGCGGGTGGAATAACTGTTTTATTGGCGAGTAGTGTCAAGAATCGAGCTGTAGGTTAACATTTTTTTACGCTCGTGATGCATGCATCGAATTGTTCTTCGGATTATATGCAAATCTTATCATCATGCTGCATTTGCACTAATGGAACAGACAGTGTACAAATTCGATTTTTTTTTTGTATTATTATAAAGTAACAACGAAATGGCAAAAAAATAAAGGGAATCAATTGTTGAATAGTCACTGCAGGTCGCCAGAATGAATGAAATCTGTGGGTGGTGGATTATTCCATGCTAATGGATCGCTAGTGAATCCGTCTGATGAGCGAGTGCCTACAAGTGTCACCCATTCTACTTGTTTCCTTTTCAGGTCACGGTGTTGTCAATGAATGACTTGAGATGTTTGTTACTTGTGCTTGCTTGTGCATCACTGCCAACGTAGTCTCTCCAATAATTTGTATAGCTGTGGCAGACTCGTTGGTAAAAGTGCAATCTTGTCTCATTTATCGATATTTTATTTTCCTCATGCGAGTACGGTTTTGTGTTGCTCCATTAGCCTATATAGAACAGCATATCATTGCATACATTATCAATAATCGATTCTCCTGCACACGTATAAATTTGTGCTTTGTGAGCGCAAGAATCAAGAGGTCATACGACCGCCCAAGGTTTTTACGCTCGGTAGCCCAATCATTGTTCATCAAACGCAGACTTCTCAACAGACTCTATTTTCATATTCTTAGGTTTTTTCGGTAAAGTCACGTAGGTAAAAAAATTAAACTTAATAAAAGTAAAATTAAAATAAAAATCACGACGTTTCGGAGGCAACACAAGCTTCCGTCTTCAGGTGGAACCGTCACAGCACGATAGCTGTATCAAGTAAACGAGAGATTGCAAGAGATACCACTCCGTATATATAATGGTTTATTTTAATTTTACTTTTATTAATTTTAATTTTTTACCTACGTGACTTTACCGAAAAAACCTAAGAATATGAATCCTTGCAGTCACGAAAGCTTCAAATCTAGAAAGACTCTATTTTCGTTGGCCAGACAGAACTCTGTCCTTCTGCGGCATTGCTGGAGCAGAATGGCAGAGTTGCTCATGGTAAATGCGTTGCAAGTGGCAATTGCTGGCGATGTTTGGCCTAAAGTTGCCCGAGTGTGTTGTAGCGATCGTGGCGTTCTTGGCTGGCGTATAAACCCTGACTGCTGTTAAGCGTCCCCCTGGCCTGGAATGAGTCACCACAGCAGTAATCCTGGAAACAGCGAGTGAATGACATTATAATCTTTGATAATCTTGTTGCCCAGGCCAGTTTTTTTTTTCCGGACGCTACAAGCACGCACAATTTAAGCTTCTTCGGATTTTTTTCGTTTTGCTTAATGAGGCTGTGGCTTGCGTAACGATCTGGCGTGCGACCGATTTAAAGTGGCTGAGGCTCTGATTCTGAGAGCCGCTAGTCAAAAGTGCACACGTTTTTCTTCTGCCGTTTAAAGCCAGCCGTAGCGCCGCCTCACGCGAACGCACTCAGTACGATTACAGCAGACATTTAAAATGGATTCCTACGCTCGCAACTACATCCGTCGATCCATTCGTCTTGAGAATCGATCGATAAGTTCGCTTATGTGCGTGTTACGTACAAACATTACTTGTAGCCCGATGGGGCGAGCGTGACGGAGCAAGTTTCTAAACTGCACAAATGTGTTGGTTCAAATTAGAACTGATAAATAATCGATTCTTGAATCGATTCGTGGTCGCCAATTGCGACGGCTCGCTGAGTCACGGGGAGGTTATGGATCGCCACATGCCTGCCACTTACATCACCAGCACGGAAGCTGCGTCGAAGTGAGCCCATAATTTTTGTTGTGGGCTCACTTCGGTCGCCATACGCTCGTTTTCGCCACATGCCCCTCAGGCCTCTTGGCGCGCTGTGAATAATTCACGCGCTCTCACGTGCCTGTGTTTTTGGACATGTGAGCGAGTGGGCGTGCGTGCATGTGTGCATGTCTCCGCTTGTGGGTTAATATTTAATGCTCGGGCTTCCATCTGCCTTGCCTGTAACACCCCGAAAGTGAGGGGACACCAAAGGCCTTAAGTCGTCGTAGTTTTGGTCCACACCTCCCGGCTTGGCGACCCCTTATTGGAAGTCAAAGTTTTACACGACCCGCCAAATAAATTGGCAAAGTGATACCTGAACTGGTCCTTGGCTCCACTTTCACCAACCCATGCTGACCGGCGTGAAGGATGGTAAAACTTCACCCCTATGGGAACGCCTTTATCCGTCGTGAGAATTTTATTTTATTATGTTTTTATTTCTTTATTTTATTGTTTCCCTTCTACGTGACTTTACCGAAAGAACCAAGAAGATGAATCCCTGCAGTCACGAAAGCTTTAAATCGAAATTCAGTATTGGGCTGTCAAAGGGCAGTAATTGTAATCTCCAAATACCGGGTTGGTTTGTGTGTGCGTGTGTATTAAAGCAGTGGCTCGCTCATTGCACTATAATCTCGTTGACCAGGGTTTAATGTCTGCCAATAAATAGCATGACAAGTGGGTTTGCGTGGCTGTCCTAGACGGCTCCTAGGCTGACTCAGCATCTGAGTGCCTGCCGTGATGTGTAAACACGATCGCTGGGAAGACAAAGCCCACCCGGGCCTGGTGCTGGCTGCGCCAGGAGGCGTGCGCGTCCATTGAGTGTTTTTTGTTTTCCAAAGTCGCAAAGAGAGCGAGTCTCTCTGCAAAGTCGCACATTCTTTGGCACGCCAAAGTCAAGCGAAAAGTGCGCTTTCGGATGGACGGCAAGAAAAAACAATTCTCGCGTTGTTTAAAAATATAAACCCAAACCGAGAGACGTGCTCCGTCACCCGCGAAAAGAGCACCTGCCAAGCCCAGCGGGGCCCCGAGCCTCTGACCTCCGATAGAGACGTTCGCCTCCTTAAGGGTCACGGGGTCGCAGGGTCATGGCGCGGGTTGGCGACCCGTCTGCAATTTATGGCCTCTCCTGTGAAATGGAAACCCCCCCCCCCCCGCCCCTCTGTGCAAGTTGACAAAAAAAGGCAAATAAATTAAAATGCTACCGAGGCTGCGAGTGAAATTGGACCTGGATGTGACGGCACCAGGTCGGTTGATGTGTTCACCGGAATGCTTTGGCTTCCGAGGATTAACGTCGATGAAAATTGCAATGTCTTGGTTGCCGAGTGTTTAATGTTAAATGTAGCATCAGTTGATGTCCATTGTTTGTTATTATTGTCATAATTGCGCTTGTTTACCCAGGAAGGCATCGCTGGGTCTCGAGACTATTTCAAGAGCGTTCCTGCCAAGCTTTCACAGTAGTGGGCGATGTTGCTAGATGCAATCATATTGAGCAATTTGCAGATACATTTCCAACATTTGGATTATTTGGCCAATACCAGTAACATTGTGTGGTTTATTTTAACTATTCAAGAAAACAGGACAACCTTGAGGAAACCCATGCAGAACAGGGGGAGAGCGTAAAAACTTCGTACAGAAAGGCGCCTGTGTCAGGAGTTGAACCCAGGTCCTTCTCGCCACGGGTAACAAGTGTTACCACCGTGCCACCCTGCCCCCTTTGTTGTTGTTGTTTAAGCAGTACAGGCTGGGTTGGTGCAGTGGTAAGAGCGCCTGGCTTTCAAACGAAAGGTTACAAGTTCCATTCAATGTTACGTTTTGTAGTTGCGTATCGTAAGGATGAAGTAGAGCGTGAATAATTAGCTCGGCGACTTAACTCAAATAGAGCGCATTCATTTGGAAAACTTACATGCAAGGGCAAACACTTGTTGCAAAGCATTACAGAATCCATGCGTGTGTGTGTGTGGTTATACTCCCTTGTTTGCTTTGGTTGCATTTGTTGCGGTGCATATGTAGGCATTACTGTAGAGGCACAAGAACCTGCGGAATCTGCGGCGATATGAAAAGCATTTGGTTGAAAAAGAGACTTGGGTGTCAGTGGTCTCTCACCTTGGTTTTTAATCAAGAACAGTCGCGACATTCAATACGCGCGAAGCAGCAGAAGTGTTTGACTTTTACGCACGCCGATGTCAGCGCGTGCACTGCGAGCGCAAGCCTCTCCCTTAACCCGCGGATGGTTCTGCACGCCAGACGTCGGGCCGCCACGGTCTCTGAAATTACTCAGAAGTCGGCCGCTCGTCTCGTTTTCGCCATTGTCTCTGGGCTGTTTACGCTGTCGGTGGAAAGAGGGATAGCCACTTGAGGTATGGAGCGCCGCCCGGTCGGAGTGTGGCCACGGGCAGGAGCGGGTTGAGGCCTTTGCGTGACTTATGGGGGGCGACTTTGGTGGCTTAGACGCCCCCCAGGCTTTAGGGCGATTTGTCTGGCGGGTGAAGAGCTTTGCTCCGTCTTGTGACCCACGCTCGGACACTGAAGGATTAATTGCACTTTAGACGATTTGGTCTTGTTGTGGTGTTTTCTTTTGTCTCGACCATTACGGGCACGGCTAAGTTTGTATGCGTAGTGGAGTGGTGGTGTAGCGGTTAGCGCGCTGCGCTACAAACCCGGCGACCCGAGTTCGAATCCCGCTCGCAGCCAACACCAGTGACGATTATCTGAACTGGTCCTTTGGTCTCGCTGAGGTTGACTTAGCCTCAAATGAGTACCTGGTGTGGTGTGTAAAGATTTCCAATGGGGAGACAAAGGCGGCCGGTTGTGATGCTGGCCACCCACCCCCTCGTGTGTCCGTTCCGGCCTTCATAGGAGCTCGCTAACAGCACTTGCCCCAACAGTCTGTTGAAGCTATACGGGGGATCTTCGGGGAAGTGCGCTGCACTAAGAACCTCGTGACTTGAGTTTAATCCCTGGGAATGGCCATCACGTCGGTGGCGAGAGTGATATCAGAACCAGTCTCGGGGTCGAGAATTAACCTTAAATGATTGCTGTTGTTGTTATGCGTGCTTGTGCACCACCAAATCCTCGTGCACCATGGTGACATTAATCGCCTCTCCCACGTGCACTTTCCCAACAGTTTGTTCAAGTGCCACACATGGATTTATTTGCCTTTCTGCACTATAATCCACCTGTTTATCCGCACTATTCTTAAAATTATGTTTTCCGCCCAAAGTTGTCGCACCCCCAGCTGCACTCATCCATCAGGTTTCTGCTGATTAGAAAGGAGGGGTTCCCCCCCCCACCTTCACCATTTTTAATAGTCACACTAAGCCAGGTCTTGAGGAACCTTTCCCTTCCAGAGGGAGGAACACGGCTTTAAAACACCTTTGACGGGCGTCCACACAAGAACAACAAGCAACACTGCAGGATGTTCCTCGCAGCGACAAAGCGGCTCGGCCGTGTGGGCAGGTCAACAATACTTGACTCCATTATCCGATTTATAAGATGCTTGCAGTGACGGATAAACTTAATATCGTTTGCGGCTCTTATCAAAGTTGCGGGCCTCTATGCGACGTGCAGTTGTGTGGGCCCGTATCCCACCGACGGGGGAATCTGGGGGGGGGGGGGCTAGGTTCCCCAACCCTGCTGTGAGCGCTTGGAGCCATTCGCCACAGAAGGCGCTACTCGCAGTGCAGTAAATGTGATGATATTGCCGCTGCTGTTGTATGCATATTCTTTGGGTCTTTCGGTAAAGTCACGTGACTTTACCGAAAGACCCAAACGAATATGAATTCCTGCAGTCACGAAAGCTTTAAGTCAAGATTTATGGATGTATGTTTAACTTCTTTTCCAGCGTACGTAGCCAATCTTGCCAATCGGAGGTACGGTGGAAGGAAAACAAACTAAACACAAAAAGCGGTCCTAAAGAAGTGAGTTTGTCAATCTCAATGATTGAAAAGTGCATAGTTCCAGTGGCTCCCTAATATCGGAAGGAAGAGCGTTCCAGACGGCCGCAGAAACGCATCTGAAAGCGCGCGATGCGCTTGACCGTCTTTGTTTGACGGCCAGCAAAAAGCCGCTGCTGCGTGGATGACCGGAGTTCGCGTGATTGTTTATGCTCCTTGACGAGCTCAAAGTATTGTTAAATTGTCGAAAGTTGGCAGGTGTCGTTTAGTGACGTGAGTGTGGGCATGCCCTCGCTGTTGTCCCTGTTGACCCCCCCCCCCCCCCCACCAGCGCCCAGAGTTAACGGGCAGCCGAAGGAGCGGAGGGAGCGGGACGCGCTGGGCGGGTACGAGAGCTCGTCCACGCTCATGAGCAGCGAGCTGGACTCCACCAGCTTCTTCGACTCTGACGAAGATGGCTCCACGAGCAGGTCAGGAGGGGCGCTGACGTGCCCGAGCGGTGGCGCGTTTCTTCTTCCCGCCTTAGTTGCGGAGGTTCGCGGTTCGAGCCCAGCGGCCGCCCTGCGTAATACTGCAGTTGTAGGAAAACTGGAACAAGTTTACAATTATCAGGTTAATCGCCTGACGCAGCTGGTTGTAATCGCCAGCGGAAGTCATACTCGAATTGTAAATGTTGTTAGTTTACTCTCCAACACACCGGTGTGCTGAAGTAGTAACTTATTGGCACTTTTTGTTTACGTGACAAACCCTACTTATTGGCTGTGTCGGGTGGTGGCGTGTTTAATAACGCATTTATATTTATGCGATTTAACCAAAACACAAACTTTTTTTATGAATTAAATCGGCTTCGTCAAAGTCTGCTGTCTATGTCTCAGGGCTTGGATCTTTAAATGACACGCACAACCCAATCAACAGGCAGCTGTAGTCTCGTACATTCCCGCCAAAGGTCTTGGGATCCTGGGCTCTCTCGCAAATGTGTTTTAAGCTGCGCTGTTGTGAAAACAGACTGAAGCCATGGTCAGGCGCTCCCCTGTGCGCTGTCGTGATTTCTGCGCTCTGACGCATTCACACGTAATTGCACGTGACATTCGACTGACCACGTGGATGCAGTCACGTTCGCTATATATTTAGGGGCGCCCGACCATGATTTTTTTTCTTACGAACGATGCTTTAGCCTCGTGGAGAAGAGCGCGAGAAACGCCACCGTGGTACGTGTGTCCACGCGGTACGGGTTTCGTGTTCGCGTTCGTCGTGTTTCCATCTTCCTTTGTACACGCACTGCCCTTTTGTCAACCCACCGCTGGATGAGGGTCTCCCCGTGCCATGCGGAGATGTGTAGGTCACTTGACCGTACTTCGTCACGCTGGTCGGTGAATGTCGATGAAGGTGGGGTCGGAGCTAAACGTGGGACTATAGAGGATGGCTCGGCGGCGGGTTTTGCTGTACCGCCCTCTGCTGACCGCCACAGCTCGTAGTATCATTTCTGTCTTAAGCCTGCTTGCGCTTTTCTTTTATACTCATCGCTATCAATGTGAAGTAGATATAAAGTAAATTTTTTAGGCCCAACGACCTTCTGGGAGTGCATATCAGCAGCATTGATTTTCCACAAGTGAACTCTGGTTTCGTCATGCAGTGTCTCATCAGCCGAGTCGGGCTCACTTAAGCCAACGCTGTTGCACGGCCAGATGGTGAAGGCAAAGACCCTCTCATTAAGATATGGGTCTTTGGAAAGATAGGGTGATGCATTTCATGGTGATTTTGTCACCGGGAAATGCATTGTAGTCCAACAGCACTATTAGAGGCCAGTGGCATTCTGTTGCAGTGGCAGTCAGAAGCAAAGCAGGCAAAGGCTTCGGGCCCATAGCAGCTCAAGGGGTCCCGGGTTCACGACAAATGAGGGGTGCATTCAACATCAGCCCGGATTCAAATCAGAATAAACAAGAAGCCAATTAACGTACAGGCCAAGTAATCTCTCTCATCTCCACCTCGTCGACATTTTTCATCTCACTACATCTGCTTCTTTAATCCCACCACATTTCTCTCCTGCGTACAGCTCTCCCGCCTTCTCGCTAGAGAATAATTTTTTTGACGAAAATTAAAGGTGGCGTGAGGTAGTGGGGGGGGGGGGGGGCGGAGGGCACTGCAAAAAAAAATTCTGCGCCGCCACTGACGGCAAGCGTGACATGGTGATTTTTGGAGGCGAGCGGTGGCGACGGCGGTGGCGACGGCGGTGCCGCGTGAGGGCGGACGCTAACGGCGCGCGCGTGCGGACGCTGCTCGGCAGGTTCAGCTGCTCGACGGAGCAGAGCAGCGCGTCGCGCCTCATGAAGCGTCACCGGCGGCGGCGACGCAAACCGCAGCCCCAGCAGCTCGACCGGGTACGGCAGTGTGTGTGTGTGGGGGGGGGGGGGGGGGGGGGGCAGGGTGGGGTGGGGAAGGACTTTCCCGTGCGGTGTTGTGCGCCAGGGCTGCAGCCTGCGATGAGAGGCTGCGTGCTTCCACGTGGCACTGGACAATTGCGAACAAGAGCTTGATAGCTCATCGTATTTCTCCGGTATAAATAAATGACTGATTCTCAATATTCTGGCAGCGTGTCTGTAAAGCGTCGTAAACGTGTTTGTGGTAGAGCATTATACACGGTTAGCTTTCTGAATGTAGAGTAGACCAGCATATCTGTAAAGTCAATTTAACGTGCAAGGTTGTATTCGCAGACAATATTACGATTCACAATTTATAGAATTTTTTTTTTGGGACCTGCCCAATTTCGTGTCGTTACGACTCATCCACCACACAGCACGGCCAACCAAATCAAATCGTGTACGAGCGCTTTACACGCCGATTGTTATTTTTTAGCTGTGGGTCCAAATTTGCTAATATTTGAAATTTACCTGCCAATTATTCAATCGATATTATACATAGCAGTCATCGCCCCCTACTGGCAGACTAATGCACCAGGATCGATAATGCAATTGAGACTATCCTGTTATCTGGGGTTCTCACCTGATGAAACAAAACAAACGTTAACTTGATGTTACACCGAGTCAGCCGGGCCCACGCTACGATGACGGGCAAGGTGACTGTTTTAGTGCGAAAGCTGCCCTCGCTTTGCGGCTGTGACAGGGGCGTTCCATTAGCACGCTTGGCTACGTACGGCGCGAAAGAAGTTCAACGTACGTACCGTCGATCGCCGATTTATCCGGCACTGTGCAATTATCCGGATTCCAACATTATCCGGCGGTCCTGGGCCGATCTGGCGAAAATGGCAAAACCGCTCCAAAGGCTGTAACCAGTCTGGCGATTGGCACCGTGTGCGGGATGAAAAAAGTAGCTCAGCTTGATTTCAGTGGACACTTCTACACCCCTGATCATCCCATGCAGAGTCTTCGAGATTGGAATGGGAAGTACAGTCCAGGGAATACAGTATCGTTTTACAGTAGGATATTTATTTTTGTTTATTCGTATGTCCATGCCAATTTCACATGGTAAACACATTTTAAACGTCTTCTTGGTTCTTTCGGTAAAGTCACGTAGAAGGGAAATAATAAAATAATAAAAATAAAACATAATAAAATAATTTTCACGACGTTTCGGCCACAACGCAAGCAGCCTTCCTCAGGTGAAGAACAGGTCTGTCGGGGAGACAGCGTCTGTCCCTTCTACGTGACTTTACCGAAAGAACCAAGAAGATGAATCCCTGCAGTCACGAAAGCTTTAAATCGACATTTTAAACGCTAAAAAAACCTATACACCACCAACAAATATAATGTTATACAAGAATGTGTCAAAATAACTTTTTTTTTTTTATTATATATATTTTCCGGCGTTTTAGAAAATCCGGCACCCCCTTCCCCCCCCGCCGGATAATAATCGATGATCTCCCGTACATACTCACGTCCGCTCTTGTTTCAGTCGTCCTCCTTCAGCAGCATCACGGACTCGACGATGTCGCTCAACATCATCACGGTCACGCTCAACATGGGTACGCGCTCGTTACTGCGAACCTTCACACGCACTAAAGACAAAGATGGTCCGCCCCTATAACATTAGCAGACTTTTTTGAGGCAAAGCGCTGTTCGCGAGTAGGCACAGCACACGAAGGGGCGGGGTGGCCAACACCACGCCCGGCCGCTTTTTGTCTCCCTAGTGGCAATGTTTACACACCACTTACATACACACACATGACCCCTCGTGCGATTTGGGTAAAAATGATATGGACAGCCAAATTGAGCAAAAAACAACTATTTATGAATATGCAAAGCCACCCTTAAGCTTCCATACTGCCAATTAAATACTTCCGAAGACAATCGCACGTGTAAAATTGTTGTTTAATCCACGATATCTCCTTACTTGTTACGTATTAAATCACGACAGGGTGGCGCAGCGGTTAACAATTGTGGCTCGCAGCACGAAGGCGCATTTCTACGGCTGTTCCCTCCGTGTTCTCCAATTTCCCCCCCATAGCCAAAGACTTACAACGTCGTTATTGTTGGCCAAACATCCCAATGTTAGCAGAACCTTGGTAAATAAGTAATTGTTTATTATCATCATCATCATGATCATCTCCCCATCTCCTTCAAACAGAGAAGTACAACTTCCTGGGCATCAGCATCGTGGGACAGAGCAACGAGAAGGGAGACGGTGGAATCTACATCGGCTCCATCATGAAGGGAGGCGCCGTTGCCGCCGACGGGCGAATCGAGCCCGGCGACATGCTGCTGCAGGTCAGGGGTCGCAGGGGGGTGTGTTGCCTGCCGTCACCCGGGCTTTTGACGAGTTGATGGCCGTGTGTGCCGAGTTCAGGAAGCTGCGAGGTTAAGTGTCTGGCCTCTGCTTTGTGCGTGAACCCGAGTGGCGACTGCTGTCTGTCTGTGCGTCTTGCACGTGTACCCCCGCACCTCCGATTTGCACGGTTGGCTACGTACGGCGCGGAAGAAGTTCAACATACGTACAGACGTGTTCTTCTCTCCCCCCACCTCTCTATCCTCTTCATGCTCCCTTCTCCCTGCTGCGCTGTGCAGGTGAACGACGTGAACTTTGAGAACATGAGCAACGACGATGCGGTGCGGGTGCTGCGGGACATCGTGCACAAGCCAGGGTACGTGACCCTTCCTCCCTCTCTCCCTTTTTCCTCTCTCCCTCTTCCCTCCCTCCTTCCCTCTTCCCTCCCACCCCTCTCGCTCGTCCCTCACTCCCCTTCCTCCTTCCCGCACTTAAGACGACAAGCGTGTCAATGCTATGTAAGCCGCGTATGCCCCAGGATGTAAAGGTCAATCTCCTGTGAACCCAGCTCTGCTCCACTGCCGTGAGAGTTGGGAGGCAGCTTTCTCGGTAAAGTCACGTAGGTAAAAAATTAAAATTAATTGATGCAGTAGTCGTGCCGTGACGGTTCCACCTGAAGACGGAAGCTTGTTTTGCCTCCGAAACGTCGTGATTTTTATTTTATTTTACTTTTATTAATTAAAATTTTTTACCTACCTAAGAATATGAATCCTTGCAGTCACGAAAGCTTCAAATCTAGAATAGGCAGCTTTCTGGCTGAGTTGCACGCAGTGTTATGTTTGGTGATGTTTGTATCTTCAAGGACTATGTTTTCCCCCTGCCAATCCCCCCCTCCCCAACCTCGCAATTTGATGAATGTCGCGATTCAAGATCGCGATTCGATTCAATAATCGTTTCCTTATTTTGGTATTGCGGAGCACGTTGCGTCTGTCGTTGCCTGCAGGATTTTGCGTGAAGTCTATCACGTGAAATGCACACGAATCAAAAATACTCGATTCTCCACCCACACAATCCAGGGCGCGTGCCGTGGGCCTATGACTCGAATGATCTTTGCTTCCCGAGTGCTCTCCCTTTGGTTACGGCAGTGACGACATTTGAAATGAGCAGGGATAGCTCCAGAGCGCGAGAAGAGGTCGTCCCCTTAAAATGCAGTGCGAGTGATGGCGAGCGTTTTTTGTTCATTTGTGCCAGTACACCTCGACTGGCATATTCACCCAATTTTAATTAGTATTGCTTATTAATGTTATTTTGGTATTAATTGTGTAGTCGTGAAAAGAAAAAAAAAACCCCACCGTACCCTTGTCGGAGTCGATGAGCGAGCACACTGCTGAGATGGTGGGTAAGAGGCATCCGTGCGTGACGTCCCAAGCTGGGGCTAATCGCTCGCTCGCTCGCTCGCTCGCGTGCATGCATGCGCACACGCACGTCTGGCCTTCTCCCGCCCGAGATGATTTATTTTTGGTCCGGAAGCCGGTTGGCACATTAGGGTCAGGCAGGTCCAAGTCCTCGCGGGTGAATCCGGATTTAGACGGTCGCGTGCGTTCGTTCGTCTTAGCGCCGAGTGTTAGCGGCACGTGATGCCCCATGGGCCTTCTACGTCACGCATCCTCTGACGTATTTAAATTTTTTGGTTCTCTCCGCTAATTTTTTTTATTGTGACTGATGAGGCCTGTAATGGCACCAAGCATCCCCCTTGCACCCGAGTCATTTGATGAAGTGTCATAATTCAAGTTGATGATTCAACTCGATAGTACACTTCTGTTGACTACATTGACCTATCCATAATAGACTTTTTTTGGATTAGATCGCGTAAATATAAATGCGCCGTTAAATCCTCCACCACCCGACACAGCCAATTAGTAAGGTTTGTCTGGTTAACAAAACGTGTCGATTCATTACTAGTTCAGCACACCGGTGTGTTGTAGAGTAAACCCGCAAAATTTACAATACATTGACCTACATGTAACATTAGCTTATCATTTGCACGCAATTGCAAACAATTTTTCACCGCAATCGTGAGCACAGGTAGCGATTGTGACAGATGGATCGGCGCATCATTGCGTGCCCGTGCCTGCGATAATCTCGTCACCTGGCTGTTTAACGCAAGATGCCATGTTGTTTTGAGGAGTAAGCGTGCCACGTGTGTGCGGGATTTGGCCCAAATCGGCCCGCCCGCTCTGTCCTCTTCTCTCCCCCTCGTCCCGTGGCTTCCTTCTGCGGTCCCCACGGTGTCTCCTTCACTTTGGATGAACTGCAAAGTTTAGTGATCTGCACCAAAGGCTCGCGTCCTGGTGCATGCATATTCATTTTCGTTTCCTTTCCCCCCTCCTCACCTCCCGAGTAGTCACATTCCATTTGTTATGAGCAGTAGCAGCAGCAGCAGCATCTCACGAGACGAACCATTTTTCATTGTAACTCTGCAACCAGCTGCGCATCGACCTGTTGTCAGAAACTGGACCCAGAGGGTGACGCTACAAAACATATTTCTAAACTCACTTTGGGAGACTTGTTTTTTCTTTTTTATCCACTCAAAGGGCGAAAACATTTGTATGGTCTGCAGAGTGTTGCTTGTCAGTGTTTAAAAAAAACAACCAACCTGTATATGCGCTTACGCGAGGTTCAGCTTCCGCTATATGGATTCTGTGAGCGCGCTGCCATCTGTGTGTGTATGTGCATGTACATAGTCTGGCACAAGCGCCGTGGTGACACCACCGCCACTTGGTGGCGAATGGCGGTTGTTGTTGTGCCGCTTCGAGAGTTGTAGTGCCGTGGTTAGTACACCGCACTACGAACCCGGCAACGCGAGTTTGATTCCAGCTCGCAGTAACAGTGGAGAATATTTGGAGTGGTCCTGGGCTTCCCCGAGGTTGACTCAACCTCAAATGGGTAGTTGGTGTGCGGTGTTTAATCTTCTGCACCGGGGAGACAAAGACGGCCAGGCGTGGCGTTGGCCACCAACCCCCTAGTGCGCCGTGTCGGCCTTCATAATTTTCCCTATATTGTGTTTTTTGCGTGCCGCATCCAACAGGCCCATCACCCTGACCGTGGCCAAGTGCTGGGACCCCACGCCGCGCGGATACTTCACCATCCCACGCAGTGAGTGTGTGTGCCGCCAGACCCTCCCCGTCTTTCTTCCTGCCTAAACGCACGTGAACTCCGTTGTGCACGCACAAACAACACTGACGCTACTGCCTGGGAGCATTACGCCGAGACAGCGAGTAGCAGCCTCCATCACGAGGCTCCCTTGCGGAGAACCGCCCCCTGCCCCCGCCCCCACACCCGCCTCTACCCTCCCGCCCAATCAAGCAAGAGCTCCCCTCGTATCCCATAACCTCGATAGCAGCGGTCGACCTGGTGCGGCCACAATTCAGGTTCACCAAATTTACGATGCGAGCCATTCTCAAATGGTTGATTCGCATACGGCTTCACGCAGGTATCGTGCACACACAAACAACGGCTTTGTTGAAGCCTCGTGCATTGTCAACGTGCCTGAAGAAGAGCCCTTGGCCAAAAACATTAGCCTACCGTTATACCCTCGTCGTTACATGGAAGTGTTAACGATCAAGGAGGCCGGGTTTTTTTGTTGTAATTTATGTCTGTGCACCTCAACCAACGTAGTTTGTGTATCCATGTGTTTTTACTGGATGTTCATGGTCTGGACATACATAGAAAATCTCCCCAAAATGGTTTTGTGTGGGGGGGGGGGAATGTTTGGGCGCCCAGTAGTGGGCGTTGCAGTTAGCGCAGCCGCGTTATGAACCCGGCGACCGAGCCAAGCTGGTATCTGTCGAGTTGGTTGCTGGTACCTGTTGGTTGCATTTGACGAAGCGTGACTTAACCGTGGTTGTCTTCCCCCCCCCTCTCCTCCCTGGTTGTGATGGTGCTTGTTGCGGTGGTGGTTGTTGTGGCCGTGTGGTTGTGGTGGTGGCGATTGTTGTGGCTGCGCGGTTGCGGTGGTGGTTGTTGTGGTCGTGCGCCTGCGGTGGACGTTGCTGCGGTTTTGTGGTGGTGGTGGTTGTTGTTGCTTGCGGTGCGGTTGTGGTTGCCGCGGCGTCGGCGTCGAGCCAGGCGAGCCGGTGCGGCCCATCGACCCCGCGGCGTGGGTGTCGCACACGGCGGCCATGACGGGCGCCTACCCCTACGGGATGACGCACTCCATGAGCGCCCTCACGTCCACCTCCTCCTCCATCTCCAGCTCCGTGCCTGAGTCCGAGAGTGAGCGAGCACACGCACACTCGCGCACATACTTGCTCGCACATTCACGCACACACTTGCTCGCACACTGACGTACTCGCTCGCACACTCACACACTCAATCGCTTGCACACTCACGCACACTAATGCTCACACACGCTTGTGCTCACGCACTCTCTCGCATGCACGCGCACATGCACTTGCGCACAATCACGTACACATCCGCACACTCAGGCGCGCATGCACTCAAGAACGCACGCATTCTGTCATTCAAACAATCATGCACTCATGCACGCATGTACTAGTGCACTCACTCGCGTGCATATAACCGATAACACCCACATATGCATCGTGCTGTTTGATACATGTCCCTTAAGTGCACAGATGTAATGTTATTGATGAATAAATGTCTTGGTACATGTCTAGAAATGCACACGCACAACATCCTCTGTGTCATTACAAGGGTGTGGTGATTGCTATACTGTGCTGACGTGACTCCCTCCGTGTCTCCCCATCCCATCTCCTCCACTCCCTCCCCATCCCCTCTGCTCTCCCTCCCCTCCTTTCTGCTCCCTCTTTCTTATCCTGTCCACTTCCTCCCATCCGCTCCACTCCATCTCCCTCCCACCCCCTCCACTCCCTCCCACCCCCTCCACTCCCTCCCACCCCCTCCACTCCCTCCCATCCTGTCCCATTCTCCCTCCCTCCCTCTCTCCCGTGCCCTTCCCTGGCAGGGTTCGATGAGCTGCACCTCTCCATACACAGCGACATGGCCACGGTAGTGAAGGCGATGGCCTCTCCGGAGTCGGGCCTGGAGGTCCGAGACCGCATGTGGCTCAAGATCACCATCCCCAATGCCTTCATCGGTGAGCGACCGCACCGAGGACCTTTGCCTGAGGGGGGTGCGGAGCGGCGGTGGAGGAGGGAACTGACGAATTCGTCAACGGCAAGCTGGACCACGCTCGTTTATCGAGGGAGCGTGCGTTTGGTGCTTGGGGGAATTCGTGAAAAGATTTGCCAGCGAACGAAAGCATATTGAAGCGGATCTGTGGCTTGGTCTTTCGCGCGTCTCTTTGTTTGACGTGACGCGTTGTTCCACACCCGCCCCCGTCTGCCCGCTCGCTCTCTCTCAGGTTCGGACCTGGTGGACTGGCTCTTCAATCACCTCGAGGGCTTCCAGGACCGGCGGGATGCGCGCAAGTACGCCTGCAACCTGCTCAAGGCCGGCCTCATCCGCCACACGGTCAACAAGATCACCTTCTCCGAGCAGTGCTACTACATCTTCGGCGACCTCTGCGGCAGTACGTGGCACACGCGCGCGTGCACAGACGTACACGCGCACACGAACGCACACACGCCGGGACGTGTGCACGCAATTGCACAGGCACGAATGCATGAGCGCGCGCATGTGCTAAAGCACATACAGTATTGTAACAGTGGCTGCCTTTATGTATGTATGTTGAACTTCTTTCGCACCATACGTAGCCAACCTTTTGTTACCGAGGGACGATAATGATGCAGTGCGTACACGGACGCACGCCCCGTGACCTAACGAAGCACGCACACGCGCGGACGCATGCCGCATAACGACATCTACACTTGACCGACAGCCACAGAGCGCCAGCCGCTGTGGCCAACTGAGTCTGCGCCACCAACTAAGACCGGCGCTGGCCGCTGTTCTCTCGTGCGCACACACTCGCCTTCCCGAGCGAGCGATGGTGCACTTTGGCCGCTTGTGTTTAGAGGGTTCGCAGTTCGAGCTCGGCATCCGCCTTGATTCTAATACAGCCGGTGTATCAACTGAATACAAATATGGACCTCCCGCTTCGTGGTGCACGTTAATGATCCTGTGACATAACTCGTGCATGAGTAGGTGATGCCTGCTCGCGTCATTAGAAAATCACTCGCAAATTGGAACCACAATATTTATTAATACTGGAGGAATCCGATGCACTATGAAGCTCAGGAAAGGTAAGCAATTCACTCAAAAAATGTAAAGAAACATTTTATTTGAACCAGGTAAAGTCCACTGAGATAAGCTTTTTCAGAAGTGACCTGGCCACAAATGATGAAGTGGCTCATCAGGGGTAGAGCCACGTCGCAACATCGCCCCCTTGCTGCAAAACTACCGCAGGCCAGACCCGTCCGTGAGAGACGGGGCCTTCGCGATATCCCTGCGCTATGATAACGGCTCGAATACCAAACGCAGCAACACTTTGAAATAATCCCCACCTGCTCATCCCGCCCGTGCCGCCCACGCCTTCCCCGTCAGACATGGCGAACCTGTCGATCCACGACCACGACGGCTCCAGCGGCGCCTCCGACCAGGACACGCTGGCGCCGCTGCCCCACCCGGGCGCCGCTCCGTGGCCCCTGCAGACGGCGTTCCCCTACCCGCCCTACCCCCCGCACCCGTACGGCCCGCTGCCCCCGGGCTTCCCCGAGCAGGGCAGCGGCAGCGCCGGCAGCCAGCACAGCGAGGGTACGTGTGCCAGCGCGGGGGATGCGTGGGGGCTCGTGGGGGCGCGGGCGGCCGTTCTGACGGGCGCGGCGAGCGGGAGGGCTCTTCTTGTGCGCCGGCGCGTGCTACGATGCCGCCCTGCGCACGCGGAAGGACGCCGCGTGTGTGCCGTGGGGTGGCGGACGAGCGGAGGGGACGCGTCGCAGAAGGAGATGGTGGGAGAGGTGAAATCGGATTGCGCGCCGGGTGGATGCGTTCGGTTGCAAGATTGTGGGAGATGGGGCGACGGTTGGGGGAGGCCTTTATCCAGCGGTGGATTGATTGTGGCTGACGATGAACATGCGTGTCACGTGCAAGCACGCGAGCTTATGATGAGCGCTCCCCGCTGTCATCTTGTTTGTGCCTCCTGTTTTCAATCAAGACGCAAAAATGCGTGAAAAGCACACAGCCATTTGTGCATTATGCAAAACCCCAACAGTGCATTGTGGTTCCTTTGTCTTCGATCACAATCAAAATAAATTTATGAAAATGTAAGCAACTGACAGCAGCAGTGAACTGGTTTTATAATAATTAGGACTCATCAGCACTCCTGCAAAGTCTGTTTGCTGCATTAACGTGACTTTGACATTTTCACGTAGTTTTCAGCAGTGGGAATAATCAATTCTCGTTTGATTCGTGGATTGTGAATCCATTCCTTAGTTGAATCCCAATCCTGAGTTGTAACTATTCTTTCAAATCGTTCACAGGGGAAGAGTGAATCATTGAGATGCCCGTCTGAAAGCATTGCGAGAGTGCTGAGCTGGCGTGAATGATTATGATCGAATCCACACATCCTCCTGGGATTGAAGCAAAGTTATTTGATATATACCGAGTTGATGGTATCAACCCGGCCATCAATGGTTTGGCACTCATTCGGCTAAATTTCACCCCTCAGACATAATAATATTGGTTTGACGGTAATGCTATAAAAAATATTCTGTGTGTGGGAAAAGGCTGCCCCCTACTGTGTCAATCAGAAGTCACTTGAGCTTTTTAAGCATCTGAGTTGTGTGTAATCCACTTGCACGTGCTGTACAAGAAGGGGCGATGCAACGCTCTCTGCAAGCAATCCGAAAGGATATTTCGTCTCATTAAATTACGCCGATGCACACAATTGGTGACGACGTTGGACGGGTCGGGGAAACGACCCCGAAAGCGTTGCCGGCTGTAACCTAACGCAGCACGACGGTCCGTGTCGTCCCCCCGGCGCGACCACAGGGAGCCGGAGCAGCGGCTCGAACCGGAGCGGAGGGGCCGAGCGTCGCGGCTCCGTCAAGGAGAAGGACGCCAAGGGCCAGGGCAGCGGCGGAAGCGGAGGCGGAGGAGGGGGAGGAGGGGGAGGGGGTGGCAGCAGCGGTGGCGGCGGCGCCGACTCCAAGTCCGGCGGCAGCGGCAGCGAGTCAGACCACACGACGCGCACGGGCAGCGTGCGGCGCGCCCCCAGCGAGCGCTCGCACCGCAGCCACGCCAGCGCGTCGCACCACAGCCTGCCGCGGAGCCACTACTCGTACGGCGCGCCCGGCGTGCCGCCGCCGCCGCCTCCGCCGGCGCTCGTGTCGGCCGGCGCCCTCCTCCCCGCCGCTTCTGCCGTCGGCGCGTCGCCGGGCGTCATGCCCCCGCCGTACGCGGTGGCGATGATGGGCGGCGTGGGGCATCTCCCGCCCGGCACGATCGTTCCCGCGTCGCCGCCGCCGCCCGCGCAGCTGTCGACGTCGTCGTCGTCGGTGGCGCCGCCCCTCACGGGCCCCCCCGGGGGGCCGCCCGTCAGGGACCTGAGCTCTGTGCCGCCGGAGCTGATGGGAAGCCGACAGTCGTTCCGCATGGCCATGGGGAACCCCGACGACTTTAACCTGGACATCATGTGAAGGGGAGCGTCTGGCTGGGCCCTCCGCTCGTGTCCCCCCCCTCCCCCGCCCGATTGAACCGGAGTCGCTCTTTCCGTTGACTGAAAGCTGATCGTAATGAATTTGTTTCTTTTCTCGTCTCTCCTGACCGCGGTGTAGTTTATCGTCGTGTACATAAATGAAGATCAAAACAAGTTGGAGGGAAAACGAAAAAAAGAGATGAAGTCAAATGAAAGGAACGGTGGGGGGGTGGGGGTGGGGTGGGGGGAAGGTTTGCGTGACAAAAAAAATGTGGCCATGAAAGCAAAGGGAGAGAATTTACGGAAAACTTTGTTGCCGTTGGCGCTCCCGAGGTTCACGCTCGCGTCTAGCGGCGAGTGCGCGAGCGGTGAAGCGAGATTCGCGGGAGCCGGACCCAGGGTGGAACCGCGACTGCGAAAACACGGCGGGCGTCGGGGGGGGGAAGAAAATTGAAAAAAAACGATTCAAGATGGAACAAAAAGATAATGACGTACCACGATATGACAAAGACGCTCATGTCAATACTTGCTACAGGTGCTGTAAAAACAACGGTCGCCCATCCCGGGTGTTGAGGACTTTGTCGTTCGGCTTGCCCGCATTTCTCTGCGGATTGCGGGGAGCGGGCCTGGTTTAGTGTATTTTTAACACGCGTAGGAGGCTTTCGCGACCACAGTGGAGGTTTTTTTGGATTAGAACGCCTGAATGTAAATGTGCCGTCAAACCCGCCTGCCTACCCAACACAGCCAATTAGTGAGGTTGCGTGACGTGGACGGAACGTAGCCAGTTCGTTACTGGTACAGCACTAACGGGTGTGTTGGAGAGTAAAGCCACCGCATTGACAAGTCTGGCTGTCGCCTGATGAGGCTGGTTCTACTCGAATTGTAAACGTTGTGGCTTAACCTCTCCAACACACCAGTTAGTGCTGTACTAGTAACTCATTGGCTGTGTCGGGTGGTGGGCGGGTTCAACGACACATTTATATTCACGCGATGTAAACCAAAAAGCTGTCATGAAGTGTATTTTTAATCGCGATTCTTTGAAAACCTAACGAGCGATACAGAAAGCCTAAACGATGTAATGTTTTTTTTTTGTATTTTGTTTCCCGACCGCCTGCGAAAGTCTTTTTATGTTTACCCCCTCCCCCCACTCTCTGCGTAGAATTACCCATCGCTCTGGAATCATTCGACGCTCTTGAAACGGGGATAAATTGTTACTATCGTATTATATATATATGTGTATATTATATATAGAGGCATTTGATGTGAGCGGACCTTCCGAACCCTAGGTTGATATTCCGATATTCCAATACGACTTGGTTCTACTTCAGTTTACTCTACGTTTTTATCTTTTCGTTGCGTTTTTTTCCGCCCCTCTCGCTGATCAAAAACACTAATCGTTGCCCGCCTCCCCCCCGTTCATAGTCGGGCAAGGCTCCGATTCGGCACTGCCCTCCCTCTCGGGTTTCTCCGGCTTGGGACTCTCCGCTTCCACGCACATATTCTTGCCCAGGACCGCGGCGCGAGAGCCAACAAGGCCGAGCGTTCTCTCGTCCTGCCGCCATCAAGAATTGAGGCGGGGGGGGTGGCGGTGGAGGCTGCACCTAGCCAACATCGTGGGACTGCTCCGTGAGCCAGCGAGGTGCACGGTGGCGCGTGGGCGGCGTCCTCTCGTTCCAAAGCCCACACGCGGACTCCTGCTGCTGCTGCCTCCCTCGCCGCAGGGCCCGTAAAGCTTCACGGCAAGGCAACAGAAAATACGGCTCTGTGCGACTCGCGTTGCTGCCGCCCCCCCCCCCCCCCCCCCCCACGTGTCTGTCTTGTAAAGCGGTGTTGGGAAGCAAGCGCCGCATTTTTTAAGAAGGGACAAAAACGCAACCGTGTTGAAATCATCACCGCTCGCCGTCCGCTGTTGGTCAAACGCCCGCCCCCCCACCCCGTACCGCGTGGTTTGGGAACACGACCGTCTTGTCGAGCGAGGGGCGGCTTCCACCCGGCGAAAGCCCGAGGCCTTCTCGAGTTAAGGAGGCGCTTGGAAATGAGACGCGAGCCCTTCGAAATGAAATCGCCATCGGGAATCTTAAGAAGTGCCGCGGGCGTTTCACCCGCGCGATTCCAGTAGACGTCTCTCTCCGCCATCCGCGTGTTTCGTTTAATATTCGTTTCATGTTTTTGTTTTGGTTATTGTTATTTATGTTTCATTTCTTTGAACTTTGTGCAATCAGTTGCCTTCCCACCCCCCTCCTCCTCCTCTCGCAGTTCCCACTCCGCCCGAGGTCGTCGTTCATTGAGTAGGGGTCAGATTCCGAGTGCGGATCGTTAAAACGTAAAGGACGAGAGAGAGGCCTTCTCTCGACTTGACTTCGGACATCGGCTGCCTCTTTTTTGACGACACCATTCAAATAACAAAAATTGCCGCGTGCCGACCGGTCCACTCTCGGCGCCGGCAAACGGCAAAGTTGCCGGGCACCCAAGGAGTTGACCCCCCACTTGTCCTCCCCCCTCCCTCCCAACACTAATCTCCCGTCGTGAACTACATCGCTAGCTTTTCGTAACTTCGCAAACCTCAACGGTTACGTTTTTTTATATCGTTTAAGATCGTTCTCACTTTCGTTTGATTATGGCATAGGAGGGTGACGCTGCAGTATTAGCTACACACTACTACAGTCTCTCTTCTGCCGTTGAGCATTTTTTTTGTAAAAAAAAAATCTTTCGTTTTGAATTAGCTCGCGAGCGCCTTTCTTTTCTTCTTGTTGTTGTTGCGCCCCCCCCCCCCCCCCCACCAATCTCTCGCTTCCGGCAACGCTGGGACACGAGCAGCTCCGACACGGACTGCAGTCTTCAGGGGCATTGCACCACTCGCCGCGGCCATCGGCCACCGTCGTCGACACCCAGATATCTCGCAGCTTAGCCGGCATCTGTCGATTGGTTGCAAAGGCCCTCGTAGGCCGTGGCGCTTTCGTTCGTTCCTGCCGCCACTCTCGAGCGAGCGATTAAGCGGAGCATTTGGCCCTGGGTCGGTGGTGGAAATTCCACATTCACATGGTAAAAAAAAAAGTGTAGATTTTTTTGTTTTCTTTATTTTACCAGCCCCCACCCGACCGCCCGCCCCGACTGTTAATTTCCAAATATAGTAGCTGGCGTCTTGTCACGAGGTTATGAAATTTGCGGCTGGAATTCGTGCAGAAAGCAGGGTAAACGTCCACCACACAGGCGGCGGGTAGCCTCCGGCGGATGGCGTCACTTGAATATTTCTGGAGGTCCCTTCAAACTCCCCTCCCCACCATCCACACTCGGGGCACTGCACTTTCTCACATGCACTGCTTTAGAGCTGTTTGTCGCACGGCAAATTTTTGTTTTATCCTCGAGAAGAAATACGCTTCATTAAGTAATTTTTTTCCAAATTAAGATGTGCAGTGGCCTCTGCCTGCAGTAACCAGGCAGAGGCCATCGACTTGCTACACTTGAGGATCGGGTTTAAATCGCCGGTGGCTCTAACATCGATTTCTCGGCAGTGCCAGCTCTGTGCCTCTTGAGACGGTATGAGCCCTTTGAATAACCTAGATCCCCCAATCCACCTCAGGTTCAGATCTTAGACCAGCGATGAGCGACTGCACAATTGGATCGCCCCCCCCCCCCCCTTTACCTCGAGTCAACCAATCGACAGCTGTGCGTGTGAATGCCCCTTACCCAGTAGTTTTACACGTGGATGGGATGGGGTGGACGAACTGAACTTTGCAAACCTGTGGTTGGACTCCCGGATCATTGCACGGCACGTTTCCTCCCGCAAGCGAGTTTCCCCGTTGCTGCGAGCCGCCATTTGTTGTCTTGAAAAGCAGCATTGGTGCATGCGTGAAGCCGTTCAGGGTTTTTTAAATTTTATTTGAAGCCTTATCGAAATATCAATTGTTCTCAATCCAAGTGACCGGGTAAACAGACCTTACGATCGGCTGCTTTGTGGTCTCGTGGTATGATTTGTTACAACCGTGTTAATCGTGTTCATTGGATTTGAGGGTGGTCCCCCCCCCCCCCCCACCTTCCGTAATGGACTGCCGCATGCATCGAGTGGCGTTCCGCAGCCACCTGCTTGTGGTTACCGCCGTGCAGACGGGAGACTTCCTCCTCGGTGGGCACGTTTACCTCTCTTTCCACTGTGTCCAACCGAGCTTGCGACGCGGACGCGTCGAGCCAACATGGCGTGGCACAAAAGGCGCCAGGTTTTTATTTTTATTTCTCCCCCCACTTGCAAAAGCCGAACCGAGCCGACGCCGTTGTCCTCGGCAGTGCGCCGACTCAACGTCGCGTGCACCATGTGGTGGCATCATTTGCCACGCAGCTTTTCGTCCCAAGCGAGATACGGGTGTGTGGTGAGGCCAGCCTACCACGCGCGGCTTGGTTGTTCCTGCCATTCGCCGCAAAGCAAAACGAGCCAGCGGAAGAAACAAAGAAACCGGTGCCGTGTGTGACGGCCCTGCACTGGTTTGGCTCGGGTGTCCCAGTGGGAAAAGGAGGGGTACTTCAGCCGAGTGCACCGAGACTTGCAGACTCACAGCAGCAATTCTTGTGGATTCGCCTTGAGAGACAGAGTGAGTGAGTGTGTGGTGAGAATGCCCCGTGGTGAACTGAGATTAAGCGGGACGTGGCCTACGGTTATATTTAGGGTCACCAGGAGTAGGCACGCTTTCATCAGATTTCTCTGTTTTTCCAGAATTCTTCATTAAAATTCTAATCATCTTTCGTGGTCCATGTGGATCGTGGAAAATGTTTTCAGCCCAGGTCAGTGTGGGATTGTGTCCCGTAAACCCCTGCGCTGGTGATTCAATTTTGTTTTCACATTTTTATTTAATGTTTCTTATTTCTGTTGCTGAATGAAACCACGCCTGCCTGTTACGTCGATGGGAGAAGTAGGGGAAGGGGCAATGGGTTGGGCATTTTGGATTTATTCATTTAATGCCTTTAAAAAAAATACATCTTATTGTTTCCCTTAAAAGAAAAATAATCTCACCGGTGCGCCTCGATCTATGGCTTAAGAATCTCGGTCAAATTTGCCATGTGTGAGTGATGGCAATAAAGCCCTATTGAAAATATATCAATTGGAGAGAAGGGGGGCTGCCTTTTCGGCAATAGGCGGCATAGCTTTGTAGTAAATCTGGGGATTATTGTGTGCCTCGAGTCTCCCTTGCCAAAAGAGACGGGCGAGTTTACGGTGTTGCCTTTCGGCCAGAAATATCACCGGATGGACGTAAACTCGTGGACATTCGCCCTCAATCTCTCTGTTTTTGCCAAACATCCGTTGGGGAACGAACTTTTGCGCCAACACACGAATGGGGCCACGCATTGGGCTGTCACTTTCCTTGAGTGAAGCGTTATAATTTGACTGCATGGAAACATGACCACTTTGTGACGATAGTGCTTCGGGTGAGTGAGTGGATAAGCGAGTGAATTGCTGGGTGGGTGAGTGTGAACAAAATAAATTTAATGCGTGAAGCGAGTGATCTGGGGGGGGGGGGGGGGGGGGGGTTGGGGGTGAGTTGTGAGCGAGCGATTAGTTTGGCAGGCGATCGGGGATGAGTGTGGCCGAACGAGTAAATCGTTGAATCTCCACAGGTTTCCGCTCGCGTTCGGCGATGGTGAATGGGTGCGAGAGTGGAGTGAACCCAGCCAGACGGCGTGTGGCACTCCCCCACCACCCCCTTCTGAACTGAATCGAGACTCAATGCATCGGTGGTACTTTGCTCTCTTAAAATGTTTATTTGTGGCACCCTGCCCACGTCACATGAAGGAATCGATTTATCCGCGTTTATTTTGTACTTTTGAAAATGACTAAAAAAAACCGAACTCCTCTCTTTTTACTTTTACATTTTTATTTACTTTGGTAAATTTCTCTTTACCCCCCTCCCTCCCTCCCTCCCCCTTTGTAGCTATTTAACATTGTACTGTAATTCATTTTTTTTCGTTCGTTTGTTTAGACACTAGTATTAATAAACACCACATGTTTATCTTGAACCATTGTGGGCATGTGAATTTGGATTGTTGCAACGCGTGAATATTCTCGTGTCGAACAAACTCACGCACGCGCACAAACACAAAGATCCCCCGTATAGCCTGCAACAGACTGTTGGGGCAAGTGCCGTGAGCGGAGCACCTTCCGAAGACCGGCACGGTGCACGAGGCGGTGGGTGGCCAGCACCGCGCCCGGCCGCCTTTGTCTCCCTAGTGACGACGTGTACACACCGCACCAGCTACTCATTTGAGGCTGAGTCGACCCTAGGGGGGGGTGGTGGTGGTGGTGGTTTCCCAGGACCGGTTCCGATGAGCGTCACTGCTGTTACCTTGAGCGGGTCGCGGGGTTCGCAGTGCACTACCCCGCTGCGCGACCGCTCCCCACACCCACGAGGGCAATCGCGTAACATCCACTTCATATAAGTCGTGGGGATTTTGATGTAGAATTTAAATGTAGATTTATTAAAAGGTGCTCGACACCCGTTGTTGCACATTTGACACGCCCTTCAAGAACCGATCTGAAGTTTAATCGCCACCAAAGACAAAGATCCCCGTATAGCCTGAACAGACTGTTGGGGCAAGTGCTGTTAACGAGCGCCTATGAAAGCTGGCACGGCACACGAGGGGGTGGGTGGCCAAAGACACGCCCGGCCGCCTTTGTCTCCCCAGTGGGAATGTTTACACCACACCAGGTCCTCATTTGGGGCTGCGTCGACCTCGGGGAGGCCCACGACCGGTTCAGAGAATCGTCACTGGCGTTGGCTGTAAGCGGGACTTGACCTCGGGTCGCCGGGTTCGTAGCGCAGCGACCACCACCATCATCACCATCATCACCACCATCATCACCACCATCATCATCATCACCACCATCATCACCATCACCACCACCATCATCACCACCATCACCACCACCATCACCACCATCATCACCACCATCACCATCATCACCACCATCATCACCATCATCACCACCATCATCATCACCATTACCACCACCATCATCACCACCATCACCACCATCTGGCCTGAACTCTTCCAAATTGGTCACCGACTTCCGGGCACCACACCAATCCCTATCTCAGTAACCCAACTTCCTCCACTCATTCCAACCATGACAACCTCTTCCCCCACCCCCGATTATCACGGTGGCGAGATGTTAACTACATCGCCCGGTGTACAGCAGGTCGTGGGGTTCCATCTCGACCCCGGCGCCTGCTGTATTTTTGGAGTTTGCATGCCTCTCTCCCCGTGGTCGCGTGGATGTTTCTCTGGGTCCTCCCGATTTTTCCCCTCCACGTTTAGAAAGGTGAGTTTAGAGTTTTTGGCTGCTTTTAATTTTGACACACGAAGCCACTTCGCTGGGCTGTCATTTGTGAAGCAAAGTCCCTTCCGACAAAAGAGCTGCACACAGCTCATCGGACCTGACCTGGTAAAATAAAACAATGAGTGAGCTTACATTCCGAAACCTGCAAGTGACTTGCACTATCCATAGTTCACGAGCTTCATAAGCACCCTTCTGCAAAGCAAAAAATTAAGCAGACACGTGCTGTCTGGTGCGGTCGAGCAGTTCATTGGTGAAGTGACGGCGTTGAGCGCCGGGTCGACACGAGTAATCCGCAGCGAAGGAACGTCGTCGCAAGACTCCCGAATCTCTAATCCCACGACGATAAGATTCACCGAAATGTAATCGGCCCCGCGGGCGAGATGTTTGCCTTAAGGAGGGGAGCTCGTTTATCCCAGGCACTGTCGACAGGTTGTGAAAAGGACAGTGCATACATTATCAGAGTTATGTTTTTTGTTTGCATTATGGCTGCAGGTATTGTGGTCAATGCAAACATAACTCCTTGTAAAAAAGGTTTCAGTTTTGTTGCCAGATAAAAGGGTAAAAAACAATTATCATATTTTCTACTGGCAAATGAGGTTCCAATGGTGTAAATCTCTCCTCTGTCAACAAACACATTCATAATCATCTAAACAGCGCTGCGTGTGTAGTATGATCGTCTGCGCGATGCGCGTGTCTTGAGTCGTGGTTGTATTTCGCGGCAGGATATGAAGTCGAATTGTGTTGTGAGCCCATCGAGGGTCCCTTTCGCTCTTCGTTGATGCCAGTGACAACCCGAAAGAGGTCTCCCCTGCCGAGGCGGTAACGAATGTCAACAGGGGGGGGGGGGGGTATGATGGTTAAATGCAGGGTCACTCGCTGCTGAGCAGCTTTCCGTGATTCTGTTTGTGGCACCGGCCCAGACGGAGGACAGCGGATTCCAAGAGAAGGCGATTATCACCCCCCCTCCACTCTCGCTCGCGTCTTGTAGCCAACATAATCACCATCACCACCACTCCCGTCATAATCACCATCACCACCGCCCGCATCATAATCACCATCAACACCGCCCCCTGTCAGCACCCGTGGCCATTCATCGTCGTCTCTTCTCTCGCACTCGAGACCCATCCGTGTGCACCTTGGGCATTGACGAGGTCGTCTAGTCGCGTCGTCGTCCAGGGCAGCAGTGGGACGTTTACGCCTCGCAGTGTCTCTCCGTGCGTCTCTCTCTTCATCGGAATCTTCATTTAGACCGCGGGAGAAATCCGATGAGCCGAAAAGCGCTTTTTGCACAGCTGTCCAGCAGAGACGTCTGTGAAAAACGACCGCATGTTTCAACTGATTGACTGGAGGCGATCTGTCTGAATCATGAGTTAGTGTGCTGCCTTTGACTGCTCGTGTTATGACCTGTGAAAGATAGCTGGCTGGCTGGCTGTCTGACTTGATCGCTTTGGAGCCGTGTGTCCAGCTGATCGCCTGTCGCACCGGCTGTTCGCTGGCTCTTCGCAATCGAACGCAGGCGATCAATTACCACTGACGATATTGGCAGATGCCGATGGGCCACCAACATCTCTTAACGCAACGTCTGCCAAGTCCATTTACCCCTTCACGTTCGCCCCGCCGCTGAAAGCTTTTTTTTGTTTTTAGTTTGTTTTGGTTGAGCGGTTCAAGCGCTCCTTCGATGTCGGAGACGATCTCACCGTAACGAAGAAACGAAGCGACGGACCCGTCTCTTTCCCGACGCCAGACGGATAGTTTTGCTGTAAAGGTAAGTGTTGCTGTTGTTGCTGTTGTTGCTGTTGTTGTTGTTTTAGAGGATGTGTGGATATTCGTTGTGTCTGGTTGCATGACGTCCTTCATTTTACCACGCGAAGTCCCCGTTGAAATGCATCGCCTCTCTCGTGATTCACGTCATATGTTTAACCACATTAGACCCCCATTGAGATTCAGGGCGTCACGGTGGCTAGGAGATGTTAACTACCTCGCCTGGTATACAGGATGTCGTGGGTTCGATCCCCACCTTGACGCCTGCTTTACATTTGGAGTTTGCGTGTCTCTCTTTCTCCCCGTGGTGAGATGTTAACTACCTCGCCTGGTATACAGGAGATCGTGGGTTCGATCCCGACCTTGACGCCTGCTGTACATTTGGAGTTTACGTGTCTCTCTCTCTCCCCGTGGTGAGATGTTAACTACCTCGCCTGGTATACAGGAGATCGTGGGTTCGATCCCGACCCTAACGCTTATTGTACATTTGGAGTTTACGTGTCTCTCCCCGTGGTGAGATGTTAACTACCGCGCCTCGTATACAGGAGGTCGTGGGTTCGATCCCGACCTTGTCGCCTGCTGTACATTTGGAGTTTACGTGTCTTTCTCTCTCTCCTTAGTGAGATGTTAACCACCTAGCCTCGTATATAGGAGGTCGTGGGTTCGATCCCGACCCTAACGCCTGCTGTACATTTGGAGTTTGCGTGTCTCTCTCTCTCCCCGTGGTGAGATGTTAACTACCTCGCCTGGTATACAGGATGTCGTGGGTTCGATCCCGACCTTGACGCCTGCTGTTCATTTGGAGTTTGCGTGTCTCTCTCAACGTGGTCGCGTAGACTTTTCTCCGGGTCCTCCAGGATTTTCCTCTCCACATTTAGAATCAACATCACCCGTTTAGAGTATTTGGCTGCTATACATCTCCACGTGATATGCCAATTCGTTGGGCTGTCATTTGTGGCCAGGTCGTTTCTGAAACATATCCATTTCGCTCAGTTGGCCTTACCTGGTAAAATAAATGGTTTGGTTTTTTTAAATATTATATTTCGTGAGTGGCGTCCTTGATTTGACCGCGTGTGATTTCCCAGTCGAAGACAAAGATCTTGCACGGGTTGTAATTTTCTGATTGTTGCATGGTTCTCCTTGCCATGAATGAAAGGGGAAGCTCAAAGTAGAAGTTGTAACGGCGATGCCATTGGGGACACGGGATGAGTTTATCTGCGTCCGTAGTCGTCGCTGTGCGTGGGACAACATTGTCTGTGTACTGTGCACTGCGTGTGTGAACTGTGTACTGCGTGTGTGCGGTATCGTGTATGTGCTGCGTGTGCTGTGTGTGTACTGACTGTATTTGCGTGTACTGTGTGTGTGTGCGCATTGTGCATTTGTACTGTGTGTGTACTGTCTGTATTGCGTGTACTGTGTGTGTACTGTATTGTGTGTGATGTGTGTACTATGTGTACTGTCCGTATTGCGTGTACTCTGTACTGTGTGTACTGTGTTTGTACTGTGTCTACTGTGTATACCGTGTGTGTGTGTACTGTCTGCATATACTCTGTGTGTGTACTGTGTTTGTGTACTGTGTGTGTATACTGTGTGTGTACTGTGTGTGTACTGTGTATACTGTCTGTGTACTGTGTGTGTGTACTGTGTGTGTCCTGTGTGTACTGTCTGTGTGTACTGTGTGTGTACTGTGTGTGTGTGTACTGTGTACACACGTACACACAGTTTTTTTGGAACGCATCTACGTCAGATCGTTCCCCCCTCACCTCCGATCAGAACGGTTGGCTACGCACCGGAAAGAAGTTGAACACACGTAGCAGCCAGATGAGCTCACCGAGTTCGAAGGTGGATTGGAGGAGGTCTTTTGCCCTCTGTGGGAAGCTACAAGCTGACAACAACAACAACGTTAAGCCACGTGAGAGCCAATGAACGGTTAATTGACTCGAGTGATTGACGGCCTATTTTTAGCCACGAGTCTCTATCGACAGGGAAGATTATGACCAAGACGGCCAGAACGCGCCCGATCTCGTTAGGATCTCGGAAGCTCAGCAGGGCAACACTTGGTTTGCATCATCATCAAGTTATCCGCATCTGCTGCTGCTGCCATTGCCACGGTTTGTGTGCGGATAGTGGCTTAGTGGTTCTTGTGGCCCCATAATCCTCGGGGAAGATCGAAGGCAGGGATCTTCTCCGTCGAGTCTTGCACGAGGAGGTGGCTTCTTGGTGAACCTAGCCTGGCACAAGCGCCGTGGTGACGTCTCCGCCGCTTAGTGGCGAACGGCGGTTGTTGTTGTTGTTGTTGTGTGAACTCCCATTTGGCTTTCCAAGCATCTTCAACCATCAGGGTGTCAACAAGAGGCGTGACGTCTTGGCCAAAAACATGCCCCCTCTCTCAAAATGACCACTGTTTCATTGCTTTTATGGCTTTATTTTGATGATTTTCGAAAAGTTTTTTGTTTGGCCATATTTGTTTGTTGTAGTACAGAGTTAGACTGATGGCCTTAATCTAAGTTGTCTTGTGGTTGTTGTTGTTTGACTTGCATCCCACTGGGATATTTGCACAGGGTTGTTGTACGGTGATTTTTCTGCAATATTTTGCTGTCTTTTCTTGGATTTTCTGTTTGCATATAGTCACTTTAAGATGTTTTCTTGTTCATGTTTTTTGTTTGTTGCAGTTCCGATTCAAGAGCCGAATGGCTCACAGGGCTGTGTGTGGGTGTCTGCACTGTGGGGATTAGCGCAATGCGCTACGAACCCGGCGACCCGAGTTCGATTCCCGCTCACGGCCAACACCGGTGGCTATTGTCTGACCGGCTCCAGCGCAGTGCCGGATGAATCTCGTGCGGGGCCTTGTAGCGATATGTTACAAAGGGGCCCTACATAAAAAAAAACACGTAAATATTAAAATAATTTTTTTTTACTTGCGTAGTAAAGTAATTGTATTTTTTCATTTGCTATACAGCCGGAAAAAAAACGACAAATCGCTAACCTTAAACACCCAGTCGTTCGTAAAAGTTGAAGGCGGTATAGTACTATAGTAATAGAGCAAGTGCAGAACCACTGAATCGGAATTGATAGCTTGAAAGCGTTTAGCGCGGGGCCCTTGAAAGTGCGGGGCCCGTAGCTACTTTGCTACTACATGTGTAGCTACTTTTGCTACGAGGATAATCCGGCACTGCTCCTGGGCCTCCCCTAGATCGGCTCAGCCTCGAAACGAGTACCCAGTGCGCTGCATAAAACATCGCCGCTGGGGAGACAAAGGCGGCCGGGAACGGTGCTGGCCACCCCCCCCCCCCCATGCACCGTGTGTCGGCCTTCATAGCTTGCTGCTACTCGCGAACCGGCACTGACCCCCAACAATCAGTAAAGGCTACACGGGCCGGTGTGGGACGGTGTGGGGGGGGGGGGGGGGTCTTCGTCTTTTCTCTGCAGGCCGCGCTCATGCTGGAGGTGGGGGTCCGCGTGGTGCGTGGCCGTGACTGGCGCTGGGCCGACCAGGACGGCGGCGAGGGCCACGCGGGCACTGTGGTTCTGGTGGCGCGACGCGGCGAGAAGGCGGCGAGGGAGGCACGCACCGTGGTGGTGCAGTGGGACACGGGAGCGCGCGCAGACTATCGAGCCGGCTACCAGGGCGCACACGACCTGCTGCTGCTGGACAACGCGCAGATCGGTGGGGGTGGCACTGCGCGCGTGTGGGGGGGAGGGGGGTTGTGGATGTGTGAGGGTTTGTGAGTGGGTGCGTGGGGGGGTGTGTGGGTGTGGGGGGTTTGTGTGTGTGGGTGTGTGGGGGTTTGTGTGTGGGTGTGTGGGGGTTTGTGTGTGGGTTCGTGGGGGGGTTTGTGTGTGGGTGTGTGTGAGGGTTTGTGTGTGTGTGCCCTGCGCACGTGTGTGTGGGTGCGTGGGGGGGTGGGGGTTTGTGTGTGGGTGTGTGTGGGGGTTTGTGTGTGGGTGTGTGTGAGGGTTTGTGTGTGGGTGCCCTGCGCACGTGTGTGTGGGTGCGTGGGGGGGTTGTGTGTGGGTGTGTGGGGGTTTGTGTGTGGGTGTGTGGGGGTTTGTGTGTGGGTGTGTGTGAGGGTTTGTGTGTGGGTGCCCTGCGCACGTGTGTGTGGGGGGTTGTGTGTGGGTTTGTGGGGGTTTGTGTGTGGGTGTGTGGGGGTTTGTGTGTGGGTGTGTGTGAGGGTTTGTGTGTGGGTGCCCTGCGCACGCGTGTGTGGGGGTTTGTGTGTGGGTGTGTGTGGGGGTTTGTGTGTGGGTGGGGGTTTGTGTGTGGGTGCCCTGCGCACGTGTGTGTAGGTGCGTGGGGGGGTTGTGTGTGGGTGGTGGGGGTTTGTGTGTGGGTGTGTGGAGGTTTATGTGTAGGTGTGTGGGGGGGGGGGGGGTGTGTGGGTGCGTGTGGTGCCTGTGCTGTAGAGGTGCTCGTTAGCAGCACTTGCCCCAAGAGTCTATTAAGGCTACACGGGTGATGATGAAGACGACGATGACAATAAGATTATGTCAACGATATTCACGACGACGAAGATGATGACAATGATGTCAATGATAACTGGAATGATGATCACGACGACGATGATGATGACAATGCTGATGACAATGATGTCAATGATGATCACGACGATGATGATGACAATGAATGAACCAGTGCCTCCTCCCCCTAACGTTGACCCCCCCCCCCGCCCCCCCCCCAGGCGTACGGCACCCGAACATCGCGTGCGACGCCTGCGGCACGCGCGGCCTGGCGGGGCTGCGTTGGCGCTGCGTCTCGTGCCGCGACTTCGACCTCTGCACGCGCTGCTACGCGGGCAGCCGCCACGAGCTGTCGCACGCGTTCCAGCGCTACGAGCACGCGCGCGCCGTGCCGTGCGTAGCGCGCTCTCGTCCACTCACTCGTCCACTCACTCGCTCGCTCACTCGTCCACTCACTCGCTCGCTCACTCGTCCACTCACTCACTCGCTCGCTCAATCAACCACCCGCTCGCTCGCTCACTCACTCACTCGTCCACTCACTCACTCGCACGCTCAATCAGCCACTCACTCGCTCGCTCAATCAACCACCCACTCACTCACTCGCTCGCTCAATCAACCACCCGCTCGCTCGCTCACTCGTCCACTCACTCACTCGCTCGCTCAATCAGCCACCCGCTCGCTCGCTCACTCGTCCACTCACTCACTCGCTCAATCAACCGCTCGCTCGCTCACTCGTCCACTCGCTCGCTCAAGCAACCACCCGCTCGCTCGCTCTCTCGCCCACTCACTCACCACACTCGCTCACTCACCCACTCACTCGCACGCTCGCTCACACACTCGTCCACTCACTCACTCACCCCACTCGCTCACTCACTCAATCGCCACATTCACTCACTCACTGACCCACTCACTCGCACGCTCGCTCTCATACTCGTCCACTCATTCAATCACCCCACTCGCTCACTCACCCGCTCACTCGCACGCTCACTGACCCACTCAGTCAACCACTCACTCGCACGCTCGCCCTCACACTCGTCCACTCACTCATCCCACTCACTCACCCCACTCACTCACTCACTCACCCCACTCACTTACTCACTCACCCACTCTCTCACTCGCTAGCTCGCCCACTCTCCCACTCATCTCACTCACTCACCAACTCAGTAAACCATCCACTCACCCACTCACCCACTCACTCCCCCACTCACTCTCCCACTCATCCACTCACTCAGCAATTCAGTCAACCATCCACTCACCCACCAATCCACCCATTCAGCTCCCCAACTCAACTGAAATTCAGTTTTTTCAGGACCCATCTTGAGACAGAGAGGCTATCCAGCGTAACCAAAATTCCAATCATCATAGTAACACGACGTCTAATAAACGTTAGCGTGCACGTGGTGGCAACGGAGCTTGCTGTGATCCCTGCGAGGGATGAGCTGAGATTAGCGCGAGGCGCGGGCAAGGGCACTCGGAGGCCGATGCCGCATGCTCACGCTCCAGTGACCATCGATAATCCAGCTGTGCGGGGAGTGGGGGGTTGGTGGACCACGGAGTGATGGAGAACATCGAGTGTGGGTTGTGTGTGGGGAGCCTTCGCAGGTGCTCGCTAACAGCGCTTGCCTCGGCAGCCTGTTAAAGGCTATACCGTGCGGGGGATCTTTTGTCTTTGGGGAGCGGTGGCGCAGTGGTTAGCGCGCTGAGAACCAATGGAAACCATGGTTACAGCAAATAACAAAACGCTTGTGAAGGCCGCGGCGATGGTGAGCGCACTGCGCTATGAACCCGGCGACCCGAGTTCGATTCCCGCTCACGGCCACCAACATCGGCGACAATTACGTGAACGGGTCCTGAGCCTCCCCTAGGTCGACTCAGCCCGAAATGAGTACCTGGTGCGGTGCGTAAACCATCACCACGAGAGAGACAAAGGCGGCCGGGCGTGGTGCTGGCCACTCACCCACTGGTGTGCCGTGCCGGTCTTCATAGGTGCTACTCGCTAACAGCACTTGGCCGCTACAGTCAGTTAAAGACTACATGGGGCAGCTTTGTCTTTGGCGGGCGGTAGTGCATCAGGAACCGTCTATTGATTCACTATCTTACTATTGTGCATAGTACACAATCGTATTTGGCTGCTGGAGCATTTGGCAACCGCTATAGATTTCCAAACGACGATAAGCCACTTCGTAGAGCTACATAGCTCAGTGGGCCTTACCTGGTAAAATACAAATTGAGTTTATATTATCTCCCGTGATTGGCGTCCTTGATTTGACCGCGTGCGATTTCCCAATCGACGATAAGCATCTTGTACGGGTTGTTATTGGCCTCTTTGCCATGAATAAAAATAGTTTAGTTTTAGATTTAAAGCTTTCGTGACTGCAGGGATTCATCTTCTTGGTTCTTTCGGTAAAGTCACGTAGAATGTAAATAATAAAATAATAAAAATGAAACATTATACAATAATTATTTTATTTTGTTTTATTTTTATTAAAATAAAACATAATAAAATAATTATTTTAGTTTATTATTTTTTCTTTTTATTATTTTATTATTTCCATTCTACCTGACTTTACCGAAAGAACCAAGAAGATAGTTTTTTTGTTTTGCACGTTCCTCCATTGTGCACATTCCTGCCAACGCTGTCCAAACCACAGACACGGCGATTTTACCACCTCCACACTCTCACTCACGACTGGCCCCGAGTCTAACCGCGTGTCCTGTTGCTCCGTAGGGTGGCCGTGGGCTGCCGCATGGGCCTGCAGAGGGTGCAACTCATGGGGATATTCCCGGGGGCAAAGGTCGTGCGAGGGGTGGACTGGGAGTGGGGCGATCAGGACGGTAAGGCGACACGGACCACTGACAATCCAACATTAACTTGATATATGTTCCACCATTGGAACCTCAGTGCGCCTTTTGGCGTCATCTGGTCCAACCCATGTGAGACTAGGCTCTAAGGAAAGCTGTCCAATCAACTTCAAGGACAGTGCATACATTATCAGAGTTATGTTTTTTGTTTGCATTATGACTGCAGGTATTGTGGTCTATGTAAACATGACTCTTTGTAAAAAAAGGTGTCAGTTTTGTTGCCAGATAGAAGGGTAAAAAAACAATTATCATTGATATATGTTCTGTGATGGGACCCCCCCCTCCCCCCCCAACTCTGGTGGAGGAGGCGGTGCAGGTGGCGTGGGCCGCGTGACGGAGCTCCGCGGCTGGGACGGCGACGAGCGAAGCGGCGTGGCGTGCGTGCTCTGGGAGGCGAGCGGCAGTCGCAGTGTGTACCGCGTCGGGCACCAGGGCCGCGTCGACCTGCGCTGCGTCAGCCCAGCCCTGGGTGGCCACTACTTCCGGGAGCACCTGCCCAGCCTGGGTAAGTCCCGACTGGGGCTCCACTGATAAGCCGCCAGCCCCTCCTCCTCAAACTCCCACCCCCATTTTTTTTTCCACTGCCACATCCGAGCCGAGCCGGCGCGAGGCCCCTCTCGACTCTTTGTGTGTGCGGGGAGCGGTGGTGGAGCGGTTAGCGCGCTGCGCTACGAACCCGGCGACCCGAGTTGGTTTCCCGCTCATGGCGAACACTGGTGACGATTATCTGAAAGGGTTCTGGGCATCCCCTAGGTCGACTCAACCTGAAATGAGTATCTGGTGTTGTGTGTAAAACATCACCGATGGAGAGACAAAGGCGGCCGGGCGTGGTGTTGGCCACCCACCCCCTCGTGTGCTGTGCCGGCCTTCATAGGTGACAGTCGCTAACCGCACTTGCCCCAACAGTCTGTTACAGGCTATACGGGTGATCTTTTGTATTTGTGACCAGAATCGTGTCAATTAATTGATGGCGGCCACAGGTTCGCGGGGTTGCTTCTTACTCTCCCGGAGCGACTCAAACAATCCGGAGAGAAAACTTGAAGCCGTCAACAAAGAGGGGCGACATCTGTGACGGGTCGGTTATGGAACCCTGGCGTCTCTCCCACCACCACCACCACAGGGCAGGCAGCGGCGCTGTGCGGGTCGGAGCGCGTCTCCTCGGCCTCACCGCTGCCCGCGTCTCCGTTCCGCCCGCGCGACGCGCGGCCCGGCACGCTGCGTGTCCTGCAGCGGGGCCACGGCGGCTGGAACAGCGAGATGACCCAGGTGGAGCGCGCAGCGGCGGTACGCGCGGGGCGGGGGGGGGGTCACGGCGCGAGCACGAGGCTTGAGTTTGGCCGCAACGCAAACCCTGACCTACACCCCAACTCAAACCCTGACCCCCCCCAATGCAAACCCTTACCCCCCCCCCAACTCAAACCCTGACCCCCAATGCAAACCCTTACCCCCCCCCCAACTCAAACCCTGACCCCCAACTCAAACCCTGACCTCCCCCAACTCAAACTTTAACCCCCAAAGCAAACCCTGACCCTCCCCCCCCAACTCAAACCCTGACCCCCAACTCAAATCCTGACCTCAAACACAAACAGCACTTGCCCCAACAGTCTGTTCAGGCTATACGGGGGGTCTTTGTCTCTGGGGAGTGGTAGTGTAGTAGCCAGCGCACAATCCTGGTCACCCGAGTTCGATTCCAGCTCACAGCCAACGTCGGTAACGGACATTCGGACCAGCCCTGGGCCTCACCCTACGTTGACTCAACCTTGAAAGCGTACCCGGTGCGGTGTGTTAACATCAGCATTGGGGAGACAAAGGCGGCCGGGCGTGGTGCTGGCCACCACCACACCCTTGTTCGTGTACCGTGCCGTCCTTAATAGGTGCTCGCTAACAGCACTTTCCCCAACCGTCAATGTCAACGCGGGGTGATCTTCGTCTCTTGTGTGGAACTAGCAGCGGCGGCGGTGGGGGCAGCGTATCGGTTGACAAAGCCGCTGCAACAAACCATGAACCCTGACCCCAACTCTGACCCTGACCGCTGACCCCTGCAGTACATGGGGCGTCTCGGACGGGTGAACCGCGTGACGGAAAGCGGGCACGTGCACGTGGCCCACCCCAGCGGCACGCGCTGGACCCACAACCCACACGCGCTCACCAAGGTGGGCGCGCGAGGGGGCAGCGCTCTGTCCGGTGCAGATGGAATAGATGGAGATTAGTCCGCACTTGCTGTACCGCCTCGATGCGCACGGGGGATGGGAGTTTGGCAGCGTTTGCGCGATCCACGAACCCTCGCTGCCTCTGCTGGATTCGAAACATGCATGGCCAACAGGCGTTGTCTCTGCAGACACGCGCACGCAGTTCAATCGACGTGCGTCTCACTGCCCTCTACACATGACAGATGATGAGGATGATGATGTGAAGTCTCTGCAAAGAGATGATGTTGATGATGGGGGGGGGGGTTATGATGATGATGTCGATGATGATGGTGATTATGTTGATGGTAATGGTGTTGATGATGTGGATGATGGTGATGATGATGATGCCGACGATGATATTGATGGTTATTATGTTGATGTTGGTGATGATGTTGATAATATCGATGATGGTGACTTCTATTGATGATGTTGATGATGGTGATGATGGTGATGGTTTTGATGATGGTGTTGTTTATGATAATTGCGTTGATGATGTTGATGACAGTTTTTCAAATTGACGGTGATGATGGTGATGGTCTAGAGTCTAGACGATGTCAATGATGGTGACGATGATGGTGACGGTGGTGATAATGTTGATGATGAGTAACGATGTTGATGATTAGTTTCGGTGATGGCGATGACGTTTAATGTCTTGATGTGTTGACGCCGATGGCCCTGCAGGCGGAGGGCTTCACGGCAGGCGACTCGGTGAGGGTCACGTCACTCACTCACCTCGTAACTCACTCACTCACCTCGTCACCCAGGAATCTCGCCACTCACTCACCTCGTCACTCACTCACCTCGTAACTCACTCACCTCGTCACCCACCTCGTCACTCACTCACCTCGTCACTCACTCACCTCGTCACCCACCTCGTCACTCACTCACCTCGTCACTCACTCACTCACCTCGTCACGTCACCCAAGAATCTCGCCACTCACCTCGTAACTCGCTCACCTCTTTACTCAAAGATCCCCCGTATATCTTTTTGGTTTTTTCGGTAAAGTCACGTAGAATGGAAATAATAAAATAATAAAAATAAAACATTATAAAATACAATTCTCACGACGTTTCGGCCACAACGCAAGCAGCCGTCCTCAGGTGAAGAACAGGTTATGTCGGAAAGACAGCGTCTGAATGACAGACCTGTTCTTCACTTGACGACATGGCTTAACCATTTGTTTTCGAAATCACCAAAATAAAGCTTTCAAGACAATCCTTTCCCATACCTCCCAGGTTCCTTCTTGTGCTAGATTTGAAGCTTTCGTGACTGCAAGGATGCATACTCTTATATTTTGTCGGTAAAGTCACGTAGGTAAAAAATAAGTAATAAAAAATACTAAATAATAGAAAAAATAATATAAATAAAATAATAAATCACGACGTTTCGGAGGCAACACAAGCTTCCGTCTTCAGGTGGAACCGTCACAGCAAAATTGCTGTATCAAGTAAAGAGAAGTCCCAAGAGACCCGACCTTGTATATATACTGGTTGAGGGGGGAGGAGCCAGGATGGGCCGCGAGAGAGGAGTTGTTGTGAGATTAGTCAGTGCGGCTGGGACTGAGCCTTTGTCATGTAGATGGCAGAAGCAGATAAGCAAGCCAGGACCAAGCCGCCCCTTGCTATGCTGCACCACGACTCTTTCTCTCCATCACCTCGTGCATTTCATGCCCCCCTCCCTCTCACCTCATCACCCCCCTCCCCCGGCCACCCCCACCACCACACTCACCCCCCCGTGGCTCACCAGGTCCTGGGAGCGGCGTCCCTCGTAGACGACTCCACGTGCGTCTCGACGGCCGCGCCCGAAGAGGTCGCTCGGCCCAAGACTCGCGGGGCGAGTGAGCGGCACGCACGCACAAAGACAAAGGTCCCGCCACAACCACCCCTCCCCGGTGTAGCCTTAACAGACCGTTGGGGCAAGTGGGGGTGGGGTGGGTGGCCACCACCGCGGCCCCCGAGCGGCGATGTTTTTACTCTCCGTACCGCGTGTGCTCATTTGAGGCTGGGTCGACCTAGGGGAGACACGGCACGGGTTCAGAAAAAATTGTCGCTGGGTTTACACCATTGGTACCTCATTTGCCAGTAAAAAATATGATAATTGTTTTTTTACCCTTTAATCTGGCAACAAAACTGACACCTTTTTTTAAAGCTGTCTCGGGTGTGGACCAATCAACTTCAAGGACAGTGCATACATGATCAGAGTTATGTTTTTTTTTGCATTATGACTGCAAGTATTGTGGTCTATGTAAACATGACTCCTTGTAAAAAAAGGTGTCAGTTTTGTTGCCAGATTTAAGGGTAAAAAAACAATTGTCGCTGGGTTGTTGGCCAGCGAGGAGCGGGAATCGAGCCTCGGGTGGCCGGGTTCGTCGCGCAGTGCACTGCCCGCCGTCATCGGTGTCATGTTTATTTGCTGTCGCCACGTGGCCATTGTGGAGCCAGGTCCCTATCGACAGCTTGCATTATTGTCCGATGGGTTGTTTACCTGTGCCAACAACAACAAACAGACACACTCACAGCGGCGTCCTAGGCGAGGTTGGCATCGGCCCTGGTGCAAGGAATTAAATGTCACTCTACTCCACCCCCTGCTCCTCCAACTCCGTATCCCTCCCCGTGTAGTTGTAAGACCCTCCACCACACGACGTAGCCAAACAAACGATAATCTGCCAACGTGTGCAGGCGTATGACGCCTCATCGTCCTCGTCGTTATCGTCGTCATCGTCACCATCATCGTCGTCACCATCATCGTCGTCATCGTCGTCGCCATCATCGTCGTCGTCGTCATCGTCATCCTTGTCACCATCATCGTCGTTGTCAGCGTCCTCATCGTCGTCATTCCGGCCCACTCACCTGGTAAGGTTGAAGAGCAAATCGTCACAGCGTTATCGACGCGCGCGCCCGCGCGGTGCGGTGTGACGCGCGCGGTCACGTGTGGCGCGCGTGGTGCGGTGTGACGCGCGCGGTCACGTGTGGCGCGCGCGATGCGGTGTGACGCGCGCGGTCACGTGTGGCGCGCGCGATGCGGTGTGATGCGCGCGGTCACGTGTGGCGCGCGCGGTGCGGTGTGACGCGCGCGGTCACGTGTGGCGCGCGCGGTGCGGTGTGACGCGCGCGGTCACGTGTGGCGCGCGCGATGCGGTGTGACGCGCGCGGTCACGTGTGGCGCGCGCGGTGCGGTGTGACGCGCGCGGTCACGTGTGGCGCGCGCGGTGCGGTGTGACGCGCGCGGTCACGTGTGGCGCGCGCGATGCGGTGTGACGCGCGCGGTCACGTGTGGCGCGCGCGATGCGGTGTGACGCGCGCGGTCACGTGTGGCGCGCGCGGTGCGGTGTGACGCGCGCGGTCACGTGTGGCGCGCGTGGTGCGGTGTGACGCGCGCGGTCACGTGTGGCGCGCGCGATGCGGTGTGACGCGCGCGGTCACGTGTGGCGCGCGTGGTGCGGTGTGACGCGCGCGGTCACGTGTGGCGCGCGCGGGTGCGGTGTGACGCGCGCGGTCACGTGTGGCGCGCGCGGTGCGGTGTGACGCGCGCGGTCACGTGTGGCGCGCGCGATGCGGTGTGACGCGCGCGGTCACGTGTGGCGCGCGCGATGCGGTGTGACGCGCGCGGTCACGTGTGGCGCGCGCGGTGCGGTGTGACGCGCGCGGTCACGTGTGGCGCGCGCGGTGCGGTGTGACGCGCGCGGTCACGTGTGGCGCGCGCGGTGCGGTGTGCCGCGCGCAGGCTCGCTGGGCTCTCTGCTCGAGGTGGTGCTGCGTGGGGGACCACCGCCGTCCTCGTCCCGACCCTCGAGCGCCCGCGGAGACCCCCCGGGGGTGCTGCTCGTCACGCACGCGGTGCTCGGGCACGTGCGGGAGATGCGCGCGCTGCTCGACGCGTTCCCGCACGAGGTGCGTGCGCGCGCGCTCGGTATCCGCTCGCTGTCGTAGAGAGAGAAAGGGGAGAGAGAACGACTCAGAGGCCTGGTGTGCAGGAGGTCGTGGGTTCGATCCCGACCCTGACGCCTACTGCTGTATATTTGGAGTTTGCGTGTCTCTCTCTCATCATCATCACTGTGGCTAGGAGATGTTAACTACCTCGCCTGGCGTGCAGGAGGTCGTGGGTTCGATCCCGACCCCGACGCCTGCTGCTGTATATTGGGAGTTTGCGTGTCTCTCTCTCTCATCATCATCACGGTGGCTAGGAGATGTTAACTACCTCGCCTGTTATGCAGGAGGTCATGGGTTCGATCCCGACCCCGACGCCTGCTGTATATGTGGAGTTTGCGTGTCTGTCTCTCCCCCGTCGCCGCGTGGATCTTTCTCTGGGTCCTCCGGTTTTTCCCTCCATATTTAGAAGCAACGCGCGTGGGTGCGTGGGGGGGTGAGTGCATGGGTGAGTGAGTGCGTGGGTGGGGTGAGTTCGTGGGTAGGTGAGTGCATGCGTGGGTGGGTGAGTGAGTGCGTGGGTGGGTGAGTGTGTGGGTGGGTGAGTGCGTGGGTGCGTAAGTGTGTGGGTGAGTGTGAGTGAGTGTGTGGGTGAGTGTGTGGGTGAGTGCGTGGGTGGGTGAGTGAATGCGTGCGTGGGTGGGTGCGTGCGCGCTGGCAGGTGGACGCGCAGGTGGAGGGCAAGACGGCGCTGCAGGTGAGTGCGCACCTGGGCCACGGCGCTGCCGTGTCGCTGCTGCTGGAGCGAGGGGCCGACGCGACGCGCCGGGACCCCGACGGAGACACGGCCCTGCACTACGCGGCCTACGGGTACGCAGAAAGCCCAGGCCTTGGGGGGCCGGCCCCCCACGGGGCCCCCTTCCCCCCCTCCCCCACCCACCCAGGCAGTCCGGGCCGATTGAGCCACAAGAACCGTAACTGGGTGATCCATCATGGGACCTCCTTTGCCAGTACCAAAATATACTAATAGGGGTTTTCCCCTTTTTTTCTGGCAACAAAACTGACACCTTTTGCAAGGAATCATGCTTACATTAACCACAATACTTGCAGTCAAATACAATACAAAAACAATACAATACTGATAATTTATGCATTGTCTTTGAAACTGATTGGTCCACACCAGAGACAGCTTTCTTTGGAGCCTAGTCTCATATGGTGTTCGACCAGATGACGCCAAAAGGCGCACAGTTCAAAGACAACGCACTACCAGAGTAACTGGGTGATCCATCGTCGATAGGTCATCTCTGCCCTTGGGGGTCAACGTCACTGTGAAGGGATTCTGGAAGCAGCTCTGTGGCCCAGACGAGCTTTGGTTTTGCGACGTCGCTGCTGCGTTCAGGACAGGGCTCAGTTTGAGAGGACTCGCAATAACGGCCTCAGACGGAGTCCCTGTGACCTAGGGCGGTCCATCTCGCGGCCAGCCCCGCGGATCGAGGGAGGCCAGAAACGGAAGAGATTTCGGAAGCGGTTCTACGGCATCTACTTTCCACGGGCCGTCCGCGAGCACACGGCGGTGACGCTGTTAGCCTGCCAGAGAGAGGGATGCTGCCGTTGTCCGAATGGAGGCTTCGTCTCGTGGCACCAAGGCGATAAAACAACCGGAATCAGAGCCAGGACAGAGGTGAAAGGAAAGTGGGCGCGCTCCAGAGAGAGTAGTGTTCTTCACAAACTTTAAGAGGAGAGGGGGCACTTTGGCCGACAAGACATCATCAGTGTGTGAAGGCCGGCACATCATTTGAAACCATTGGTGGTTTAAATTTCGATTTAAAGCTTTTGTGACTGCAGGGATTCATCTTCTTGGTTCTTTCGGTAAAATCACGTAGGTCGACAGACCTGTTCTCCATCTAAGGACGGCTGCTTGCATTGTGGCCGAAACGTCGTGAGCATTATTTTATGTTTTATTTTTATTATTTTATTATTTCCATTCTACGTGACTTTACCGAAAAAACCAAGAAGATGAATCCCTGCAGTCACGAAAGCTTTAAATCGAAACAAACATGGCGCAAACAAAAACGTCTTCTCGAGTTGTCGGTAGCTTACGACCTCCCCCCCCCCCCGTCTCAGGAGCCGCGAGGCGGTGTGCGAGCTGCTGCTGCTGCAGGGCGGCGTCGACCCAGACGTCGTGAACTCCTCCGGCTCCTCGGCGTTGCACGTGGCGGCCAACCGCGGCTACGCGGAGGTGGCGCACGTCCTCTGTGAGCACGCCTGTGACGTCAACGTGCAGGTGGGCTGGGCGTCGCCGCATGTGTGTGTGAGCGTGTGTGAGTGTGTGAGTGTGGTGAGTGTGTGTGTGTGAGTGTGTGTGTGAGTGGTGTGTGTGTGGTGAGTGTGTGAGTGTGTGGTGAGTGTGTGTGAGTGTGTGAGTGGTGTGTGTGTGTGTGGTGAGTGTGTGTGAGTGTGTGTATGGTGAGTGTGTGGGGAGTGTGTGTGTGAGTGTGTGAGTGAGTGTGTGTGAGTGTGTGAGTGGTGTGTGTGTGTGTGGTGAGTGTGTGTGTGAGTGTGTGTGTGAGTGTGTGAGTGTGTGTGTGAGTGTGTGAGTGTGTGGTGAGTGTGTGTGTGTGGTGAGTGTGTGTGTGTGGTGAGTGTGTGGGGAGTGTGTGTGTGAGTGAGTGTGTGTGAGTGTGTGAGTGGTGTGTGTGTGTGTGGTGAGTGTGTGTGTGAGTGTGTGTGTGAGTGTGTGAGTGTGTGTGTGAGTGTGTGAGTGTGTGGTGAGTGTGTGTGTGTGGTGAGTGTGTGTGTGGTGAGTGTGTGTGTGTGAGTGTGTGTGTGAGTGTGTGAGTGTGTGGTGAGTGTGTGTGTGTGGTGAGTGTGTGTGTGTGGTGAGTGTGTGGGGAGTGTGTGTGTGAGTGTGAGTGAGTGTGTGTGAGTGTGTGAGTGGTGTGTGTGTGTGGTGAGTGTGTGTGTGAGTGTGTGTGTGAGTGTGTGAGTGTGTGTGTGAGTGTGTGAGTGTGTGGTGAGTGTGTGTGTGTGGTGAGTGTGTGTGTGGTGAGTGTGTGTGTGTGGTGAGTGTGTGTGAGTGTGTGAGTGTGTGTGTGAGTGTGTGAGTGTGTGGTGAGTGTGTGTGTGGTGAGTGTGTGTGAGTGTGTGTGTGAGTGAGTGTGTGGTGAGTGTGTGTGAGTGTGTGAGTGGTGTGTGTGAGTGTGTGTGTGTGAGTGGTGTGTGTGAGTGTGTGTGAGTGTGTGTGTGGTGAGTGTGTGTGTGTGAGTGTGTGTGTGAGTGGTGTGTGTGTGTGAGTGTGTGTGTGTGAGTGTGTGTATGTGTGGTGAGTGTGAGTGTGTGAGTGTGTGGTGAGTGTGTGAGTGTGTGAGTGTGTGTGTGAGTGTGTGAGTGTGTGGTGAGTGTGTGTGTGGTGAGTGTGTGGTGAGTGTGTGTGTGGAGTGAGTGTGTGTGGTGAGTGTGTGTGTGTGAGTGGTGTGTGTGAGTGTGTACGTGTGTGAGTGTGTGTGTGGTGAGTGGTGTGTGTGAGTGGTGTGTGTGAGTGTGTGTGTGAGGAGTGTGTGTGTGTGTGAAGAGTGTGTGGGAAGAGTGTGTGTGAGTGTGTGTGAGTGAGGAGTGTGTGTGAGGAGTGTGTGTGTACGTGTGTGTGTATGAAGAGTGTGTGTGTGAGGAGTGTGTGAGGAGTGTGTGTGTGTGTGTGGTGAGTGTGTGTGTATGAGAGGGTGTGTGTGAGTGGTGTGTGTGAGTGGTGTGTGTGAGTGTGTGTGTGAGTGGTGTGTGTGAGTGTGTGTGAGTGTGTGTGAGTGTGTGGTGAGTGGTGTGTGTGTGGTGAGTGAGTGTGTGTGAGTGGTGTGTGTGTGGTGAGTGAGTGTGTGTGAGTGGTGTGTGGTGAGTGTGTGGTGAGTGTGTGTGTGAGTGTGTGTGTGAGTGTGTGTGAGTGTGTGTGTGTGGTGAGTGGTGTGTGTGTGGTGAGTGAGTGGTGTGTGTGTGGTGAGTGAGTGTGTGTGAGTGGTGTGTGGTGAGTGTGTGTGAGTGTGTGTGTGTACGTGTGTTTGTGAAGAGTGAGTGTGTGTGAGTGTGTGTGAGTGTGTGGTGAGTGTGTGTGTGTAAGTGTGTGGTGAGTGTGTGTGTGTGAGTGTGTGTGTGTGAGTGGTGTGTGTGAGTGAGTGTGTGGTGAGTGTGTGTGTGGTGAGGAGTGTGTGAGGAGTGTGTATGTGAGTGTGTGTGTGGTGAGTGTGTGTGTGGTGAGTGTGTGTGTGGTGAGTGTGTGTGAGTGGTGTGTGTGTGGTGAGTGTGTGTGTGAGTGGTGTGTGTGAGTGGTGTGTGTGAGTGAGTGTGTGGTGAGTGTGTGTGTGGTGAGTGTGTGTGTGGTGTGTGAGGAGTGAGTGTGTGTGTGTGTGAGGAGTGTGTGGGAAGAGTGTGTGTGAGTGTGTGTGAGTGTGAGTGTGTGAGGTGTGTGAGTGTGTGTGTGAGTGGTGTGTGTGAGTGGTGTGTATGAGTGTGTGTGTGTGAGTGAGGAGTGTGTGTGAGGAGTGTGTGAGGAGTGAGTGTGTGGTGAGTGTGTGTGTGAGTGTGTGTGTGAGTGTGTGAGGAGTGTGTGTGTGTGTGAAGAGTGTGTGTGAGGAGTGTGTGGGAAGAGTGTGTGTGAGTGTGTGAGTGTGTGTGAGTGAGGAGTGTGTGTGAGGAGTGTGTGAGGTGTGAGTGTGTGAGGAGTGTGTATGTGAGGAGTGTGTGTGTGTGTGAGGAGTGTGTGCGTGTGTGTGAGGAGTGTGAGTGTGTGTGTGTATGTGGTGAATGTGTGTGTGTGTGAGGAGTGAGTGTGTGTGTGTGAGTGTGTATGTGTATGAAGAGTGTGTGGTGAGTGTATGAGTGTACGTGTGTGTGAGTGTGTGTGTGTGAGGAGTAAGTGTGTGTGTGTGAGTGTGTGTGTGAGGAGTGTGTGTGTGTAAGTGTGTGAGGAGTGTGTGTGTGTGGAGTGTGTGTGTGTGAGGAGTAAGTGTGTGTTTGTGAGTGTGTGTGTGTGAGGAGTAAGTGTGTGTGGAGTGTGTGAGGAGTGAGTGTGTGTGTGTGAGGAGTGAGTGTGTACGTGTGTGTGAGTGTGTACGTGTGTGTGTGAGGAGTGTGTGCGTGTGTGTGTGAGTGTGTTAGGAGTGTATGAGTGTGTACGTCTGCGTGAGTGTGTGTGTGTGAGGAGTGAGTATGTGTGTGTGTCATGTGCCGTGCCGGCCTTCGTAGGATGCTCGCTAACGCCACTTGCCCCAACGATCCACTGAAGGCTATAACGGGGGCGCGCCTTTGTCTTTGTGGTGCTGGCCACCCACCCCCTCGTGTGCCGTGCCGGCTTTCGTACGGTGCTCGCTAACGCCACTTGCCTCAACGTTCCGCTGAAGGCTATACGGTGGCGGTGGGGGCCTTTATCTTTGTGCGGTCAGGACGCATGCGGGGACACGGCTCTGCACGACGCGCTGGCCAAGGAGGCGCGCGGGGTCGCTGCGCTGCTACTCGCCGCTCCCTCCGCCGACTTCTCGCTCCGAAACCGCCGCGGCTTCAACATCCTGCACCAGGCTGCGCTCAAAGGGAACCAGCTGTGAGTACCTGCGGTGACCCACGTCTCAACCGAGATGTTAACTGCCTCGCCTGGGCGACAGGAGGTCGTGGGTTCGAAGCCGACCCTGACGATGCCTGCTGCTGCTGCTGTATATTTGGAGTTTGCGTGTCTCTCTCTCTCTTTTTCTTCCAGTGGTTAATGTGGATTTTACTGGTAGGAACCTCCTGGTTACACCAGCCCACAGGGGATTATTGTGTCCGTCGTGCAGGGAGGGGCTGGGTGGGGAGGGAGCGGCTGGGTGGGGAGGGGAGGGTGGGGAGGGGCTGTGTGGGGAGGGTGGTGAGGGGCTGGGTGGGGAGGGTGGGGAGGGGCTGGGTGGGGAGGGAGGGGTGGGGCTGGGTGGGGAGTGGGAGGGGTGGGGCTGGGAGGGGTGGGGCTGGGTGGGGAGGGGCTGGTCACCCCGTGGTGCCCTTATAAAACTCAACGTTTAACCTACTCACGCCGGCTTGTGCCCGCCCTCACAGTCGGGCATATTTGCGGAATACACCACGCCGCCGTTGACCCTGGCCATTGACCCTGGCCATTGACCTTGGCCATTGACCGAGCAACCAAACGTTCCTACCAGCTCCCTCGGCAGGAATGTGTTTCTCCGGGTCCTCCGGTTTTTCCCCTCCCACATTTAGAAGCTGATAGTGATGCTGCTGCTGCTGATGGCGATGCTGCTGCTGCTGATGGCGATGATGCAGCTACTGCTGATGCTTCAGTCGCTGCTGCTGAAGTTGATAATGATGCAGCTGCTTCTGCCAATGATGCTGCTGCTGATGGTGATGATGATGCAGCAGCTACTGCTGATGCTTCTGTCGCTATTGCTGCTGCTTCTGCCGATACTGCTGCTGCTACACCTGGTGATGACTACAAGATAGAGATGATAATTATGCTGCTGAAGCTGATAATTATGATGAAGCTGCTTCTGCCAATGATGCTGCTAATGGTGATGATGATGATGCAGCAGCTACTGCTGATGCTTCTGTCGCTGCTGCTGCTGATTCTGCCGATACTTGCTGCTAGTGCTACACCTGGTGACGCTCATCATTATCCCCACTTCACCCACCCACCCGGGCACCCACCCACCTTCTCTCTCTCCCATCCCGACCCCGTGACCTGACCCCGACTTTGACGCTCCCCATGACCCTGACCCCCGACTCTGACCCCCCCCCCCCGGCACAGAGCGACCTCCGTGGTGCTGGAGCGAGCGCGCCAGCTGGTGGACGTGGCCAAGGAAGACGGCTACCGCCCCGTCCACCTCGCCGCCCTCAACAACCACGCCGCCGTGGTGCACATGCTCCTCCGCCAGGTGAGCGCACGGCAGCTCGGGCGAGGATTGCCGGTGGTCGTTGTGGTTGTAGTCGTCGTTGTTGTAGTTGTTGTTGAAGTTATTGTTGTAGTCGTTGTCGTAGTCTTCGTTGTCGTTGTTGTCATAATCGTCGTCGTTTTTGTAGTCGTTGTCGACATAGTCGTTGTTGTTGTTGTAGTCACTGTTGTTGTCGTCGTTGTTGTCGCCGTTGTTGTTGTTGTCATAGTCGTTGTTGGTGACGTTTTCCTAGTCGTTGTCGTCATTGTTGTCGGTGAGAACACGCACAACTCCAGGGTTCGGGATCGAACCCACGACCTCCTGCATACCAGGCGAGGCAATCAACATCTCCTAGCCACCGTGGCGCCCGTCTCTGCGCAGCACGAGTCGTCCACTCACTCCCTCCCTTTGCCGTCCATCGCGTCGCTCTCCCACCCCCACGGCCGCAGGGCCGCTGCGACGCGGACGCGGCGACGGGGCGGCTGCAGACGGCGCTGGCTCTGGCGGCGGGTCAGGGCCACGCCGGGGTGGCGCTGGTGCTCGTGCGCGACGGCGCCTGCTCGACCAACGCCCGCGACGCCGAGGGGCGCACCGCGCTACACGCCGCGCTGGGGGCACGCCGGCTCCACGTCGCGCCCTGGCGGCCCCAGCCGGCGTGCGGGGACGAGACCGAGATGCTCGCCGAGGTGAGAAGGGGACGGTGATGGCCCCCCCACCCCCCCAGGCTTACGAACGCGGTGACGCTCGGGGTCGTCGGCTCTTGACTCTCGCTCTGACCGCTCCCCTGACGCGCAGCTGCGAGCGTCGGGATTCTTCCCGGAGGCGGCGCCGGTCGGAGTGGCCATCGCGTGCTTCCTCGCTCAGTGTGGGGGGGATCCTCTTCGTCCGCGATCACGCCGGCCGCTCGCCGCTCGGCCTGGAGCCCGACCCCGGCGTGCGCCAGCTGCTCGGACACTTCGCGCAGAGGCACAGGTTCGCTCTGCCCGCCCCTGGACGCTCGCGCGTGTGAGAGTGCGAGCGCCTAGCGTGGCCATGGCAGTCTGTTGAGGCTATACGGGGGGGGGGGGGGGGGTGTCGTGTGGAGCGGTGAGCGCACTGCACTACGAACCTGGTAACCCGATTTAGAATCCCACTCACGGCCATCACCGGTGACGCTTATCTGAACCGGTCCTGGGCTTCCCCTTGGTCGACTCTGGTGCGGTGTGTAAACATCGCCGCTAGGGAGACAAAGGCGGCCGGGCGTGGATGCTGGCCACCCACCCCCTCGTGTGCCGTGCCGGCCTTCATAGATGCTCGCTAACAGCACTTGCCCCAACAGTCTGCTCAAGCAATACGGGGGATCTTTGTCCCTGTGTGTGCGTGCTTGCGCACTCTCCATCATCAGTGGTGCCACAAAACTAACGGGCACCCTGAAACTCCCACCCCCTCCTCCTCCACCCCTTCCCCTCCACTGTGCCCCCCCCCCTCCACTGTGCCCCTCCCCTCCACTGTGCCCCCCCCCCCGCCGCTCCCTCACGCAGGAGGTGGGTGTCCGGCTCCGTGGGGGGTCCTGTCGCCCTGCGCAGGGTGCACACGACGCCGCTCATGACGGTGACGAACCTGGACGGCGTGGAGCAGCTGGGAGGCGGCGAGTGCTTGGTCTGCTCCGAGCCGTGCTCGCCCTCGCTCCTCCTGCCCTGCCAACACCGCCTCGCCTGCGAGGGTGCGTGCGTGCGAGCACGTGGTGCGTGCGTGCGTGTTTCTGCGAGGGTCCGTGCGTACGAGCTTGTGGTGCGTGTGTGTGTTTCTGCGAGGGTCCGTGGGTGCGAACGCGTGGTGTGTGCGTGCGTGTGTTTCTGCGAGGGTTCGTGCGTGCGAGCTTGTGGTGCGTGTGTGTGTTTCTGCGAGGGTCCGTGGGTGCGAACGCGTGGTGCGTGCGTGCGTGTGTTTCTGCGAGGGTCCGTGCGTGCGAGCTTGTGGTGCGTGCGTGTGTTTCTGCGAGGGTCCGTGGGTGCGAACGCGTGGTGTGTGCGTGCGTGTGTTTCTGCGAGGGTGCGTGCGTGCGAGCTTGTGGTGCGTGTGTGTGTTTCTGCGAGGGTCCGTGGGTGCGAACGCGTGGTGCGTGCGTGCGTGTGTTTCTGCGAGGGTGCGTGCGTGGGAGGCGGATCGCTCATTGAAATATCGTTAATCGATGGCATCGTAAACCTCGACCACATTCAAATGGGCAGCCTGAATAGTCGCTCGCTAACAACGCAACCGGCGTCTCTCGCGTGCGTGCCTGTCCTGAACGCAGGGTGCAGCCTGCGGATGAAGAGGTGTTTCAAGTGTCAGGTGACCATCACCAAAAAGCTCAGGGAAGGTAAGAAACGGGGCCTTTGTTTGTAAACAACAACAAAAAACAAGATGAGGTGGCGCGGGAGGTTTAGTTGGCAGATGAAGTCGGAGCTGGAAACATTGAGGACCTTGGTTCCTGGCTTCCTGGTTTCAGCCACCTGTAGTGAAACCGGGTTTTCGAGTGAGGCCTAGGCCCGATCAGCAATGACTGAGCACAGAAAAAAAATCAAACATCAAATTTAGGTGTGAACTTAATTTGGGCCAGTTCGACGATCACGTGATTAACAATACCCCCAAGTGGAAAGAAGGGGACGTGGGACAGTGCTACCTCGACGAATGTGTAGACCAGACTTGAATTGATCTCAGGAATACCTCTGTGGTGTCCGCTTCCGCGGGACATTCTTCCACACGAAGGCTCGCACTGCTCTGCTAAGCGAGACGAGTGGACACCTCAACTCGTGACGTGACACCGGTAGCGGAGTCGGGGTGGACATTTTTGAGGGAAAAAAGGCAAATCAAAAAGTTGAAAAACGCACGCGCAAAACCAATTATGATTGTGTTATGATGTCAATATTTCCTCAAGAATAACAAAAAAACTAAACATTTTTTTTATTTTACCAGGTAAGGCCCACTCAGCTGCTAAGTAGCTCTTTTTAGAAACGACCTGGCCACAAATGATAGCTCAACGAAGTGGCTTATCACCGGGAAATGAATTGCAGTCAAATACTCGAAATGCATGTTTCTAAATGTGGAGGGAACACCGGGAGAGGACCCGGAGAAAAATCCACGCGATCACAGGGAGAGAGAGAGAGAGACACGCAAACTACAATTATAGAGCAGGCGTCAGGGTCGGGATCGAACCCACGACCTCCTGCATACCAGGCGAAGGAGATAACATCTCCTAGCCACCGTGATGATGATGAGAGAGAGAGACACGCAAACTCCAAATATACAGCAGGCGTCAGGGTCGAGATCGAACCCACGACCTCCTGTACACCAGGTGAGGTAGTGAACATCTCCTAGCCACCGTGATGATGATGAGAGAGAGAGACACGCAAACTACAAATATACAGCAGGCGTCAGGGTCGGGGTCGAACCCACGACCTCCTGTACACCAGGTGAGGTAGTGAACATCTCCTAGCCGCCGTGGCGCCCAGAAAGAAAGAAATCCTCTTTTGAGTCTCCTGACCCTCTAAAGGATCCCGTTTGAGGTGTTTTGCAATTTGTTTTTACCAATTTCCATTCAGCATGAGAAGAAAGCCCCGTGCACATAGGGGGGAGTGACACATTCTACAGGGTTCACCACACATTACATTCTCCCTGTGGGCAAAGTCAACAGAAGTTGGTAGTGCTTGTCGTCCCGTCAAGACGCGTAGAATTCCTGCGACTGCTGAGGCCGGCCACAAAAATCATAACCTCCCCCACAATGATGTTAGGGGCCGTCCATAAATGACGTCACGCACCTGGGGGGGGGGTGGTCAGACATTTGTGACGATGTGTGACGAGGGGGAGGGGTGGGTTGAGAAATGTGACGTCACATCAAAATGCGCAACTTTAAATGAATGTAGACAACACGTTCTACTTAATTAAATAGACTTTTTGATAAATGCTTTCTCCTACAACATCAGAGTGCAGCGCCACATTAAATACGCACTACAATGACAATAGTTTAAAGCGATTTGCATGTTAAAAAAAAATTGGGGGGGGGGGGGGGCAGAGCTTTGTGACGTCATATTTGAGGGGGGGTCTGACTTTTTGTGACGCCGTGTGACGGGGGGGGGGGGAATTGTTCAAAATCGCGTGACGTCATTTATGGACGGCCTCTTTTGTACAATTGTATAATTATTGTAAAGTAGCTTTGATTAAGGTGCTACATAAATCTAAGATTTTGGAAAAGTACATTTTATTCATGTACATGTCTCCTTGGTGTATTGTATGTAACGGGTATATTTCTATCTTCTTTCGCACCGTACGTAGCCAACCGCGCGGATCGGAGGTGCGGGGGAAAGACAACAAACTCAACACAAAAAGTCGTTCTAAAGAAATTCGTTTTCACTCTAGATGACTTAAAAGTGCAGAGCTCCCCGTGGCTTCCTCATATCGGAAGGAAGAGCGTTCCAGACGGCCGCAGAAGCGCATCTGAAAGCGCGCGATGCGGTGACCCATTTTTGCTCATGCCGAGCGTGAAGCTTCGTCCTCGAGTGATCGTCAGGACGACGGGCAAAATCCTTTCAGCAAAATCTATTCGGGTTTAGCCGCTCGCGCCTCGTTCGTGTGTTGGAACTTCTTTCGCACCATACGTAGCCAACCGTGCCAATGTGAGGTGCGGTGGTGGGGGGGGATGGTGAAACTTGCATCATTCTCACTGACGCCCGCCCGCCTCCCCCCCCCGACACCGCAGACGGAAGCGTCATCGAGTGCCCGACGCGCTCGTCATGTTTCCCGCTGCCGGGCGGCGGCCGCGACGACTGCGCCGGCAACGTCAAGGACCCCTTCCCGGGCACCAGCGGCGGAGACAGCGCCGGAACCTCGGGCAGCAACAGCGGCGGCGACGAAAACGATCCCGGCAGCGACGACGACCACGACGACGCGGCGGCGGCGGCAGCGGAAGAGGAGGCCGAGGGATTGTCCGAGAACGGCCCGGCGCTGCGCGTGCGGTGCCGCGACATGGAGGCGCGGCTGACGTGCGCCGTGTGCATGGAGCGGCCGCTGGGCCTCGTCTTCTCCTGCGGCCACGCGGCCTGCAGCCAGTGCGGCCTCATGCTGCGCGCGTGCCCGCTGTGCCGCAGGGACGTGACGGAGCGCACGCACATCTACGTGTGACGCGGCCCCCACCTCAATGACCGTTGCGATGCCCCCCTACCACACACACCCCTCTCCCTCCTGGAATCCATCTGTGCGGCATCTCGGGGTCGCAATCGACGGCGGCGCCCTCACCTGCACGCTGCCGCCGTGTCTTTCCCACGCACCTCCGGTGTGCACGCTTGGCTACGTACGGTGCGAAAAGAGTTCAACCTACAAACATACTTCTAGATTTGAAGCTTTCGTGACTGCAAGGATTCATGCTCCTAGTTCTTTCGGTAAAGTCACGTACGTAAAAAATGAAACAAAAATTAATTAAAACTTAAATAAAAATCACTACGTTTCGGAGGCAACACGGAGACTTGTGTTGCCTCCGAAACGTCGTGATTTTTATTTTATTTTTAATTAATTTTAATTTCATTTTTTACCCACGTGACTTTACCTGAAAGAACTAAGACTACAAACATACATCCCGTGTCTCGGCCCCCTTGTTTCACCCTTATCCCTGTTTTATCCCCCCGGCTGCCACCTCCAACGGCTTTCGCAGCCGTTCAACATTTAGACGCTTTATTTTAAAAAAGCCCCACGCATACACACATCCCCCCCTTTGTCAATCCACTGTTGGACGAGGACTTCGCCGACCACTCCATGTGGGCCGTGGCAGTGCTCTGCCCATACTTCACCACGCTGCTCAGTGCAGGTTCCGAAGGTTGGAGCCGTAGGTGTGGAAGCATAGAAGTACAGTGCAACAGTAGATGTTTTTGCGACGCTGCTCTATGCCACCTGTCTGCGTGTGATGGTCACCCATACGAGCACTATCCAGGCTCAAGCATGCTTAGCTTCCGAGATAAGAGGTGATTGGGCAGATGCCGGGGTTCAATTTATTGATCTCTATTGACTCCAGATACAGTGGTATTTATATAGTGGTATTTTCATGTTTTGATGATCATAAATGAGGTGCAATTGATGCTTCGGTCGCTACTACTGCGGTCGTGGCTATTGCTGATGACGATTCTAGAAAGAGTCAAATCGACTGAAAATTATAATTTTTTATTTAAATCAGGTAAGTGCCCACTGAGATGATATTTATTTTTTATCAAGGGGTACCCAAGCCATGGCAAATCCGGGGTGGGTGAGATAGGGATCTTCGTGAACATAAGGCAGATCTGAAACACGGTAGAACCAATACCTCGGCCATGGCTTGATCATTGTTTCAATGCGGTGGGCTCACACGAAATTGATTTCTCTAAGACGAGGGTACTTTGCAAACCCACTGGCTATCAACAAAGATTCGTTCATGAAGCCATCCACATATACAGACACAACTTCAATCGAGAAGATGGTTATGAACTGAGCAATCATTGGAAGGACGTTATCAACCAAATTAAGTCGTAACTGGCTGTGATGTTCCCATCCTACCACCTTCCGATGTTGTTATTTTCGGCTCTTTGATTTTACATTAACAGGTTACATTTCCCACTAACACAGCCACCTCGCGTGGCGAGTTCGACGTTGCTGCTCTGCGATCTCCCATTAACATGCTAATCTGTCACATTAACATGCTAATCTGTCACATTAACATGCTAATCTGTCACATTAACATGCTAATCTCTCACATTAATATGCTAATCTCTCACATTAACATGCTAATCTGTCACATTAACATGCTAATCTCTCACATTAACATGCTCATCTCTCACATTAACATGCTAATCTCTCACATTAACACGCTAATCTCTCACATAAATCTTCTCTCACATTAACATGCTAATCTCTCACATTAACACGCTAATCTCTCACATTAACATGCTAATCTCTCACATTAACACGCTAATCTCTCACATTAGCATCCTAATCTCTCACATTCACATGCTAATCTCTCACAGTAACATGTTAATTTCTCACATTAACATAACTAGCCCCGCCCACTTCGCTTATGATCCTTGGGCTACACCCATTTAAACCTTTAAAACAGTCTAAGCAGCTTTCCTCCTGATGACGATTGCTTGTGTTGTGATCGAAACGTCGTAGTTTTTTGTTATTTTTGTTATTTTCGTTGAACCTATCTACGTGACTTTACTGAAAGACCCAAAGAATACTATACACTACACTATACATGTACACTACGCTATACACTACTATACACTATACTACTATACACTATTATACACTCTACACTACACTATACACTACTATACACTACACTATACACTTACACTACGATACATTATACACTACTATACACTTACACTGCTATACATTATACACTACACTATACACTACTACACTATACACTGCAATACTATACACTTACACTACACTATACACTACACTATACACTACAGTATACACTACTATACACTACACTATTATACACTCTACACTACTATACACTACACTATACACTACACTATACACTACTATACACTACACTATACACTACAATATACACTACTATACACTACACTATACACAGACTCTAGCTCTTCCTGGGAACTCCCCAGGCGTTCCCAGGCAAGCCGAGCGACGTCGTCCCACCACCACCACCAGCAGCGTGGTCTTGTGCCGCCAGCGAGGGTCTTCGCCCAGAACGCGCACATCGGTGGAGCGTGAACCCAAATAAACGTAGAGTGCTTTACTTGTATCGCGTTCTGTCATCACTCGATATTTGTCACACATCAACCACCACCGCCGCCTGCGCCACAAAGATCTTGACGTTGCAGCCAAATACAAAATATATTCTACTCTGAGACCTCCTTTACCAGTGGCAAAATATAGTAGGCTTTTACCCTTTAAACTGGTACAAAACTGACACCTTTATACAAGGCATCATGTTTGCAATAACCACAACACAAGCAGTCAAAATGCAAACAAAAAGAAAAGAAAAAACTCTGATAATGATATGCACTGTCCTTGAAGTTGATTGGTCCACACCCGAGACAGCTTTTCTTAGAGCCTAGTTTCCATTGGTGTTTGACTGCTTGTGTTGTGGTTATTGCAAACATGATGCCTTGTATAAAGGTGTCAGTTTTTGTACCAGTTGAAAGGGTAAAAACCTACTACTACAAAATATATTCTTAGTAAAATAAAAGATCCCCCTTCTTTTTTTATCGGCCTTTATTATGGGCCGACTTTTGTGGCTAGGGCAGTTAGCGAGCACATGTTAAAGTTGGCACGGTGCACGAGTGTGTGGTGTGGTCACCATCACTCCCGGCCGCCTTTGTCTCCCCAGTGCTGGTATTCACGCACCAGGTACTCATTCAGGGCTGAGTCGACCTAGGGGGGGGGGGGGCTTAGGAACTGATTTAGATATTACTCTTATCCGGCAAATGCTTTAGCCGCGGCCAGAAATTGAACTCGGGCCGTCCGGATTTGGAGCGCAGTGTGCTAACCACGGCACCACCGCTCCTCACTCACAAAGACAAAGGTCCCCCATTTAACTTTAACAGACTGTCGGGGCAAGTGCTGTTAGTGAGCACCTATGAAGGCCGGCACGGCACACGAGGGGGTGGGTGGCCAACACCAGGCCCGGCCGCCTTTGTCTCCCCAGTGGCAATGTTTACACATCGCACCAGGTACTCATTTGAGGCTGAGTCGACCTAGGGGAGGCCCGGGACTGGTTCAGATAATCGTCACCGGTGTTGGCCGTGAGCGGGAATCGATCTCGGGTCGCCAGGTTCAAAGCGCAGGGCGCTAACCACGGCACCACCGCTCCCCACACACACACACACAAGCATCATCATCGTCAGTCATGATCCACTGCTGGATGAAGGCTTCCCTTAGCCTCCGCCTGTCACTCAACGATCCTGCGATGAAACGAATCCACCGGTATCGCTCCGGCACGGGCTCCGTCTCCCCCGCTGTGCCTCCTCTCGGCAACACACGCGGGAGCTGACGAACACAACGAGTCCGTGGGTCTGCGAGTGTAGAATGTGAGAGGGAGTGAGAGCGGTTTGGGGGGCAAGCGGTGGCTGAGATTGTGCAATCATCAGCATCGCTGCTGCTGCTGCTTGGCAACGAGTGAACACACGAGGGTGGCCAAACAGACGCTACACAGCACCAGGGAGTACGTGATACGTGCAGCCACGACACAACATCAGTGAGTACGTGATACATGCAGCAAATACAACGAACCAGAGGGTACATGATAAGTGCAACCACTACACATCAACGGGGAGGTACGTGATACGCATTAAATGTACACACGCCCGTACAGACACATCATTCATAATAATAATTGGGGTCATTCTGGAAATATAGAATGAACTAAATGATTATGGTGGTCACAAGACATCTGGACCGCCCTGTAATTTTTTTTGGTTTTACATCCCATCAGCAGCGTCGAATCAGGATACGACAATTTCATTCTGGACCGGTCTCGCCACACAAGCGGCTCAAGGCCGGTGAGCTGCTCGATTTGAAGAAGCAAGGACCCCCCCACTCTTCCTTGACGATATGGGTCACAGTTGGGGCTTATGTAATTATTATTATGGGTTGTGTAAGAAATACTTAATTTTGTTCATGTGGGGAGATCTGATATCCGTATGAAGGAAGCGTTTGAGTTTAACGCCGTAGGCTTTCGCGACCAATATCATTCATTTTTCGATTTAAAGCTTTCGTGACTGCAGGGATTCATCTTCTTGGTTCTTTCGGTAAAGTCACGGGGAAGGGAAATAATAAAATAATAAAAATTAAATATAATAAAATATAATTCTCACGACGTTTCGGCCAAAACGCAAGCAGCTGTCCTCAGGTGAAGAACAGGTCTGTCAGAAAGACAACGATCGTAGAAGACAGCGCCTTTCCGACAGACCTGTTCTTCACCTGGGACGGCTGCTTGCGTTGTGGCCGAAACGTCGTGAGAATTGTATTTTATAAAGTTTTATTTTTATTATTTTATTATTTCCCTTCTACGTGACTTTACCGAAAGAACCAAGAAGAAGAATATCATTCATAATACAGGTTTTTTGGGGGGTTTAGATCGCGTCAATATAATAAATGTGTTGTTAAACCCGCCACCACCCGACACAGCCAATTAGTAAGGTTTGTCACTGTAGACAAAACGTGCCAAATCGTTACGAGTGCAAAGCTAACCGGCGTGTTGGAGAGTAAATCCAGAGCGTTCACAATCTGAGTACGACGTTTCGCCAGTAATTACAGCTAGCAGGGGCCAGGGGGTTTCACAAACAATGGCAGTGTCACGCAGGGTGACGTGCAGTGCGTCACAAACAATGTCAGAGTGACGTAGAAGGGAAATAATAAAATAATAAAAATAAAACATAATAAAACAATTCTCACGACGTTTCGGCCACAACGCAAGCAGCCGTCCTCAGGTGAAGAACAGGTCTGTCGGAAAGACAGCGTCTGAATGAACACCCCCAGGCTTGGCAGCGTATATATTTAAGCTGGGTTAGAGGGGGAAGAGCGCCTTGACAAAATAATTATTATTTCCCTTCTACGTGACTTTACCGAAAGAACCACGAAGATGAATCCCTGCAGTCACGAAAGCTTTAAATCGAAATTTAATGTCAGAGTGTTCACGCGTGGTGTCACACAGGGTTGCCATGTACGAAGCAGGGGCTATGCGAGACCCTGTGTCGCGTCTGCGAAGAATCTGGACTCAGCCCCAACCCCAGAGTTCGGGACTCCCTGCGTTGCCTGGACCGGGATCAGATCACGTGACACACTCTTTCTTATTCTTCTGCATCGCCATCGACGGAATAATCATCAACACTGGGTTTTTTCTACGATCGTAGATTGTTCAACACATTATCAATGAGTTTTGAATCGGTATTTTTTTCACGATCGGATCGTCAACCGAAGTCCATTCCTGTGTCGCACATTGTTAATCATCATCATCAAATAGTGTGTCGTCAATCGTCCATCAAGTTATTTTTGTGAATGAAATGTTCATTGGTTGGAACCACCACATCAAAGAATTCATCGCTCATTTATCATCAACATCATAATAACCGCCATCATCTTTTCCATCTCCACGACATCATCACCGTAACCCCGATCATTGTTACTTCCATTATAATCATAGTTACCATCATTATATCCACATCATCATCATCATCGATACTATAAGCACTATCATCATGACCACCACCATCAGCAGCAGCAGCAGCAGCATCATAACCACCCATACCACCACCGAATTTACTTAATCTTTTTCATAACCATTATCATAACTGTTACCACCACCCTCTCCACCAACACCACTTCACCATCACTACAATCATCATTATCGTAATCACTTAAATTTATTCCATCATCATCATGTGAGTTGCCACCTCTTCCACAGACTAAACGCAGACATATTTCTCAGTCGGTCTAGGTCAAACATAACCGTGCATAATATAGTTGTTTTTTTAGGTTAGATCGCATAAATATAAATGTGTCGCTAACCCCACCACCACCCGACACAGCCAATTAGTAAGGTTTGTCACGTAAACGGAACATGCCAATTCGTGACTAGTACAGCACACCGGTGTGTTGAGAAGAAAATCCACAACATTTACAATTTGAGGACGACGTTTCGCCAGTAATTTACAACTAGCATCATCGGGCAGACAGCCAGATAAACGTTCAGTTACGCTGCCATAAAGTTCGACACAATAGCAGCACCAGATCCAGGTACAAATAAAATTATGTCACCCAAACATAGATGCCAATTCCCCGACTGGGTGGCAACCCTCATCGTCATCATCATTTCCATAATCATAACCAATATCGTGATCTTTACAAACATAACCATGACTCCATAATAGAGGTTTTCCGGTTAGATCAAGAGACCTAACCCAAAAACCTCTATTATGTAAATTGGTCGTGTTTCGATTTAAAGCTTTCGTGACTGCAGGGATTCATCTTTTTGGTTCTTTCCGTAAAGTCACGTAGAAGGGAAATAATAAAATAATAAAAATAAAACATATTTTATTAATAATAAAAATAAAACATATTTTATTATGTTTTACTTTTATTATTTTATCATTTCCCTTCTACGTGACTTTACCGAAAGGAACCAAGAAGATAAATTGGTCGTGTTAAAATAACCACGGCTACCACCGCCGCCACCGCCACCATCATCCTAACAACCAACCACCGCGATCATCGCCATTATCACGAAACTCTCCCTCGATATTCTTAGGTTTTTTCGGTAAAGTCACGTAGGTAAAAAAAAACATTAAAAAGTAAAATAAAATGAAATAAAAATTGCCTCCGAAACGTCGTGATTTTTTTTTTCATTTTATTTTAATTTTTAATGTTTTTTTTACCTACGTGACTTTACCGAAAAAACCTAAGAATATGAATCCTTGCAGTCACGAAAGCTTCAAATCTAGAATTAATGCACTCTCCCTCGACTCGAAAACCCGCTCCATGCCCTCCCCGTAGGGGAAGGAGCTCGCCCTCTGGGCTGCTGGATCTCAGTGGCGGTTTCCGCCCGGACGGGCTGGAGGTGTCTGTGCCGACGCGCGTCTCCGATGGGGACGTCCTCGCCTTGTGCCGGGTGCTCGCTTGTCTGCCGGGTCGCATTGACGGTCAGCCGCCTGTTTGTTGCGGTTGCACCCGATTCAAGAGCCGAATGGCTCACAGGGCTATACCTCTTCTTGGTTCTTTCGGTAAAGTCACGTAGAAGGGATGTAATAAAATAATCAAAATAAAACATAATAAAATTATTCTCACGACGTTTCGGCCACAACGCAAGCAGCCGTCCTCAGGTGAAAACCAGGTCCGTCGAGGCGACAGAATCTGAATGAAACAGCACACGAGCTTGGAGCATATATATAAGCTGGGCGCCTAATAAATTAACTAGAACTTGAACCTCTTCGCGACGACACCGGGCACAGTGCCGGATTATACTAGTTGCAAAAGTGATTCTGCACTTGCTCTATTAATGTAGTACTATACCACCTTCAACTTTTACGAACGACTGGGTGTTTAGGGTTAGCGATTTGTCGCATTATCTGGCTGTATAGCAAATGAAAAAACACAATAACTTTACTATGTAAGTACAATTATTGTGTTTTAATATTTTTCTTATTTTATTTAGGGCCCCTTTATAACATATGCTACAGGCCCCGCACTAGCTTAATCTGGCACTGACCGGGCAACACAATCGTCACCGTGAAATGTTCTCATTCTTGTTGTTGGCTCTATACCCCTTTTCTGGCAATGACACGGGCAGTCGAGGTGTTCTAAGAATAAATAGGTACCTTCCGATTAGCACGGTTGGCTACGTACGGTGCGAAAGAAGTTCAACATACTGGTACATACACACAGTATGTAATAACGACTTGACATACATCTCTTGAGATGGAACGTTATTGAAGACGCGTTCACTTGACATCGGCGGAGACCCCCATCGCAACAGCCCCGAGTCTCCTGCGCATCTCCCCCTTATATACCGACCGAGGCCACGCACCCCTTCTCGATCATTCTCGCTGACTCCGGACCGCTCGCTCCACCGGCAGACTCCACCGTCCTCTTCCGTCTCCTGACCACGTTCCCTTCTCGATCATTCCCGTAGCCACCAGTCCCTTCGCACTCACAACTGACACTCCTGTCATTACCTCCCGTTAATTCTAGATTACCTCCCGTGGCCACTAGTCCATTCGCACTGCAGGCTTATTCCCCTTTCATTACCTCCCGTGGCCACTAGTCCACCGAGGCGGGCACGAGGAGTGGCGCCCAAAGGTCGATGGCCCAACTGGAAGACCTCGAGCCAGACGGTGCATTATCATTCATCAAAGTTTGTGGCGTGTGTGCGATGATGGTGATGACGACGATGTAGGCTTGAACTTGCGCTGTGATCTCATCGCGGACGATGGAGCCGAGGCGATAGCATCGCTCCTGCAGGTACCGCTGCCTCGTCTCTCCATGCCGTCGGTAACTTCTTCCCTTCTCCCTGTCCGCTCGCCGACAACACCGGGCAGAGACACCGGGGGGGCTGAAACACGGCAAGCTGGCACAGAGGGGTGCACAGGTGTCTCTTGCTCGTCATCTCAGACAGTTAAAGCTTTGGTGCCTGGGTCTGTCCATGACTCACATCGGCATCAAGTAGTATTTGAACTTGTCCTGGGCCCTCCACTAGTTTGAGTGAATAACAAAAATATAACAGTGGGAAGACAAAGGCGGCCAGGTGTGGTGCCGGCCACGCCACTCCTTCGGGTGCCGTGCCATCCTTAATAGGTGCTCGCTCAGAGCACCTGCCCCAACGGTTTGTACGGCCACATAAGGGATCTTCGTATGTATACTCTTAGTTTTTTCGGATAAGTCACGTAGGTAAAAAAAATGAAATTAAAATTAATAAAAATAAAATAATAATTATTCATTTTAATTTCATTTTTTTACCTACGTGACTTTACCGAAAAAACTATGAGTATGAATCCTTGCAGTCACGAAAGCTTCAAATCTAGAATCTTCGTATGTGTGTGTGTGGGCTCAGGAGGGATCATGTTGGCTCACATCGCTGGATCTGTCTCTCAATGACATCGGACCACGTGGGGCCAAAGCCCTTGGACTAGTTCTGCAGGTGAGTTCACAGCTCCATCGAGAGTGTCACGTGTCTGCCTGCCTGAATTAACACCTGCCTGTCTGTCTGAACATACGTCCGTGTTGTTTGAACGTACAACTGTGTGATCATATACCTGATTGAACACGCACCTGCCTGGAATATACATCTGTATGTCTCTATATATGAACATACACCGTGACGTTTGTCCTATTTACTGACTGAACATGCAGCTATGTGTCTGTACACCTGTCCAATTGAACTAATAGCTGTCTCGCTACCAGCCTGTATACGTGCACACGCACCCGTCTGTTTAAACACCTGTACGTCAATGTATCTTTACACCTGTAGTCCTGTACGTCTGAATATATTGTCGGTTAATTTATCCAAATATACAACTGCTTTGTCCAAGTACCCTATGCCTGGCTGCCACACAAGACAAGACAAAGATCCCCCGTGTAGCCTTAACAGACTGTTGGGGCAAGTGCTGTTAGCGAACACCTATGAAGGCCGGAACGGCACACGAGGGGATGGGTGGCCAGCACCACGCCCACCCGCCTTTGTCTCCCCATGCCGCACCAGGTACTAATTTGAGGCTGAGTTGACCTAGGGGAGGCCCAGGACCGGTTCCCATAATCGTTACCGGCGTTGGCCGTGAGTCGGCAGTCATTCAGAGGCTGTCTTTCCGACAGACCTGTTCTTCACATAAGGACGGCTGCTTGCGTTGTGGCCGAAACGTCGAGAGAATTGTATTTTATTATGTTTTATTTTTATTATTTTATTATTTCCCTTCTACGTGACTTTACCGAAAGAACCAAGAAGATGAATCCCTGCAGTCACGAAAGCTTTAAATCGAAATTTAGGCAGTCAAAATCAGGTCGCCGTGGTCGTAGCGCAGCGCGCTAACCACTGCGCCACCGCTCCCTCTCTCTCTTTCTCTCTCACACGCACATAGACGAACCGTTCACTCAGGAGCCTGAACCTCGCTGGGAACAAGGTGGGGGAGGAGGGCGGCGTTAGCCTGGCCACTGCCTTGCAGACCAACGTGAGCCTGCGGTCACTGGACCTGCATCACTGCGACCTGGTACGGATTTGGCGACGCCGCGCGGCCGATATTTTGTGGTTCACCGCATTTGTTTTCGGCGCGTGTTCATTCTGCCCACGTGATGGTCGCGTTTTGTGTCGTCAGCACCCCCCTCCACCACCCGACTTACCCACGCGCGTGAACGATTGCCACGCGCGCAAGCGGTCCTTGTTGTTTTCAGCTCTCGCCCGGTGAGCTGCTGAAGAATCAATCCTTGCAGCCGCATCGAGTAACGACGATCCATACCCGTCAACCCCTTATCAGTTGCAGTGCCGGATTATCCTAGGAGCAAAAGTAGCTGCACATGCTACGAAAACCAGGTCCGTCGAGGCGACAGACTCTGTCGCCTCGACAGACTCTGTCGCCTCGACGGACCTGGTTTTCACCTGAGGACGGCTGCTTGCGTTGTGGCCGAAACGTCGTGAGAATTATTTTATTATGTTTTATTTTTATTATTTTATTACTTCCCTTCTACGTGACTTTACCGAAAGAACCAAGAAGACGATCAATTCCGGTTCAGTGATTCTGCACTTGCTCTATTATCATAGTACTATACTGCCTTCAACTTTTACGAACGACTGGGTGTTTAAGATTAGTGATTTGTGGTAGTATCTGGCTGTATAGCAAATAAAAAAATACAATGACTTTACTGTGCAAGTAAACATTTTTGTGTTTTAATATTTATGTGGGTTTTTAAAAATGTAGGGCCCCTTTATAATATATGCTACAGGCACCGCAGTAGCTTAATCCGGCACTGATCAGTTGCCTACCTTATTGCAGACCTTATTGGTCACCCCGTGCCCCTCATAAATCTCAACGTTCATCCTACAAAGTCCCATCACAAGGGGAGAAACACAAACAGACAAAAATATATTATTTTGCCCGTATTGAAACGGATGTACGCCGGATGGACCTGAAAACTCAATTGTCCTGTACAAGAATATGGAGTAAACCGTGTGGGTTGATAGCTCTGACAATTCCACGTTTCGCTTGGAACTACGTCAAGCACCGGCAGGAAAATTCAGGGAAGCCAGAATAAACCGAAGGTCAATGGGTCTTACTTGGTAAAATTAAACAAATAACAGTTTACCCCGGTGAATTGAATCATGTCATGTACCAGAGCATACTAGCGCCATCTATTGGCCCAAATTATATATTTTTTACGTAATAATTCTTGGGAATTTTTATTTGACAACAGCCGTAACGAGAATTGCGTGCTTATGTCAAGTATTTGTTCTGAGTTGTTCTGAGATCAAAAACAAATCTTCTGCGATACAACCACGGATCACGATCCACGTATTGGCCACCACTAACCCGAACCAACCTCTGTGATACTCTAAAGGGGGCATCTTTGTCTTTGTTGACCTGCTGCTCAGGGTACGGACAGCATCATCGCCTTCTCAACGGCACTCAGCTATAACAGCAGCGTGGAGGAGCTCGACTTAAGCAGGCCGCTCCTTTTCAGCTTGCAGGTGAGGGTTTGTACCCCGGTTCTGACCCCGAGCCGACGATTTTTGACCCCCCCCCCTCTCGTCACACGGCGCCAGAAAAAGTTTGACCCCCCTCAAATATGACGTCACAAAGCTCTGCCCCCCCCCCCCACCGCAAAACCATAAACATGCTTCAAATCCTAGATTTGAAGCTTTCGTGACTGCAAGGATTCATATTCTTAGGTTTTTTCGGTAAAGTCACGTAGGTAAAACATTAAAATTAATGAGTAATCATTGGAAAGATGTGATTAACCATGCAAAAAAGATTTAACTACACTTATTTGGCCAATCTTCTTTGACAGACAACTATTACAGGTTTACCATGTTCAGTTGTTTTCTCCTTTTCACAGGTTGAGTCACAAACCGTACCTCTCCATAACAAAGGCTCACCCTCTTAAGCCTCACCTTACCATATGAATAAAAAGTGTGCTGTACTTGGCCCTTCCCCCCTCTCCAACCATTATATAAACGGAGTGGTAGCTCCTGCAATCTCTCATTTACTTGATACAGCTGTCGTGGCTGTGACGGTTCCACCTGAAGACGGAAGCTTGTGTTGCCTCCGAAACGTCGTGATTTTTATTTTATTTTACTTTTATTAATTTTAATGTTTTACCTACGTGACTTTACCGAAAATCTAAGAATATGCTTCAAATCGCTTTCAACTATTGTCATTGCAGTGCGTATTTAATGTGGCGCTGCACTCTGATGTTGTAGAAGAAAACATTTATTAAAACGTCTATTTAATTAAGTAGAACGTGTTGTCTATATTTATTTAAAGTTGCGCATTTTGATGTGACGTCACATTTCTCAAACCCCTCCTCCCCCTCGTCACACATCGTCACAAATGTCTGACACCCCCCCCCCCCAGGTGCGTGACGTCATTTATGAACGGCACCTAATATCATACATGGGTTGCAAAGTGTTAGTAACATTTTTTTGTGGGTTGCTGTGTATAGCAGGGATTGATTTCTCACCGAATATTTTCTGGGTCACGGGCAGACAGAGGAGGTGGTATTTGACGAGAAGCCATCACCACAGCCAGAGGCATATTGAAGAAATAAATATTTCCCGGGTCACTGACCCAGACATATCCGGCTGATATGAAGCTCTGGAGGGGATGGGAGGGAGGTGGTTGATGCTCACAATGGCTGTGGAGTGAGAGCACATTGAACCCAAAACTGCCGAACGCCTAAGCTCTAATTCCAGTGCTCCCAGCTGAGATTTAATCGGATTATCATCTGTGTCGTGTCAGTGGCCTCTGATAACTACACCCACCACGGAAGTCGTTGGGGGTTGGTGAAAGGGGGGGGGGGGGGCAGCTGTGGGAGCATAGATATACAGTACAACAATGGATATCACTGCACTGCTCTCTAGTGCCTACCACGTGGCAATATAGTGCAGTTGGGATGTGTGAATGACGTTCACAGTGTTACAAATTATTATTGCCATTATTATTTGTGCGTGTGCACCATCTAAATATTAATTTGATAAACGAGCGAGGTCTTGCAACACGAGTAGTACGTGTACACGCTTTGTCTGCCGAGCGTCACGTGATCACAATTGATTTCCGAGTGCTTTGATATACGAGTGCTTTGAATTACAAACACGTTTCCGGAACGAATTATGCTCGCAATCCAAAGCTTCCCTATATCAACTTATTATTTCAGAAGCCACGTGGGCCACACGTGACATCCCAACAAAGTGGCCCATCATTTGGACATTTTCGGCACCAAAAGAATAGAAACGAATCTCAATGGATGGTTCACGCGTGCGTTGCATGCGCGTGAACACAGGAGGAGACGACAGTGCACGTGGCACGGATGCTGCGTACGAACCGCGCCCTGCGTTCGCTACGTCTCGCCAAGCACGGCGTGCGGGACTTCGGCGCTTGGCAGCTGAGCGAGGCGCTCGCAAACAACAGCTCGCTCACACACCTCGACCTGAGCTGGTAAGGGACCGTGCATAAATGACGTCACGCACCTAGGGGAGGGGGTGGGGGGGGGAGTCAGACATTTGTGACGATGTGTGACTAGGGTGGGGTGGGGGCGTTGAGAAATGTGAAGTCACATCAAAATGCGTAACTTTAAATAAATATCGACAACACGTTCTACGTAATTGAATAGACTTATTAATAAATGTTTTCTCCTACAACATCAGAGTGCAGCGCCACATTAAATACGCACTACAATGACAATAGTTTAAAGCGATATGAAGCTTGTTTAATATTTTTGGGAGGGGGGGGGGGGCTGAGCTTTGGGGGTCTGATTTTTTGTGACGCCGTGTGACAACGGGGGTGGGGGGGGGTTAAAATCGTCCAAAATCGCGTGACGTCATTTATGGACGGCCCCTAAGGTAGCACTGGTGAAGAAGCGCTTGGCTTACAGGAGACAGGCAGACACCCAGTAAAGCCTCACCGAGCCCCGTGACTCTCTGTTCAAAAGGATTCTGCCGAGTTTTCACGGGAGGGGCACGGGTGTGGACCAATAAACTTCAAGGACAGTGCATATCATTATAATAATCAGAAGTTGGTGTGGACCAATAAACTTCAAGGACAGTGCATATCATTATAATAATCAGAGTTGTTTCTTTTTTATGCATTTTGACTGCTTGTGTTGTGGTTATTGCAAACATTATGCCTTGTATAAAGGTGTCAGTTTTTGTACCAGTAGAAAGGGTAAAAACCTATCACTATATTTTACCACCGGTAAAGGAGATGTCTCATAGTGTATCAGCCCATCAATCTATATTCATCCTAAATTCACCATCTCCTAACCGCCCTTTCTCTCCCTTTCCCCCGCCCGTATTTTTGTTCACCCCCCCCTCCCCACCCGACCCCCAACACGAACCCCGCGGATCTCCGTGAACGGCGCCCGCGCGCAGCAACTTGATGGCGCGCGATGGCGCGGCGAGCCTCGCGCTCCTGCTGGAGCAGGGCTCCTCCGCCCTCCGCGTCCTCGACCTGGGGTTCAACCGCATCGGGGACGCAGGGGTCACGGCGCTCGCCAGGGCCGTCGGCAGCTCCGGTCGCTGTCCCCTGCAGACGTGCGTGGCGGGCCGAGCTGGCTAGGGATTATATGACGATCAATATAACGAGGGAGGAAAAATCATGCGCGCCGCGGGGATTCTGTCACGCTTTCCAACGCGTGAGCGTCCGCAAATGTTTGGACCTCTGAAGTATTGAATTCGCGATAATACCGCTAACATTCCAAACACCGTAACAAGATGACGACATCGTGGCATGTGACATCATCTCCCTGGCTGAAGAGGCTTATCCATTTCGCGGTGTTTCTGTTGTCGCCGAGTTTTTGGGCAATGCTTCATCAATTTGTCCGATTCTCTACAGGGTATGTCCCTAATGGCATAACAACTATTAAACTAAAATTGTATTTATGTTGGACCACCTTTACGAGAGTTATTGTGACCAAATGTTACAGACACTCAGACAGGCCCATCGCCTGGCTGCTTCTCTGCTTGTTTGTGGTTCCTTTGTGATTTGTAAATGCACATTACATGAACGACACGATATACAATTAAGCCTTGTTACTATTATTCTTGTTTCAAGTCCCGTAAAGGGGTCCCTGAGGATTTCAGAAGTCCCATAATACTGTGATATCATATATTCAGAATGGCTGTTGTACAAAAACAATTACAATTTGAATGTATAAAGAGGCTAAACGTGACTGCATTCCAATATATTGTACAAATATGGGAGAAGAATGCGTATCCAGAGGTTTTAACATATTGGCTTTGAGGTAGATTCCAGATTGATCTGTAGTGCCATCTCCTGACCACCGCGGAACCAAAATCTACAACACCTGGTTATCCCCAGGAAAGCCTTCCCATCCAAGTCCGAAGCAGGCCCATCCGTGCTCGGCTTCCGAGATCCGACGACAGCGGGTGCTTTAAGGGTGACTCGGCCTAGTGGCGGATCCAAAAGTGACGGTGGAGTCATTTGATGACCCAAGCTTGTTCCCTGCAAATTCGTATTTTCTCTAAATTTCCCTTGCTCGTCTATAGTTTTGTTCTGGAGAGGCAAAAAAGCTAATTATAGACACCCCCCCCCCCACCCTTCCTTAGAAATTTCGGTCACATGACCTGCGTGCACTTTCTAAAACTGTGTGGATGAACCCCAGACCGAGATCCGTGTCTCGTGCGCCTTGCAGACTGGTGCTGGTGAGCAACGGCGCCACGGGAGAGGGCCTCGGGGAGCTGGCCGTGGCCATGACCACCAACCGCACCCTGCGCTCCGTGCACATCTGGGGAAATAAGCTCGACAGGGTGGCGTGCCAGGTGCGTCGAAGCCGACGAAATGTTCCGGCACGGCCGGAGTAGTCCCTGGTTCACCGAGGCAACGGCTGTCCCACCGTGTCCCGAAGAATTAGTGACAGGTCACCGTTTTTTTCGCGGTCAGAATACAGCATACTATTTGAACCCCGAGGTACAAATATAATAGCACTGTGAGAGCAATGCGACTCCCACCATGGGAAAATGACCCTCCCTCCCCGGGGCCAGAATACTATATATTAATTGGACCTCAGGGTAAAAATACTATCGTTTAGATGAAGGGTTAGGGTTATGGTTAGGAATAGGGTCAGTCGTTCATAGAATATAGTATTTAAGATACCACGGCCATAATTCTACAACGGTCAAAATAGTATCTCACGCTCGTTTAAGAGTTCCTGCATTTGACTCACACGGCCCAACGAGTGGGGCTATCTGAGCAGTGGGCAGGGTTGGCAGAGAAATGTGCAGGGCCAATGTGCAGTGGGTGAGTCCAACGTGCGGGCCAGTGATTGGACACAACATCCGTTAAACTGCAATTGTTGCACTGTGCGAGCCACGGCAACTCTTCCCCACCACGTACAGGTGTTTGCAGAGCTCCTGAAGAGCGGGCGGCTGAAGGAGAGGCATGCGGACGTGAGCGCGTACGAGGTGGATGGCCGCCCGTACCTGGCCCAGCTCCAGGTGAAGTCGCCCCTGCTGCGGCTTGAGGTCGCGACTTCTTCTCCGACGTCGCCCCCATCGTCGCCCCCATGGTCGCCGTCAGCGTCGCCGCCGCCGTCGCCCGTGGCGTCTTCGCTCGACGGGTGGTGACGCCGTGATGGTGGAGGCTGTTCAAGTTCAAACTCAATGATGTTTTGTTTCACTACGTGAGCCCCAAAGAGCCATATAGGCCTTTTTCACAAGCGACCTGGCCACAAATGTTGTTCTTCCACCGCACCTCCGATTAAGACGGTTGGCTACGTACGGTGCGAAAGAAGTTCAACATGTGTACAGCTCAACAAAGTGGCTTATCATGTGGAAATTTATACTCGGAAATACATGTTGATTTTAAATGTGGAGGGAAAAATCCACGCGACCACGGTGAGAACATGCAAACTCCAAAATATACAGGCACCGTCAGGGTGGGATCGATCCCACGATCTCCTGTACACCAGGCGAGGTCGTTCATATCTCGCCACCTTGGAGGCTTTCAGCTGCCTCTTCACATCTAATGACTCCTCAGTGTTTGCAGATTGGTCAATTTTCTGTTTGCCATGGAAGCTAATTTCCATCCGAGATGTTCTACTTACTTATAACGTTTCACCCCCATTGCAAAGTCAGAACCACCGTCTCTCCACGTTCACCATATCCACAAGACCATCTCACCACCACCATCATTTTACTTTCACAACCCATTCACCTCCGCATTCACTTGAGGCTCGCATCACCATCTCACCGCCATCTCACCTCCACGACCATGTCAGCTCCACCACTCTCACGCCAACTCGCCCAGACCATCTCACGACATCAACCATCTCATCACATCAATGTTCAGAATCAGTATTGTTCCTGGAAGAATCCTATGAGCTGTAAAGCTCTTTTTCACAGATGTCCAGTAGGGGACGCAGATGTCCATTGCCAGCATCACGACGTCTCCACCGCTCACTCGGGCTCAACTCTTTTCACCATCACAATTTACCTTTAGTTTCAAACGCACTACCAAAGGCAAGGAATGAGCTTACTTTATAACTTGATTTGTGTTAATCATCTGACATTGTGTGAGCATTCAAAACATCACGTTTACACATACACACAGCGCGTGGAACACCGTATTGTCTTTTCGTGTCTCTTTGCAAATGTGGTCATGTTTGTTGTTGTAATGGTCTGACCCGGCCCTACTGGAACATCTGTGAAAATGTGCTTTACAGCTAATCGGATTCTTCCAGTAGAAATAAATATTCGGAGAAATTAAATGGTTTATTTAGAAGTTTAATTTTCACAATTACACGTAAAAAAATTTAAACCTCAACACAAATGACATTGTATAACTGTACATGGGATGAATGTAATCTTCATGTAAACAACGTGGATTGTGTAAACATATAATTTGATATTACGGGGGGGGGGGGGGGGGTCACACACCACCTACCACAACACGGGAGTTTTCCTACGCACCCCCAAAGATCCCCCATGTAGCGTTAACAGACTGTTAGGGCAAGTGCTGTTAGCGAGCAACCTATGAAGGCCGGCACGGCACACGAGGGGGTGGGGTGGCCAGCACCACGCCCGGCCGCCTTTGTCTCCCCGGTGGCGATGTGTTTTTTACGCACAGCACCGTGTAACTTATTTGAGGCCGAGTCGACCTAGGGGAGGCCCAGGATCAGTTCAGATAATCGTCAGTGGGCATTGTTGGCCGCGAGCGGGAATCGAACTCGGGTCGCCGGGTTCGTACCCACCACCCTCCACCACCCACCACCCTTCACCACCACCACCCACCACCTTCACCACCCACCACCCTTCACCACCACTAGCCTCCACCCACCCACCCACCACCCTTCACCACCACCCTTCACCACCACCACCCCCACCCACCACCCCCCCCCACCACCCACCACCGCTCACCCCCCCCACCACCCACCACCCTTCACCACCCCCCCCACCCACCACCTCCCACCACTAGCCTCCACCACCACGTGTACGAACACACAACACGTGCAGTAGAAACCACACCGCGCACAGGGCTCGCGCGATTGGCTGCTGCCGCCGCTCGCCGCGGGCGCCTCGACCAATCAGCGCGACGGCTCCGGCGGACCCGCGGGTGCCGAAGCAGTCTACGAAAATCAAACCACAACAACCACCACCACCACAACCACCACCACAACAACAACAAATGGCGGGCAAGTCGGGCAAGCAGGGAGGCGGGAGGCCCGGGCGCGAGGAGCTGCGGCAGGAGGACGTCTTGCAGGCCGTGCTGCTGGCCGACAGCTTCGACCAGCGCTTCGGGCCCGTGACGAGAGACGCGCCGAGGGTGAGTTGGTGGTGGTGGCGGTGGTGGTGAGTTGGTGGTGAAGGGGTGGTGGTGGTGAGGGTGTGGTGAGGTGGTGGTGAGGGAGTGGGGACGTGAGGGGTGAGTTGGTGGTGGTGGTGGTGAGTTGGTGGTGGTGGTGAGTTGGTGGTGAGTTGGTGGTGGTGGTGAGTTGGTGGTGGTGGTGAGTTGGTGGTGGTGAGTTGGTGGTGGTGAGGGAGTGGGGACGTGAGGGGTGAGTTGGTGGTGGTGAGTTGGTGGTGAGTTGGTGGTGGTGGTGAGTTGGTGGTGGTGGTGAGTTGGTGGTGGTGATGAGTTGGTGGTGGTGAGTTGGTGGTGGTGGTGAGTTGGTGGTGGTGGTGAGTTGGTGGTGGTGGTGAGTTGGTGGTGGTGAGTTGGTGAGTTGGTGGGGTGAGTTGGTGGTGGTGGTGAGGGAGTGGGACGTGCGGGGTAAGTTGGTGGTGGTGAGTTGGTGGTGGTGAGTTGTTGGTGGTGGTGGTGAGTTGTTGGTGGTGGTGGTGAGTTGGTGGTGGTGGTGAGTTGGTGGTGGTGAGTTGGTGGTGGTGAGTTGGTGGTGGTGGTGAGTTGGTGGTGGTGGTGAGTTGGTGGTGGTGATGAGTTGGTGGTGGTGAGTTGGTGGTGGTGGTGAGTTGGTGGTGGTGAGTTGGTGGTGGTGAGTTGGTGGTGGTGAGTTGGTGGTGGTGGTGAGGGAGTGGGGACGTGCGGGGTAAGTTGGTGGTGGTGAGTTGGTGGTGGTGAGTTGTTGGTGGTGGTGGTGAGTTGTTGGTGGTGGTGGTGAGTTGGTGGTGGTGGTGAGTTGGTGGTGGTGATGAGTTGGTGGTGGTGAGTTGGTGGTGGTGGTGAGTTGGTGGTGGTGGTGAGTTGGTGGTGGTGATGAGTTGGTGGTGGTGAGTTGGTGGTGGTGGTGAGTTGGTGGTGGTGAGTTGGTGGTGGTGAGTTGGTGGTGGTGAGTTGGTGGTGGTGGTGAGGGAGTGGGGACGTGCGGGGTAAGTTGGTGGTGGTGAGTTGGTGGTGGTGAGTTGTTGGTGGTGGTGGTGAGTTGTTGGTGGTGGTGAGTTGGTGGTGGTGGTGAGTTGGTGGTGGTGGTGAGTTGGTGGTGGTGATGAGTTGGTGGTGGTGAGTTGGTGGTGGTGGTGAGTTGGTGGTGGTGAGTTGGTGGTGGTGGTGAGGGAGTGGTGGTGGTGGTGAGTTGGTGGTGGTGAGTTGTTGGTGGTGGTGGTGAGTTGTTGGTGGTGGTGAGTTGGTGGTGGTGGTGAGTTGGTGGTGGTGGTGAGTTGGTGGTGGTGATGAGTTGGTGGTGGTGAGTTGGTGGTGGTGGTGAGTTGGTGGTGGTGAGTTGGTGGTGGTGGTGAGGGAGTGGGGACGTGCGGGGTAAGTTGGTGGTGGTGAGTTGGTGGTGGTGAGTTGTTGGTGGTGGTGGTGAGTTGTTGGTGGTGGTGGTGAAGGCAGTGGTGACGTGAGGGGTTTGCTGGGAAGGCCGCGGTGTGAGTTGGTGTTGGAGACGGATTTGAATTGCTAGCGCGCTTAGGCGAGTCGCGCCTTCCGATTGGTCGGGGCCCGGCCTGTTGTGCGATGCGATTGGCTAGCGCCGGTCACGTTGGTGTCGCTCGTCCAATAAGCGGGCGTCGCGGGTGTCGATGCAGCCGATGCGGTGTACGAATTGTGTTGGCCGCGTTTGATTGGTTTTCGACACGTGTGTGTGTGTGTGGGGGTTTTTTTGCTGTAAATGTTCAAATGTATGTGGGGTTTATTTTAATGTAGCAGTTATTTGTTTAAGAACGCTGGCCTCATTAGCGCCGATTTATTCCATTCGACGGCTATTTGTTGCAATTCTGCAATGAACATTTTATTGGTGTTCGTATCACAATGTCACATTTTAAAGGGCACATTTTAAGTCGCCCCAGTTTCTTATTTGCACATCTGACAACAACAAAAACAACGCAGTCTATCCACGACAATTGTCCTGTGCTGCACAGCCCCATTTGTCAATTTCCCCGATGGACGAGGTTCCTCCCCCACGCCTCGCGGATCGTGGGGGGTTATTTGACCATACTTCACCACTCCGGTCGCTTAAGGTGGGGAGCATAGATCCCAGGAGTACAACAACGGGGGTTCCTGTACTGCACATGCTACACGTACAGTATGGACATAACAGGTTTTTAATTTTTATAATTTCGAGTTCAAAGAGTGGCTGTCATCTAAGTGAAATGACTCTGTTCCGTCATAGTAATGTGGAATGTCCACCACTGACTCGGATGAACATCAGCAGAGTTGACACTGCCCAATTGGTTGTCAACAGGGAAGAGACAGAGTCTCTTACCCCGAATGGACCCCCCCCACTACGAGAATTTGGAATTTCCACGACTGATCCACGCTATTAAATGACCTGAGATACATTAGCCAGACAATTGAACGTACAATATACTGCACTAGGTTCAGGGTATACCGTCTAAAAGTGCCTGTGACCAAAGCCACCTGGAATAACTGCAGTCTCTTATCTCAGAAGCTAAAGCAGAATCAAGCCTGGGATGAATAGTGCTTGCGTAACTTCCACCCCGTTTCCCATGGCTGTAATCATCAGAGCATGTGCACTCGGCTATAGGGGACTCGTCTACTTACAAATGAGTTAGGTTCCAGGCCTGTTCGTACGTCTATTTGTTCGTAAGTCCAACTTTACTCCCGTCGATTCAAAATATGTTGTACGGCATGTACACTAAACACTGAGGATGGCTTTAAAAGTTGTATAATCTCCTGTAGATGGAGATGCCACGGGTTTCTACATGTTCTACAGATGCTACTGGTTCTTCATGTTCTGCATATGTAGATGCCACACTTGTTCTTTATGTTCTGCATATGTAGATGTCAATTCCCTTTAGTGCTCGTGTTTTCTCTCTTCTCTCTTGAAACACTTGCTAAGAGATGTCTGCAAGTTGCTCTTCATAAAATACATTCCTGCATATTTGCGGAATACACCACGCCGCCGTTGACCCTGGCCATTGACCAAGCAACCCAACGTTCCTACCAGCTCTCTCCGCAGGAATGTGTTTAGCCTACAAGCAAACTCTTGTAATCCAAGATTTGCCTCAATGCATGTTTTGGCTGCAAGGGTGTCCCAAACGGTGTCAGTACAGCAATGGATTGTTGAACCTATTTGTGGAGCTTTGAGTTATACCTCCTAGTACCTCACTTAAATGTTTAAAATAGTTTTTATTTACATTGATCTCACTATTATTTTGTAGATCGTGTCGTTCATCTGTGTGCAGTACAGTGTTACGATCCAGCCCTTGCCTAGTGTTCACTCAGAGGTTGGGAAATTAATTTCATGTGACCCATGGCCACATGAGACCATCCACTTAACAACCACCCACAAACTATATCTATCCATGACAGCAAGCATCTTAGCCGCACTAGACGGGCAAGGTGGGGGGAATATTTTTGACCTGGAAACAACACTGCGCTCAGTCACTTGCCATCGCCAAGGGTCTCTTGCAGTGACAGAATTGACTCAGGTGTTTGTGTTAATGCATGGCTTAACCAAAGTTATTCGGATGTTCGATTTGGCCTTCATTAAGGGATAGGTTCCCCACGCCTGCTTTATATAGTGGTCTGTCTGGCATTGCGTGCAGGCACTCTTACCTCTGGTCAACGTGCCCATGATCGACTATGCTCTGGAGATGCTCGCGGCCGCTGGTGTCCAGCAGACGTTCATCTTCTGCTGCTGGAAAGCGGAGGAAGTCCGAGCGTACATCAGGTTCGTGTCGTCAGACTCGCCGCCTCACCATTTTATTCTACGTGCTGTATCACCAAATGAATGCCTACTATTCTTTTCCCCAATATGATTTATGCATTCCCTGTGCATTCATCGTGTGTTCCTTGGGTGTCCCTGTTTGTCCCTAGGCATTCCCGTGCATCCGATGCATCCATAACCATACCCGTGTATTCGTGGGTGTCCTCATGCATCCCTGGGTATCCTTATTTGCCTCTGAATTACCCGTTCCAACCCTTGCATCCGTGTGTGTTCGTCTGTCCCTTTTTGTCCCTGGGCACCCACGTGCATTCCTGCGCATCCCCGTCCTTACCTGCGCATTCCCGCGTGCGTGTACCCATGTCTGCGTGCCACCGCATGTTGCCGTGCACGTGGCGGGCACAGCAAGTCGCGGTGGAGTGCGCCGGGGTCGCGCAACGTGGTGCGCGTGCTGAGCTCGGAGACGTTCCGCTCGCTGGGCGACGTGCTGCGCGACGTGGACGCCAAGACGCTGGTGCGCTCCGACTTCCTGCTGGTGCACGCCGACCTCGTGTGCAACGCGAGCCTCAAGAGCGCGCTGCAGCAGCACAAGTGCGCCATCCTCTCCCACCTACCGCTCTACCTACCGCCACCACCATTCAACACTGTGGACAGGCCGACCCCTGCCACTGGAATATGGAGTTGCTCACGCAGGCTTGGGGACGAACAACGGCAGTCTTTTGAGCGGGGGAGATACTTTAGCTTTGATCCCAGAGTTACAGTGGTGACTCCAGAGTTTAATGTTACAGCTTAACACGTAGGCTTTCGCGACCAATATTATTAATAATCAAGGACTTTCTAGTAAATTGTAAATGTTGTGGGTTTACTCTCCAACACACCGGTGTGCTGAAGTATGAACTAATTGACACGTTTACGTGACAAACTTTACTATTTGACTTTGTCGGGTGGTGGTGAGTACACGACGCACATATATACTTACGCGATATAACCCAAACTAAAATTAATGTTACAATACGCAGGAATATCCATGCGTGTATTTTGAGCGTATGAATCGACGATTCCGACGTGTGGTGACATACCCGGGGATGACGATGACGTTGCTGATGCTGGTGTGGCGTTGGTTGGCAGGCAGCGGCGTGAGCGAGAGAGGAACGTGTCGGTGATGACCATGGTGTTCCGCGAGTGTCGACCGGGCCACCGCGCCCGCACGCGCCACGACGACGTCGTGGTGGCGGCGGACGCGTGCACGGGGCGCGTGCTGCACTACCAGCATGCCGCGCCGGGGAAAATCCGCCTGCCGCTGGTGAGCGGACAATGGTCATCATTGATAATTGGTTTTTTACCCTTCTATCTGGCAACAAAACTGACACCTTTTTTACAAGGAGTCATGTTTGCATAGACCACAATACCTGCAGTCATAATGCAAACTAAAACATAACTCTGATAATGTATGCACTGTCCTTGAAGTTGATTGGTCCACACCCCAGACAGCTTTCCTTAGAGCCTAGTCTCACATGGTGTTGGACCAGATGACGCCACAAGGCGCACAACCCATGTGAGACTAGGCTCTAAGGAAAGCTGTCTCGGGTGTGGACCAATCAACTTCAAGGACAGTGCATACATTATCAGAGTTATGTTTTTGGTTTGCATTATGACTGCAGGTATTGTGGTCTATGCAAACATGACTCCTTGTAAAAAAAGGTGTCAGTTTTGTTGCCAGATAGAAGGGTAAAAAACCAATTATCATATTTTTTACTGGCAAATGAGGTTCCAATGGTGTAAATGGTCATCATTGTCGTTGTGCTTATTGTTTTGGTGCCATTTCTTCATTTGTTTGTTCATTTTCGATTTTGCTTGGTAGTAGGGTTTTCATTTGCTTGGTAGTGGCTGTGTATGGGATTTGGTCCTCATATATAATTAATGTACAGCGTTGTGGGATGCTATTAGCATGAATGACGCGATATAAAATGAAAGTATTATTATCATCATTGGGCGGTGTCGTCATTGTCCAAATCATTATTATAATTACGTAGACACTCATTACTTGGCTTATAACATCTTGATATGTAGAGGACCGCAGAGCTTGGCATTGGCTCACTGCGTGGCGTCCTTTCCCGTTTGGTTCCTCCTCGTGCCTCGGAGTCGGTCTCTTGGAGAGTGAGTAAAGAATGTGTTCTTGCCTTCCCTCGTGTCTGATGGAGCAGCACATCTTCCAGGGCGGCAGTGGCGAGGTGGAGGTCAGGCACGATCTCCTTGACTGCCACATCAGCATCTGCTCACCGCAGGTGACCACCGCGACCCAGACACCCCCCACCCCCGAACCCCCCCCCGCCACCATCCCTCAACCTCCCGACCCCTAACTCCTGACACCTGGCAAAGAAGCGCAAAGCCTTTGATAAAAACACAAACAAATTTAATTCAACACGCCGTTTATTTTTTCATTTAACCATCCAGATTTACTGTTTGATTGACAGTTATTTATCATTTGAAAATCTCGTAGCGCGGGTCATATTGTAATTATTATACTTGCTGTAAGTCACTGGTCAAACCGTTGACGCCTGTCGACACGAACGCCCAATCGTCGGTTTCTTTCTGCCTGCTCTCCCCCTGCCCGACAGGTGGCCGAGCTCTTCACAGATAATTTCGACTACCAGACGAGGGATGATTTCGTCCGCGGGATCCTTGTCAACGAAGAGGTGTGTGCTCCCTGGCTTTGTCCGACGCGATGCGGAGCGGAGCTTTGGCCCAACGAGCTATGGTTGGCCCAAAAGGACTTGCGCTTGCAGTCCATCAGAGCTGCATGGTTGGAATGAAATCGCTGGAATGAAACAGCTTGGCAATTAATTTTTTTGCTAAAATTCCAGTAACCGGTGCAGGACTCCTATCCGCCCACACCACCATTGGCGCTTGATGACTGACGTGCGGTCAACAGAACTTGTGACGTCCCTCGCAGTGGCGGTGTGGTCAGAAAACACCGACAGTGGAGAGATGAATTGAACTCGGTTTACATTAGAAATGTAACTGTTGGGCTCTCCCCGTGGTTCGACAAATTGTCATAATTTTGGATCGTGATTTGATTCGACAGGCGGTAGTAGTTTTTTTTTTCTATTGCGATAAACTAAGCGTCTCGGTTGGCTGTAGGGTTTGTGCAAACCAATTACAGCAGATTCGAATTGTAGATAACTCATCCTCGCACACATGGTTCGATGCTTGTATCGTGAGTCGATACCAATCGACGCATCCGCTACACGGTGTCAACCACACCTGCCAAAGCTCCCCCGTGCAGGCCTTAATAGCTGCTCGCCGACATTCACCTTGACGCCCGAAACAGAGACGTGGTGACATTGCGGATCATCGTCCTGGGTGGTATCCGGTGGGAAATAATCATTTGTTTTCGATGCAGTGCCCTCTGCGCCGGGGCATCCCTTGACCGCTTGACATGACACCTCGTCTTGCGTACGCGTCAGATTCTCGGGAACCAGATCCACATGGTGTGCCTGCGCGACTCGTACGCGGCGCGCGCGTCCAGCCTCTACGCCTACCACGCCGTGAGCTGCGACATCGTGCGCCGCTGGCCCTGCCCCTTCACGCCCGAAGTGATGGTGCCGTCGGCGGGATGTGGGTAGGTGTCGCCCCCCCCCGTAATTAGAACATGGGATTTCCACAACGTGTGCGAGTCCCGGCCCACCGACAGGGATGAGTGCCATCCCCATTTCTTAAATGTTTTCATCCTAGCCGATCTCGTCAAGGAGCGTAAACCATCGCGCAAATTCTAGTTATCCTCGCAGCGGCTTTTGGCTGGCCATCGAATAAAGACGTTCACCGCGTCGCGACGCTTTCGGATGTGCTTCTGCGACTGTCTGGAACGCTCTTCCTTCCGATATTAGGAAGCCACTGGTGCCATGCACTTTTAAATTTAGATTAAAAACGAATTACTTTAGAACCGCTTTTTGTGTTTAGTTTGTTGTCCTTCCCCCAACACCTCCAATTCACGCAGTTGGCTACGTACGGTGCAAAATAAGTTCAACATACTTACATTGGAGCATGTTAGCATTAACACACAATTTGTGATGTTCGGCCCTCATTAAGGAAAAAATTCCCCCAGCTCATATTTAAATGCTCTACACTGTGAATCACAATCATCGTTGACGTTGATTTTTTTCTTCCGGCCGCACCGCGTAGGGACGGCTACGCACTGGCGCGCCACAACGTGTACCGTGCGCCCGGCGTGTCGCTGGGGCCCGGCAGCCTCGTGGAGGGTGACTCGGTGATGGGACAGGACACGACGATCGGCGCCGGCTGCCACATCACACGCACCGTCATCGGCCGCAGATGCAGCATCGGTAACGACGCGCTATCGTCTTCTCGCGGTTGTAGTTAACGTCACTGTGACGACAAGTTAAGGTGTTTTGACGACAGGAACGGGATCGTAGTCTTCATCTGCCGTCCTTGCCCGGATCTTTTTGTGTGTGCCTGTTTATTTGCACGTGTGGGTGTGTGTCAATGTGTCCGTGTGTCCCCCATGTGTCTGTACACCCATAGCCATGTACACACCTCTGCTGTGTGTTTTACATGTTTGCCTGTCCACGTGCACATGTACCCGTGCGCTCAGGTCCGTATGTTGCCGTGTGCCCGTGTTTGTGCCCGTGTGAAATGCGCCCGTGGCCCGTACGTGTATACATCCAACAGCTGGCGTGATTGTGTCTCGTTTGTTTATCCGTGTATGTGTGTGTGCGCGTGTGTGTTTGCTCGTGTGTGTGTGCGCGTGTGCAGTACTTGCGCCAGCAGTATCAGCCTGCATAGATTTCCGACGCGTTTTCGGGTCGCGTCTTGCGTTGTCCGGCATGATGTCCCGGACGTTTCGCCTCGCGTGCTGGGAGCTTCTTCGGGAATCGAAGTCCTGTGCAGCAGCGCAACCGCGACAGGACCTTACGCAGCTAACGCGGGGTAACCTCTGTCTCTGCGCCAGGCAGCAACGTGCGCCTGGAAGACGCGGTCTTGTGGGACGACGTGACGATCGCCGACGGCGTCGTGGTGTGCGGCTCCCTCGTGTGTAGCGGCGCCTCCATCCGGCAAAACGTGCGCGTGCTTCCACGTTGCGTCATCTCCTATGGGGTGAGTAGCAACCCGGGGAGGGGGGGCATACAAACACTCGGAGGAACCGAGTGGGAAGGAAAAGCACGACGATGCCATTCTCTAGGAAGGGGGTGATCTCTGTCTCTGTGGTCCGTCTGCCGGTCCGCGTAGACGGTGGTGGGCCCTGATGTCTCCCTGCCCGAGGGGACGGCCGTCTCCTTACATGTCCCACGCGATGCCGACGACGACGATGACTACGACGAGTTCAGCGAGGAGGAATCGTCTGACCAGGTCAAGGCACCATCCAAGGACAAAGGTCACCGTGACATACACGTGACATTACACGGTGTTGGCCAGCGATGTGTGCGGCTCTACGATGTGGCACGCTCGTGTGAATACAACATGACATTCCCTGCTCAATGTAATGTAAGATTACACGCAAACTTGACATGTGTTTTTTAACAATTCTTTATTTCGGTTGGACTAATGGTGTCTTCTTCTTGGTTCTTTTGGTAAAGTCACGTAGAAGGGAAATAATAAAATAAATAAAATAAAACATAATAAAAATAATTCTCACGACGTTTCGGCCACAATGCAAGCAGCCGTCCTCAGGTGAAGAACAGGTCTGTCGGAAAGTCACGAAAGCTTTAAATCGAAATTTTATGGTGTCTTGTCATCAGACGAAGAATGAATTTGGATCCCTCGCAGAGCAGTGCATCTGTTCGTCTTAGGGAGCGGCTCAAAGAAGGGGATATTGCAGAGCTCCCTCTCGGATCCCTTCAAGTGATATCTGGCCCACACAGTAGGGGTATAGCACTTTCCCCACGCACACCGTGACCGCCGTTGTGTGTTACTAAACATGTGTGTGAGCACACACGTGATGAACATAACTCTCAGTGGGATGTGTGCGAGTCCGACCAATGCATCCCCACGCTGCGTCGGTCACGGGAGTTGTTTGATCAGACTTCACTACACTGGTCAGTGGCAGGTTGGTGAAGGGAGTACCCATTACTGGTTCGGATATCCCTTGTCAATGATGTTAGCCGCTGCCGGCAATCGCAGTGTTTATAGCACAGCATCCTAACCACTGCGGCACTGACTGCTTCAACGCCCCTTGACAATATCCAGGTACGATTCGTTAACCATGAAGTTGCAGATGAATATTTCAGTGTGTCCTATGTGACAGCACTCCATGAATCTTGTCTGCTCTGTCCTTCTCTCCTGCCCTCATCCCACCCAGGCTACAACCCAGCGGAGGTGGGGTCGGAGGGCAAAGGCTACGTCTGGAACCTGATTAGCCGGGGCGAAGCCAAGGAGGATGATGCGGACCCGCTCGCGGACGACGTGTGGGGTCCGTGACGTCCGTCGGTAGTTGTTCACTCGATGTTAAAACGGGACGGGCGCTTCGCTCGGCTCGCACGGCTCGGTTCAGCGCCTCATTTGCAATGGTCACCTGGGGTATTAGTCTGCTAGTAGGTGATGATTGCCATGCATAATCCAAAGTGAAAAGATTTGCGGGTAATTTTCAAATTTGGATGGTGATCCTCTTGCGAATGATATTAACATCCCTTGTGAAGCAGACGGCGTATATAATTTTGGTCATAACACCCGCAGTAAAAATTGGTTATAATCCAGTGGATGCCCGTGTGTGTGTGCTTCTTAATGTTGCGTGTGTGTGCGCGCTCATTCAGGCCTGTCCCTGGAGGAGGTGCCAGAGGAGGAGAGTGAGGAGGAGAGTGAGGATGAGTCTGGAGGTGACGTGTGTGATGGGAAAATGTCTCCACCGCCAGACGACACAAAGAGTAACTTCACGCACGACCTCGCAAACACACCCACACACACTCCCACGCGCAAGCGTGCTCGCACACGGCCTCTCAAACACGTGCTTACACACACCATACATACGCGTTCAAGAACACATTAACACAAGTTCGCACACACTTATGTATATGCACAATACACAAAGACAACAATCCCCTGTATATTCTTAACAGAATGTTGGGGCACGTGCTGTTAGCGAGCACCTGTTAAGGCCAGACCGGCACACGAGGTGTTGGGTGTCCAGCATCATGCCTGGCTGCCTTTGTCTCCCCAATGCTGATGTTTACAAACCATGCGAGGTACTCATTTAAGGTTGACTCGACCTAGGAGAGTCCGAGCTCAGATATTCATTACCGTTAATGTTAGATGTGAGCTCGAATCGACTTCAGGTCGCTGGGTTCCTAGCGCAGTGCGCAAACCACTGCACTGCCACTCCACAGATGCGTGCACGCGCACACATACCCACACATACCCCCACACATACCCCCATGCACTCTCACACAGGCACAAAGACATGTTAACACGCACACATATGCCGCACACATATGCCGCACACATATGCCGCACACACACGAAACATAGTTTGAGACTCGATGGGGCTTGCATTGATAAGCGACATCACTATCATTAACATAAATATCACAAACAGAACGTCGTCGATTCCAATGAAAAAAAAGCCAACGCCGCTATACCATGAAACCAATGCAGTGAGTGAGCAAGCAGCGTTGTGATTCGCTGTGTTTGCAGTGTTCTACAACGAGGTGCTTGACAGCCTGCAACGGGGGGCTGAGGAGAACGTGTCATGCGACAACCTCGTACTGGAAATCAACTCGTCCAAGTGAGTCTCGTTGATCGTGTGTCAGTCGCCGGGAATCGCCCCCCCACACCACACCACACCCCAATATCAACACGTCTCGGAAGCTAATCGTATCGTTATATTCTATTTTTATTTCACCAGGTAAGGCCCACTGAGCTATACAGCTGTTTTTTCAGAAGTGACCTGCCCACAAATGATAGCTCAACGAAGCGGCTTTTCACGTGGAAATTTATAGCATCCAAATATTCTAAAACGCGTGATTCTGAGCGTAGAGGGAAATACCGTAGGACCCGGAGAAAATTCCACGATGTCCATTTCGTGTTGAGCCCGAATAGTGCTTAGATGGGTGACCACGCACGCGGCTGCAGGGCTGTGCTACGTCGTGGGCAAGCAAGAGGTCAATGCAGCAGCATGTATACGTCCAGAACGCAGCACTTTGTTGACTCAGTGAAAGAGGCACCGTCAAAGCCACACGGCCGTGAGGAAAATCTCATGTATTCTCTTTTGTACTACAACCTCCGAAAGTCAATTCAGTGTTTTTTTGAATGTTTTTTTAATCATCACGGTTGATGAGCAAAAGGCCCAAATAAAACAGCAAGCCTCCAGCAACAAACTTCACTATGGAGAGTGAAATAGATTAGAGTTAATACGTTTCTTGGATCGAGCAAGGTAATTGTAAGGACTTGGAGAAACAAGACGATGGGAGGGGTATTCCAGAGTTGAGCAGTGCACGGAAAGAAGCAGAAAGAAAAGCGTTTTGACCTGCAGTGTAGTAGCACCCTGCAGTTGCCTAAACAACCTGGCTTGCATGCTGGTCACCCATCCAAGCTCAAACCTGCTTTTCTCCCGAGATCCGACGGATGACATCGGACCCATTCCGGGTAATTTTGGTCGTGGGCAAACTGCATCAACATCTCTAGATTGTCGACCCCAGTTTTCCCAGGGGCACATTGCACGTGTGGTGTAATTGCGCCAGCTGTTTGACACCGGCGGCAGCCGTGGTGGACAGACGGCGCACACGCCGGTGAGCGTGAGCACGGTGAGTTGGCAGAGCGGAGGATCTGGGGCAAGGGTCACGGAGGACCCCGTCTGGAGGCCCCTGGAACCTGCTAGCGGGTTCGAGATGGGAGGCGCGGACAGGGCGGACCCAGGCCGCGCTGGGAACATAAAAGGATGCGAGAGTGGGGGGCTCGGGGTTGCCGGTTCTGGGAGTGGACACGTCTCGTCGTCGCTGTCGTCTCGTCACCGTCGTCGTCTCTCAATGTCTCCGCTAGACGTTGCGCTACGAGGAGAGTAGTTGGCTATCTCGGTCAGCGCCATCAGTGTTAGACGGGCGAGTGTTGTGTACAGGCTAGGCTGAGCTACTGTGGAGAGTGTGCGGACGAGACCGGTGAAAGTTGTTAATAAAGAAGGTGCCTCCTAGAAACTCTGTCTCTGAATCGTTGACACTACACGTGTAACTGACCTATTGCGCACGCACCTTTACCCTCAGGTACGCGTACAATGTGAGCCTCAGGGACGTGATGCAGGCGCTGACCCGCGGAGCGGTGGATGTGGTGCTGGCGCGCACGAACAAGATGGTGCAAGCGTCGGAGTTCATGAAAGCCCTCAAGCCTGTAAGTTCTCTGCCGCCCTCCTGACGTTGCCACCTTTACATTTGTGAATTTACCCTGTGCACTGTGTGCATGTATGTTGTGGGGAGCTGACCTACGAACCCAACGATCCTTGTTCGATTCCCGCTCAAGGCCAACACCAGTGGCGATTAACTGAACCGGTCCTGGGCCATGCCGGCCTTCATAGATGCTTGCTAACGGCACTTTCCCAAACAGTCTGTTAAAGGCTATACAGGGCATCTTTGGTGTGATTGTGTGTGTATTTGTGCCCGTACACCCATGCGTCTACGTACGCTTGTTATATTGCATGTGTGTATATATATTTACGTGTGTAATGAGTGTGTATACGAACGTGTGTGCGAATCCGTTCGCCGCTGCTGCCACTGCCTTCTCCCCCCCCACAGCTGCTGGTGCAGTGGACGCCGCTGTTCCGTAACTACGTGAAGCGTCTGAGCGACCACATGGATGTGCTGGCCGTGCTGGAGGAAGCGGCGTTCGCTCTGCCGCAGGTGCACGCCGCCCTCGCCACGGTGAGCCCCGGGGACGTGATGCAAGCGCCGGCCCACGGAGCGTCCCGAAAGAAGTCCAACCTCCATGCATATGGTGCTCACAACGGAGACTTCCGTGGGGCTGTTCAGGTGTCGTAGGCTTGGGCTGCGAGGCAGTCAAGAAAAATATGGTTCAGAAATGGGTTGTTGAGGCTTATCTGCACACAGCTCTGAGTGCTCTTTCCTGGAACTGCTGATTCCAAGCACATTTCAAAAATTGATTTTTGGAATTGGACAAATATACGAACAATGCAGGACTCTCCCAAATAACCGTATTGAGGCTCTTTAAGGCTTCCCTGGGTAATTGAAGTATGGCACCGCTGCGTCGCTTGCAAAAAGAGGACCTTATTCTCAACGTGCTCTCGCCTGGCTTTAATGCGAAGACGCGAAGTCGCATTGCAAGCGCAGGTTACGGCACGCGACGCGTTGAAACAACGCAGCCCTTGGCAGTGTTCGGAACACCCCCTAAGCTCGCTTTACTCTCGCACCCGCAACATCCCTTCCCTCCCGCCCACCTCCTCACTCACAGATCCTGATGACGATGTACGAAGAGGAGGTGCTGGAGGAGGAAGCCATCATCAGGTGGTTCACCCAGACTGGTTGCTCGGAGAAGGCCCGGCAGTTGCGGCAGTTGCCTTCGGTGAGTGTGGTGCCCGTGGGATATGCCAGCCCCAACTCTGCCTGCCCATCAGCCTGCCAACCTGCCCGCCTACCCATTTGTTCCTTCATTTAATTTGGGCTTATGAGGCAAATGGCATCTCATGTTGAGTGGAAAAACAAGGCCTTTGTCGTGACCTGAGAGGGCTCCCTCCAGTAAGGGCATATATTTACATCATAACATGACTGATAGTAATAATGCAAGTAAAATATTAACTATAGGTAGTTTAAGAAAATTAATCTCTGCAGTTACGAAAGCTTTAAATCAAAATTTATGGGTAGTTTTGTCAATGTCTTTCAAACTCCAGTCCTTGTAACCGACGATGTTACTTACACCTTTCAAATTTCATCAGTCTTCCCCATTCGAATCCTAAATTTTAAGTCCATACAAGCTGCATACGGCTGATGATTGCTAAAAAAAAGTCCCACGTGACATAGAGACACCTGATTCGAATGAAGATTGAGAATTTTGTGATTAAGATGGAGGTTAAATCTGTCATCTCTACATCACACGGTAGTGTGTTAACCAACCATCAGGCATGTGCTGCAGTGTAATGAAAATTTGTGTTTAAATGGGGACAGTTGATGAAATGCTGAGAGAGGTATCATTGTGGATCATGAGGAATTGAGTCTGGGGAAACCCTGATTTAAGCGATGATGATGCATAGGATGAAACTGTAAGATATGGAGGCCTGCTTTGTAATTGATGGCAATGTAAATCTTTCCTGTGCAGATCCAGAAGTTTGTCCAGTGGCTACGAGAAGCTGATGAGGAGTCAAGCGACGAGAACTAATTATCAATCGGTAGCACGTCAAAGTGTCAAGGGACAATGGAACTCATCTTCTCTAGGGACCCAACTCTGCACGCCATGGGCCAACCCATGCAACACGCGTGGATTGGAGCGGCCAAGCCGTGCCCTCTTAATTTTGACACATTTTTGTTTTTTAACAAATGCGCTTCATCCCTTTGGCAGATGTTTTATGATTCGCGATGTTGCTGCCTGTAGCGATGGTTAATATAGTAATAAAGAACTTTTGGAGAGTTGTGGCCAAACACTTAAAAGTCAGTGTTGTGTACTGATTTCTACTAAGTGGTGAGACCTTTCTGGCTTTGCATGGTGCAATCTTACGTGCGGTATTGTTCTGCAAATCCAGGCTCGAAATATGCTCCAAATTTGTGGCTTCAGAAACAAGGATTTTGGGCTCCCAACCGTTATACATCCAGGTTCTGTCAACCAAGCTCCGGATTACTAACTCCAGGAATCTAAACCAGTTGTTGCCAAACTTCCTGACCCGACAAACCACGTACAAAACGTGGAATGCAGCCAACAGCTACAAGACACGTGGTCAACGGATCGGTTTGCTCGTGCTGGTTGGCTCTGGAGTTTTGAATAAAAAAACTATCTTCTGGAGCAGTTGTGTCTGGCTCTGCTGTCCAGGAGAAAATTACGCTTGGCTGCTCTGGCCTCGGAAGATATTTCCTGCTTCAAATCAAATTCCGTTATCTCTTTCGAGCGGCACTTTGAACGGCCCGCGATGCACATGCGTCCTTGGGAACCGTGTTTTGGCAACGCCTGATAACGATCGTAATCCAGGCTGGAAACAAACTGGCTCCAGTTACCGCTCGCACCCAGCGCATTGCTCTTACAATATCTTCCCATCCATTCGCAATCTCTCTCCGCCGGTAAACTAAATAAATTCTAATGCCCATAGTGGATCACCGTGTTTACCATTCAGTGCCACGGGTGGAGACAATTATCCCAGAAGCGTCCTGTCACTAGAGTGGTGGATTTTTAAAGGGACGCGTTTGATCCATCTCTTCTTTACAACTAGAACCACCGGTGATGGGCGTGAACTGTTCCCCACGGTGCCATCAAGTTTCAGTATTGTAATGTGTTATCGGTGGGGTTTTCTGCGTGCATTGTGCCTCTTTCCCACAATTCATAACAAAGTGTGGTACTCTAAAAATAAATTTGGCTTCACATTCTGAGTACGACCCCTCCTTTTGGAATTTATATTTGACAAACGAGGCAATCCTGGAATAACATTTCAACGTACGGGTTTTAAGCAATGACGTGCGGCCGCGTAGCGCAGAGGTTTTCTGTTTGGATTGCGCTTTGTCAATGTGTCGAGCGGATCAATGTCGCACTGCCTACACAGCGAATAAACAAACGTACAGAGCAAAAGCTGGTGTGTTCTCAATGTGACGGAAGTGGTGGCGCAGTGGTTAGAACAGCGCAACATACGAACGGCTGAGTAAGTCACCGCATTTTTTATTTTTGTTACACATGTTTGACCAAATATAACAGGCAAATTTTTAAGTTGATAATGTTGTATGGCCCGCGAATGATGTTATAAATATCGAAATGGCCCTTGTCAGAAAAAAGTTTCCCCACCCCTGAACTAATTGATTCCATTTTGTTCGTCCATTGCTCCCCAGTTCAATCAACAACAACGAGGCACATGTGGGACATTTCGTAAGAGGGCCACAGCTGGAAATATGAAGGATAATAAGTATAACCCGTAAAAACAAAGTTTTTCACTATAAATCCTTTATATGCGTGGCGGCTAGAGTCCTCTCGTCCTCTGGCTTGAGATGGCTGCCACCTATGGGTCAGATGATTGTCTGCCAGTATTACGCAATTGGTAATTAAATATTAAATTTGTTTTCCCTAAACAGTGTAAAATTTTGGAAATTTTTTTCACGAAAATAAATTGTCACGCAAAACGAGTCTGTGTGCAAAATGTCAGCTCGATTGGATCACGGGAAGTGGGTTAAAAAACGACCGAAAGATTTGCACGGTCGTAAGCAAGCAAGCAAGCACGCAAGCACGCAAGCAAGCAAGCGAACTTAATATGAAGGATTTAAAAATGGAAGGGAAGAGAGGATGAAGATTTAAATGAAATTCGTTAGTGGGACAATGTGAGCGAGTACTTGGGGCAGTAGTCGCCACAATAGGTGATGATGTGGCACAGGTGATTTTTTTTCTCGTTGCAGAGGTTAACGGTTCGGATCCAGCGGCAGCCCTCATCAATGCTGCGGGTGTAAACAACTCAAATAATAAGCGCGTCGGTGGACAGTAAAAAAAGTAAAGATCCCGTGATGCAAGAGTTGGCTATTGTCGGCATCATGGAAGATTACACTACAAGCTACTCGTTTGGACTATACAGCACCGAAACAGAGCAGTCTTCGCCACATGTTGCAAAAGCTTAGCAGGAACTCTCCTCAACAATGTGTCATGAGACTCGGGAGGACTTTGCCGGGTAAGCACGCAGAATGAGAGACGATGAACATCCACCCCGAGTTATGAGGATGGCACGAGAAGCCACTTTGTTGAGCTATCATTTGTGTTAAATTTCGATTTAAAGCTTTCGTGACTGCAGGGATTCATCTTCTTGGTTCTTTCGGTAAAGTCACGTGGAAGGGAAGTAATAAAATAATAAAAATAAAACATAATAAAATAAAATAATTCTCACGACGTTTCGGCTACAACGCAAGCAGCCGTCTTCAGGTGAAGAATGAGATACTGCCAAGCTAGGAGCTTATATATAAGCTGAGGTTGGAGGTGGAAGAAGAAGAGCGCCTTAACAAAAGAATGTGCATATCAAGAGGAATTTAGCATATTCATGGTAAATGCGTAGGAGGTGGGCGTGGGGGTTTCAAAGTCATATTATGCCCATGCATTATGCAGGATCAGCAGCACCAAGGGAGGGTGCAGGGAGTAGCATTAACTAAGGAAAGGAATGTTAATAGTATGTAGCTGCAGTTACTAAACAACCACGTAGAAAACTAAAGTATAAACTACATAAAAAACTAAAGTATAAACTGCATAGCACTATCAGTATATTTACTATACTCTACAATAAGCTGAGTTACTAACAGCAAGTAATACATTAACAATTCTACGTCGTAAAAATTATATAATATGCTTCCATCTAAACTTTATTCTCTTACATCACACGAGCATACACCGTACTGCCATTTGTGGCCAGGTAGCTTCTGAAAAATAAGTAAAAAAAACAAGTAAATCTAGAAAGATTTTGACTGAAAACTTTCGTGACTGCACGAATTCATATTCTCTTTTGGTTCTTTTGGTAAAGTCACGTGAATATTTTTTATTTTTATTTTCTACCTGAAATAACCAAATAATATAAATCTATGTAGCTCAGTTGCCTCGTATGATGGGGATGGTTGAGTTTCATTTGTGTTTGTGTGATGTTTACTTTTCCTTGTACTTTACACTGTCATCACGTGTTTGTACTGTTTGTTGTTGTAACATGTTTTACCCGCCCATTACTGGACATCTGTGAAAAAAAAGCTTCATAGCTCATCGGATTCCTCCGGTATAAATAAATATGCTGATTCTGATAGAGATTCTGATATAGAATCAGCATTGGTGTCGTCACCTTTCTTCCCTCCCCCCGCGAAATGGCTCGTGTGGATGTAAAAGTGGACCATTGTGGAATGTTTACAAATGCCTTTTGTTTAAAGTCGCACCATAAGCCAGCCACATACATGCCCCAGTTGAACAAAACCTGTGCGTGGGTCATCAGCTGTTATTCGGACTCATCAGCAGAACAGGGGCTGGTGATGGGGCAATGCTAACACGATCATTTACGCGAAACTGTCGTAATTATTTTGTTCACCAGCAGTACACAGTACACCGCATACTGTAATGCACATAACATCCACTGCTGGATGAGGGCCTTCTTAGTGCTGTTGTTAATGTGACCATAATTCGCCATGCTCTTGGCTCGGTGTGGGTTGATAAATCGAGTCATTGAGGGTGGAGGGGTGGTGGTGGGTCAACCCATTGTCTTTATCCTGGGGGGGGTGAGTTGTAGGGGGGGTGGGGGGTAGGGTGGGTGGGGTGAGTTGTGGGGGGGTAGGGTGGGTGGGGGTGAGTTGTGGGAGGGGGTAGGGTGGGTGGGGGTGAGTTGTGTGGGGGGGGATTGGGGGGTAGGGTGGGTGGGGGTGAGTTGTGGGGTAGGAGGGGTGGGGGTAGGGTGGGTGAGGTGAGTTGTGGGGAGTGGGGGGTAGGGTGGGTGGGGGTGAGTTGTGGGGTGAGTTGTGGGGAGGTAGGGTGGGTGGGGGTGAGTTGTGGGGGGGGGAGTAGGAGGGGTGGGGGTAGGGTGGGTGGGGGTGAGTTGTGGGGGGCAGTAGGGTGGGTGGGGGTGAGTTGTTGGGGGGGAGTGAGGGGTGGGGGGTAGGGTGGATTGGGGTGAGTTGTGGGGGGGGGTAGAGTGGGTGGGGTGAGTTGTGGGGGCGGGGTAGGGTAGGTGGGGGTGAGTTGTGGGTGGGAGTGGGGTGGGACATTGTAACCACGTGGCTTGTGCTTTCGGGCTGTACCATTGCGCGTCTCTGCCCGAGGGGGGGGGGGGGGGGTGCACCCTGGTGGTGGGTGTGTTATGATGACGATGTTGATGTTTTGATGATGTCGGGACACGTGGGGGCACATTCGTGGTTTCCAGGAAGGCTTCCGGCAAGCAGAGGCAGGCGGAGGCAAGCTCCCTCTCCCCCCGGACTTTAACTTCTAACTCATTAGTTGTAGATGGCGGTGCACCGAGCAAAGCCTTCCTCCACCTCGAGACGTGGTAGAGTTTAAAGCGACGCTGCTAATGATTTGGAGCTGCCGCTGCTGCTGCTGTTGCTGCTGACTCCTGCCACGTGTGTGCCACGGCATTGAAAGGTACCGACAGCTGATCGCGCGCGAGTTGTTTGTGTTTGGACGTGCAGTGTTTATTGACTAAGTGTGGGGCGGGGAGCGGTGGCGCAGTCGTTAGCGCACTGCGCTCCGAACACGAGTTCTACTACCGCTCGATATATCTAATAAGCACAGTAATTGACCAGCGCGGTGAAGTATGGTCAATCGGACATGTCCTCCCACACCCTTGACTGGCACGGCAGAGCGCGGTGGGTTTTCGTATTAAAGGGTTGTACAAGTACGTTGTTATCATCAACGATCTGTAAGGATGTATGGGGGATCTCTGTCTCTCTATGCAAGTTTATATCGAAGCGTCTGAGGTTGAGTGAGCACCTTGGCAGTGGGGAGACAAAGGCGGCCGGGCGTGGTGCTGACCACACAAACACCACCACTACCACCTCGCGTGCCTTTGTCTATCATGAATAGGTGCTCGCAAACAACAGTCTATGAAGTCTGTACAGGGAGGGGGGGTTAGGGGCCGTCCATAAATGACGTCACACACCTGGGGGGGGGTGGGGGGGGTCAGACATTTGTGACGATGTGTGACGAGGGGGGGGGGGTGTTGAGAAATGTGACGTCACATCAAAATGCGCAAATTTAAATAAATATAGACAACACGTTCTACTTAATTAAATAGACTTTTTAATAAATGTTTCTCCTACAACATCAGAGTGCAGCGCCACATTAACTACGCACTACAATGACAATAGTTTAAAGCGATTTGCAGCATGTTTTCTAATTTTTTTTTGGGGGGGGGGGGGGCAGAGCTTTGTGACGTCATATTTGAAGGGGAGGTCAAAAATCGTCAAAAATCGCGTGACGTCATTTATGGACGTCCCCTTATGTGTACACACAGCAGTGCGGAGTCCCACAAAACGTTTGGCTTCTTACACCGAGGAGTGATCGTGTGACTTTGACCACAGCAGAGACAGCTGTTGTGGTAAAGTCAAAACTAGTACTGGTAGAAACCACCTGGTTCCACCAGCCCACAGGGGATTATTGTGTCCGTCAGTCCGTCGTGCATCCAAAAATGGGAGGGGTGGGACTGGGTGGAGAGGGGAGGGGCTGGGTGGGGAGGGGACGGTGGGGAGTGTGGGGCTGGGTGGGGAGGGTGGGACTGGGTGGGGGGTGGGAGGGCTGGGGCTGGGTGGGGAGGGGAGGGTGGGGCTGGGTGGGGGGTGGGAGAGCTGGGGCTGGGTGGGGAGGGGCTGGGTGGGGAGGGGTGGGTGGGGAGTGTGGGGCTGGGTGGGGGTGGGAGGGGTGGGGCTGGGTGGGGAGGGGCTGGTCACCCCGTGGTGCCCTTAAACATTTAACCTACTCACGCCGGCTTGTGCCCGCCCTCACAGTCGGCCATATTTGCGGAATACACCACGCCGCCGTTGACCCTGCTGGCCATTGACCGAGCAACCCGACGTTCTTACCAGAGGAATGTGTTTAAGTTTAAAGTCTATATTGGTAACCACAGCTATAGCTCACAATACTGGGCTGGGCACGTAGCTACACGAGTCAACATTCAAGTGACAAATAGCAGTGACCTTTCGTTGTCTCGAGACTCAAGGCCATCATTATCATCAGCCATGTTCGAGCCACTGCTGGATGGATGCTCTCCCAAGCTACCACCACCTGTTACGATCACGCGACAATTATAACTCCACCTTAGGGGCCGTCCATAAATGACGTCACGCACCTGGTGGGGGGGGGGGTCAGACATTTGTGACGATGTGTGATGAGTGGGAGGGGGTGTTGAGAAATGTGGCGTCACATCAAAATGTGAAACTTTAAATAAATATAGACACGTTCTACTTAACTAAATAGACTCTTTAATAAATGTTTTCTCCTACAACATCAGAGTGCAGCGCCACATTAAATACACACTACAATGACAATAGTTTAAAGCGATTTGAAGCATGTTTTATCTTTTTTTGGGGGAAGGGGGCAGAGCTTTGTGACGTCATATTTGAGGGGGGGGGGGGTCTGACTCTTTGTGACAGTCGTGTTACGAAGGGGGGGGGGGGGGGGTCAAAAATCGTCAAAAATCGCGTGACGTCATTTATGGACGGCCCCCTAGCACCTGCAACATGATATCATCGCTCTATTCTCCCGGGTGGATCTACCTCTCGGACGCGTTCCGATCCTTGGCTTCGACTCCATCGTGAGAACACTTCTGCGGGCCCAGTGCCCCTCACTAATTGTCAGACGGGGGGCCACTTTCGCCGATAAGATGTCGCCGGTGTGAGGGCCACCACTCCGCCTGCAAGGAGGTGTTTTCACTATTTGTGTAAAAGCACTAAAGGCCGCCAGCCGCCAGTGCTTTTATAAATCCATTGCCGGATGAAGGCCTTCTCACATCATGCGGATCGTGGGGGTTATTTGACCCTACTTCACCACACTGGTCAGTGCAGGTTGGTGGTGGTGGGGTGGGGCGAGTCTACAACCAGTACAGTTATTTTTCACCAACGATGACAGTCGTGGCGTGGAATCGGACTTGCGTCGCCGAGTTCCTATAGTGACCGATGTCATTGTGCGAGAGTCTAATTTAAGTGAGTTCCTGTTTTATGAAACGGAATTGTTTTTCATTGACATGCCGTTGGTGTAGGGGCACTCTGGAAAGCCGATAGGCCGAGAGACTACAACGTATTCTTTTGAGATGTGGAGCAGAAGGTGATTCGTTACTTAATTACCCAGAATGCTCTATTATCGTCCGGTGAGGTTGTATACCATATTGCTTTTGTGCTGTTTGTCCGTGGAGTGGAGAGAGATCATTTGCCAAGAACATTTGTTTTTGTGACTTTAGGGAATAACATATCTCATGCTAACGACTCTATGAATCACAAAATCCCTCCTTCCCACAAGCTGATACTTTCCGACTATATCCCGCGGATGCTCAATGCATCATTGCTGCTCAAACAATAACAGATTAAGCGTTGGTTTGTGAGTAACAATTCTTGTCTTTCCACTCATGCGGTTTTTTGCGCAGGAGCGGCGCGTCATCATGTTCGGCAGTAGCAAGGCCGGTGCCAAGAGAGGCTCAAAATCTCAAGCCAGGGACACGGCGAGGCCACCCAGAGGAGCAGCGAAGGCTTCATCGGTGAAGAAGGCCCAACCTTCTGAAACGAAGGCCGTGAGAGAGCTACCAGCCAAGCCGGTCAGCGAGCGAAGGCCCGCCAAGGCGAAGGGCGAACCCTTAAAGCCGCCGACGGCCGTCGAGTGGGCCGTTCCGTCGGCGGGGCCCAGGAGAGGGCAAGCGGCTGGCGCCACGTCCTCGCGGCCCAGGCGCGCGGCAGGAAGCGTGAGAACGAGCGTTCGAGGCGGCGCTTGTGCCGAGACGGGTGGCGGTGGCGGCGGCGGCGGCGCGTGGTGGTTGTTGCAGGCCGGCTGGAAGATGGGGAGGGACGTGTTGGGCAGCCTCACGGGTTTGGGCGGAGACGGAGCGGCGATTCCGAGCGCGGGAGGCAGAGCGAGGGGGCGTCCGGCGCGTCCGGCGCGGGGGGCGGCCGCGAGAGGGAGCGACGCCACGCGGAGCGGAGCGACTGGCCGTGGCGCCGGTGCCGGCGGAGTCTCGCTCGTCACCAGGGCGATGGGCCTCGGGGCGGAAGGAGCTACGGGTGGGGAAGGTGGCCGGGCGGCCAGGGCGGCTGACAGAGGACCAGCGGCAAAGCCCAGGGGTGCGGGCGTCTGTACCTCGGCTGTGAGAGGGAGCAGCACTGGGAAGGGCAGCACTAGAGGGGGCAGCACTAGAGGGGGCAGCACGAGCGCGGGTAGTACTAGAGGGGGCAGACTTAGTCTGGGCAGCACGAGAGGGGGCAGACCTAGTGTGGGTAGCACTAGTACGAGCAGCACTAGAGGGGGGAGCACGAGAGGGGGCATTACAAGCATGGGCAGTACGAGAGCGGGCAGCATTAGTGCAGGCAGCACTGGAAGGGGCAGCAGTAGTGGGGGCAACACGAGAGGGCGCAGCACTGGAAGGGGCAACACGAGAGCGGGCAGCACGAGAGCGGGCAGTACGAGAGCGGGCAGCATTAGTGCAGGCAGCACTGGAAGGGGCAGCAGTAGTGGGGGCAACACGAGAGGGCGCAGCACTGGAAGGGGCAGCACGAGAGCGGGCAGCACGAGAGCGGGCAGCACGAGAGCGGGCAGCACGAGAGCGGGCAGCACGAGAGCGGGCAGCACGAGAGCGGGCAGCACGAGAGCGGGCAGCACGAGAGCGGGCAGCACGAGAGCGGGCAGCACGAGAGCGGGCAGCACGAGAGCGGGCAACACTAGCACGCGCAACACTAGCAGGGGGGCTGCTACTTGGGGGGCTGGCAGTAGGGGGGGCAGAACTTGGGGGGCTGGCAGCAGAGGGGGTGCTACTTGGGGGCCTGGCACTTGGGGGGGCAGAACTTGGGGGGCTGGCAGCAGGGCGGGTGCTACTTGGGGGGCTGGCACCATGAGGTTTGGCACCTGGAGGGTTGGCACCATGAGGTTTGGCACCTGGGGGGTTGGCACCAGGGGACGCTGTTGGGGCAGAGGTTGGACCGGGGCTGGACGCGGAGATCCTTCAGCCGAGCGCTACATCAACAATGACAACGATGATTATAACGATGATGACAATGAAGATGATGATTGTGACGATGATGATGATAATGGTCAATATCATGATGACGAAGCTGTTCATGATGAACATGAATGTCATGATGTTGACGATTATACGGAAGATCATGAGGATGAGGATTATGACAATGACGACGAAGATCGTGAGGACGATTCCGCTGAAGATCACGATCACGGGTGCAAAGATGAACACTGCGATGAAGAACGTGGCCATGAATGTGATGATGATGACGATGATAGCTACGAAGATATTGACGATGACGATGACGACGACGACGATGACAACTATGAAGATGATGGCGACGACGATGACGACGATGACGACGACGGCTTGGTGAGCGCCAGCAAAGAGGATTTCGTGGCGACCGTCCCGACGCACCCTCTGCGCAAGCTGACGCCGGACCAGGTGGAGCAGGTGGAGAGGGCGACGCGGGGCCAGAGCGACAACGCGGCGTGGTTCGCGTGGCGCCAGGGCCGCATCACGGCGTCCGTCGCCCACTCGATCGCGCACTGCCGGTAAGGGCACCGTCGAGGTACGTGAGACATCGCGGCCACGACTAGGAAATTGGCAAGCGTCCCGGGGCAGGTTGTTACGCCGTTTAAATCAAGGCGATGCTATCGACTTGTCCCGGTTTGGCCGGCACGGGTCCCGGTAGGTTTCTACAAGGCTGTCCCGGTGTCCTGAACAATTTGTGAGATTCGGGATTTTGTCCACGGCTTTAATATTTATTTACTTCCTGTTTCGTCCGTCATGTGTGGACGGATGGCGGGGCAACACCTTAGCGATGGGCGCAGGTACCTGAGCAGTGGGCGGGGCTACATGAGCAGTGGGCGGGGCTACGTGAGCAGTGGGCGGGGCTACGTGAACAGTGGGCGGAGCTACACGAGCAGTGGGCGGAGCTACACGAGCAGTGGGCGGAGCTACACGAGCAGTGGGCGGAGCTACACGAGCAGTGGGCGGGGCTACACGAGCAGTGGGCGGGGCTACACGAGCAGTGGGCGGGGCTACATGAGCAGTGGGCGGAGCTACATGGGCAGTGGGCGGGGCTAACTGGGCAGTGGGCGGGGCTAACTGGGCAGTGGGCGGGGTTACTGGGCAGTGGGCGGAGCTAACCGGGCAGTGGGTGGAGCTACATGAACAGTGGGCGGAGCTAACTGGGCAGTGGGCGGAGCTAACTGGGCAGTGGGCGGAGCTAACTGGGCAGTGGGCGGGGTTACTGAGCAGTGGGCGGAGCTAACTGGGCAGTGATGATGTGATTGCCGTACAGTACTCATCCTGACGAAGACCACAATGATGACAATCATCGCGATGATCGTGTTCATTATGACAACGCTGACGACAACAGCGATGATTGAAATGGTGCCGATGATGATGATGACTATCTCCACGATAATGACGACAGTGATGACGATCATCTTGACGAAGATGACAATGGCCTTCGGTGATTTATTTTAGTTTTTCCCGATGAAGATTCGTGCACAGTATTTCGTTTCTCGAGGATTGGGCAAGGACGTAACCCACTTTCACCCAAGCAAACTGAGGTCACAGACTTAGACGCTTCTTGACCCACCGCCTTAACTGCAAACAATTCCAAATATATTTAAGAATGCACAATGTTAACGATAAATACCAACTACCCAGTATTCAATTAAGTAGAATGAGAAGAAAAATTGATATCACATTGTTTTAAAAAAAACAAAAACTTGTCCCCTACGTGAGTTAGTAGGGCAGCGAGCCCAACCACCTACGGGCACCAGCTGCCCCGTGGGCACCAGGCCTCGGGCTTCTCGTACGCGGCGCATCGGTGCATCTGTGCCTCCCCTCTTCCCGTCGCTCGTTCCGCCGTCGCACAGCTACGTGTCTGGGCATTCGGACCGGGTGCCCGAGTCCTACCTGCGGTCCTTGCTGCCCCCGCCGGACGGGGCCACCGCGAGGAACCTCCGCACGCCGGCCTTGCTGTGGGGCCGGAACATGGAGGCCACCGTTGTGGAGCTCTACCGGCAGAAGAAGCAGAGGCAGATGAAAGGTGGGGGAGCCACGCGCCCTCGCCGTGACCACGACGATGATGACGGTGCATGCCCGTGTGCGATGATGGTGTGAATGGATATATATTTTTTTGTGCGCTTCTCGACAGTTTTGGGTCATGGATTAATGTCCCTTGTGCTGCGTCCTGTCCCCATGTCTCTCCCCCTCCACCCCCACTGCTAAATCCATCCCGGTGTGCCATGTCCCGGTTTGCCACACCGCTTGCTCGCATGCGATGATCCCCCCCTCCCGTCCCATCTCTCCCTCGTTCCGTGCCCCAGGCCGTTACGTCGTCCGCGTCAGCCCCTGCGGTCTCTACGTGGACGCCGAGCGACCCTGGCTGGCCGCGAGCCCCGACGGCCTCGTCACGCTGGAGCGCGTGGCACCGTCAGCAGGGGACATCGACTCTTGCTCGCTGTCCCCGCGATCCCCACCGCTGGCGGTGGAGGCGACGCAGCGACTGCTGCTGGAGGTCAAGTGTCCGTATAAGCACCGTGCGGGGTCGGTCAGGGAGGCGTGGGCGAGCGATCCGAAATTCTGCCTTGACGTGGTCGAGCAGGGTGGACGCACGAACTACGAGCTCAAGAGGGAGCACAGCTACTACACACAGGTGAGAGATGTTATTATGTTAGGTAGTGAACATCTCGCCACCGTGGGCGCCACGGTGGCGAGATGTTCACTACCTCGCCTAGTATACAGGAGGTCGTGAGATTGATGCCGACTTCTCTCACCTGTATTTGAAATTCGCATGTGTTCTCCCTGGGGTCACGTGGATTTTTCTCCGGGTCCTCTGGTTTTTCCCTCCACGTTTAGAATCAACATCAGGCGTTCAAGAGTATTTGGCTGCTATAAACGTCCAAGTGATAAACCACTTCGGAGAACTATCATTTGTGGCCAGGTCGCTTCCGAAAAAGAGCCAGATAGCTCGGTGGGCCATACCACACAGCATTTGAACAGTCCGTTAAATACCACACAGGGGAACACTTTATCTCTGTGTGTGTGCACTTTGCACGCGTGCGTACAGGTGCAGTGTCAACTGGCGGTGAGCCGCCTCCTCTTGGCAGACTTTGTCGTTTACACGGAAGAGGACCTGGCCATCGCGCCCGTGCCCTTTGATGCCGACTTCTGGAACCAAACCCTGGGGCGTCTCTCCACATTCTACGACAAGGCCGTCCGCCCCCTCCTGCAGCCCACGAGGCCGCCGGTGGAGGAGTGAGCTGCGGGGAATTCGCAACGGAAGCCGTCTTTGTCTCGTCACATCTCCTCTTGTTCAAGTCGCCTCAAGCCTCCCGTACATCACGTGACTCATGCATGGCTGCCACCCCCCCACTTTGAATCCCTGCCCTCTGCCCGCCGCCCCCTGTGGAAACAGACGCTGCTCCGTGCAGCTCTGTTTGCGCCTCCTTTCCCATCTTTCCACCCCTCTCATCATCATCAATTCCCTCTCATCAGCGATATCTTGGTCATTTCTTCTCCCGCTCCTCCCCTTCTTACCGGCAGCTCTTTCGTCCTTCCTGCTGCCCTCATCTTGAGCCATGCCCTCCTCTTTGTCCGTCTTGGCGTCTTCCGTCTCAGCGTCCCTATCCCTCTCCTGGTCATCTTGTCCCCTCCGTCTGTTGCCCTTTAGTGCAATTGGCTCCAACTCCCCTTCCCGTCGTGTGGTGGTGCCGTGGGCAAAACGGTTCATAATGGCAAAACGCAAATGCATTACACTGTAGGGGCATATGTTTTATTTTAAAACTAAACTAAATATAGGGTGCCTTGAATGTACCTTTTGGAGGTAGAGTGCGTTTGCCAAACATGTCATAGTACAAACGAGTTAAATATTCATATTCTTTGGGTCTTTCGTAAAGCCACGTAGATAGAAAATTAAAAATCTATCTACGTGGAATTACCGAAAGACCCAAAGAATATGAATTCCTGCAGTCACGAAAGCTTTAAGTCAAGATTTAAATATTCATACTTTATTTATTAACTTGGGAAATCCTCACCGAGTCTCAAAACTCATTTAGGTGAGGGTCTTGCATGGGATTTTTGTTGAGATTAAAATATATATATACTTTAACGTGTGGGGAGCGTACGAAGAGATGACACTGGAAAAATATATAATATATACAGAGAGACCACCATGCTATTTGCTCTGCTACCTACTATATACACACCACTTTGGTGACCCAGCGGTCAGTAGTCTAGTGCACATGGTATCCGTACGTATGTAGAACTTCTTTCGTGCCATACGTAGGCATCTGTGCTAATCGGAGGTGCGGATGTTACAGGTAGGAACAACAGTTCCACACTGCCCACCAGGGATTATTTGTCTGTCTGTCGTGCATAGCCACGCCCTCGATTTGTATTTCATAGAGCGCTTCGGGCGGGCTCAGCACCATGTGACGCGCCGCGTGACACGGATCGCACGAATGCGCTGTCCAACCAAGTTCCTACCTGCCCACTCCGAAGGAATGTGTTAATGGGCCGGTGACATGTCGTGTTACCGCGCTTGCCGGGATTTGCTGTTCGAGCCCAAGTGGCCTCCCTGGTAAATACCTCGAGTGCTTTAACCAAATATGAGCTTGTTTACTTTGCAGCTCTAAGCCATGGGATCCTGTGACGTAATTCCACGGAGAATTGAGGTGCGTTTCAGTGAGCCCCAGAGGGCTCTGCCGTGGCGCTACGTGGGTTGGACGTTCGCTCCTGTTGAACGGTAGCGTTAGGGCAGGGAAGGATCGGCGCCTCCGATTGGCTGGATTCTGACACGCTCGCCACCTAACGCCCCTGCGAGGGAGCTCCTCAGTCCGTTCGCTCCTGATACGAGGCGCCCTGTGGGCTGCGAACGGGTCGTTGGGTAGAAAAGCGCACTTGGCCACGTGTCCTGGATGTGATCGATGGAAATTTGTCAAATTCCATAACCGTTTGAAGTTTGTTTAAACAAGGTTACTCCGACTGGGTTTCTCATTGGGTTCGCACTGACGGGGTTCATGAACCCACTTTCTCCACTGCCTGCAAGTGCGGGAGTTAATGACTGCGCGACTGCTGCAGATGATGCTTTTGAGAAGCCATATGTCGGGTTATATTTGCACCACGTGTTTACAGCAATGGGGTTGGGTTCAGAGATGTACTGTATACTGCATTTCACAGGTCATGGAATTATTCAATGTGTATTCTTTATGAATGTTTAATAGGGAAAACAATATGCTTACTATTAAACGTTGAAGACGTGGAATGTGGATTGTCAATTGAGGCATTCATGATTGTATTGTTTAAATCTAAATGGAACATACCCAGCCGGGGTTATTGTCAACATCACCGAGGTCGTACCCCTTTCCACCAACCCACGACCATTTTAAATCAGTGGCTTAAACACTTATTTAATTCATATTGGTCATTATAATAACAATCATGCAAACTCGTAACGCGCCACCGCACAGCAATCACTCGCTCTCCGAGAGAGAGAATAACTCGGATGTTCAAGGAAAGCACAGATAAGTGGAGAAGACAGCCACGTGATGAGCTGGTGCCAACATTTTCCCAAGTTCTGCGGTTCTCCTACACATGGAGGTCTAATTAACGAGTGGTTAACACGCGAGAGGAAACTGGAGCACCCTGGGAAAAAAACCCACGCGTGCGAGGGGGGAACACTCTATCCCGCACTCACTACACACACACAGTGCTCACCACAAATGAACCACAGTTCTTCGCCGATTCCGTCAAGATGCATAACCCGTTGAGAGAATTCTGTAAACTCTGGTCATCCTCGCAGTGGCTTTTGGCTAGCCATCGAACAAAAACGATCACCGTACCGCGCGCTTTCAGATGCGCTTCTGCGGCCGTCTGGAACGCTCTTCCAAAATTAGGAATCCACAGGAGCTGCGCACTTTTCAATCTGGATTGAAAACTCATTTCTTTAGCTTTGTGTTTAGTTTGTTATCCTTCCCCCGCACCTCCGATTATCACGGTTGGCTACATACGGCGCGAAGGTCAGCATATGTAGTATACTAATTCACAGTGGGAGGTACTCTTTCTTTTATTCCGGCCTTCACAGCCTTTAGGGCAGGGGTCGGGAACCTTTTTGACTGGGAGAGCCATAAAAGCCAAATATTTCTAAATATATTTCATTGAGAGCCATATAGTATTTTTAACGTATAATAAATTAAATATGTCTTACTTTTAATGCGACTTCTGGTGCTGCATGGTTTTGCTGATGGCCTTGTAGTCTGGTTCATACGTGGTGAGGTTGAGCTTCGTGCAGGCGTGACCCGTGAAATTTATCTTCAAAACTAATTTCTGTTTACTTTAAAATGACACAGTATTATTAAGCAATATCACAAGTATTTTAAAATCAGTTCCAAACTGATTTTTTATTTTTTTAAATTATTGTTTCAACTCAAAATTGTCTGGGAGCCATATGCCGTCACTGGAAGAGCCATATATGGCTCGCGAGCCATAGGTTCCCGACCGCTGCTTTAGGGGATAACCACCCACCGGGGGGTCGGGACAGCCAACACGCTGCCAGACCCACAGCATGAAGAGGGCGAAGATCACAACGACGACGCCACCACGACGACTTCCACTCCACATCCCAGCAGCCCCGACACAGCGTTGGTGTACGGTGTTTTTTTCTGCAATATTTTGCTGTCTTTTCTTGGATTTTCTGTTTGCACTTAGTCACATATTCACTTTAAGATGTTTTTGGTTCGTGTTTTTGTTTTTTGTTTGTTGCGGTTGCACCCGATTCAAGAGCCGAATGGCTCACAGGGCTATACCTAATAAATGAACTTGAACTATCCTGCCGAGCGTTGCCAGGCTCCGCCCTCGGCCTCCCGCACCCCTCTGGATCCCCCAGATTGCCCCGTGCCTTGCCCACAGGTGTAACTGGTCGAGCGGGCTGCTACCCCTGATTCTATTGTCTACCAATCTCCCAGCGGCACGCGCTCCAGTGATTCATTCCACGTCACGACATCTACGTACACATCCCATAGAGACGGGAGTTCAACGTTTTGCTCTAGATTTGAAGCTTTCGTGACTGCAAGGATTCATATTCTTAGTTCTTTCGGTAAAGTCACGTAGGTAAAAAAATAAATTAAAATCAATAAAAATAAAAAGTGATTTTTATTAAATTTTTTATTAATTTCATTTTTTACCTACGTGACTTTACCTAAAGAACTAAGAATGTTTTGCTCTGCTGCCTTCTCCTGGCGAGCCAGGGTATGGCACATCAACGCTCACGGGAGGGGAGTTTCACCTGAACCAAACGCCTCGCTGCCTCCACAGTGCTGGATTGCAGGCGTGCGTAACCACCACCAGTGCACCACAAATGTATGCTTTGGCCCCGTGGGCTATTAAGTTATGATGAAAAGGTAACACATTCCTCCTGCGGAGGGAGCTGGTAGGAACGTTGGGTTGCTCGGTCAATGGCCAGGGTCAACGGCGGCGTGGTGTATTCCGCAAATATGCCCGACTGTTAGGGCGGGCACAAGCCGGCGTGAGTAGGTTAAACGTTGAGTTTTATAAGGGCACCACGGGGTGACCAGCCCCTCCCCACCCAGCCCCCACTCAGCCCCACCCTCCCCACCCAGTCCCTCCCTCCCCACCCTCCCCTCCCCACCCAGCCCCTCCCTCCCAGCCCCTCCCTTCATGACGGACGGACGGATACAATAATCCCCTGTGGGCTGCTGTAAACAGGAGGTTCCTTACCAGTAGTAGATGCGCGCGCGCGAGTGTGTGTGTGTGACTGTGTGTGTGTCTGTGTGTGTGTGTGACTTCGGGGAGCGGTAGTGTAGTGGGTAGCGCGTCGCGCTACGAACCCGGCGACCCGGGTTCCGAGTCCCGATTCACGGCCACCACCACCACCGTCAGTGACGATTATCTCAAACCGGTCCTGGGTCTCCCCTAGGTCGACCCAGCCATAAATGTGTGTTAAACATCAGCGTTGGGGGTTCAGACAAAGGCGGTCGGGCGTGGGTGATCACCCACCCACCCTCTCGTGTGTCGTGTCGTCCTTCATAATAGGTGCTCGCTAACCAACATTCCCCCCCCCACACCGCCTTGTTAAAGTAGGGGGTGGGCGGGGCATCTTTGTCATTCTTTGTGTGGATGACGGCGAGCTGCGTGACGTCACACGCTTGCGTGCTGGTTGCGTGTGACGTCACCCCGCACAGGTGAACTCGACGCTCGCCAGGTGCCCTGGGGCTGGGGTGGGGGGTGCAGGTAAAGAGCCCCCACCGCTCACCCCCGTCAGGCGAGACGAGGCAACACGCCGTGCCGTGTGAAGCCGTATCCTCCTATACGTGCGGTGTGCACGTGTCTATGATTAATTAAGAAACACATCACCCGGGCCATTACATTACACGCGAGGTGGAGGAGGAGGTGGAGGAGGGGGACATCCTGCACAGCGCACAATGGAAGTGACTGCGACCGCGATGCTGTCCGTGGCAGGTCGGTTTCAGATCGTGCGTCGACTTTTATTCGCTGCCTCGCTCGCTCGTTCGCTTGCCGATGCTGATCTGCTGTTCTTCTTACGCGTGGTGTTCATGAGCTGAACGCCAACGTCGGTGTTTGCTGCTGGCGATGGGATAGCGAGAGGCTGAGTTGGTGAAGTGTTGCTCTGATTCCTCCACCGTTGGAACGAGGCTACGATGGTTTACTATATACCGTCCATGACCTAACATTGCCCATAAACTCACATCGGCTGTATACTAACATTGTCCATAGACTCACATCGGCTGTATACTAACATTGTCCATATACTCACATTGGCTGTATACTAACATTGCCCATAGACTCACATTGGCTGTATACTAACATTGTCCATAGACTCACATTGACTGTATACTAACGTTGCCCATAGACTCACATTGGCTGTATACTACATTGTCCATACACTAACATTGCCCATAGACTAACATTGTCCATACACTAACATTGGCTGTATACTAACATTGTCCATACACTAACATTGGCTGTATACTAACGTTGCCCATAGACTCACATTGGCTGTATACTACATTGTCCATACACTAACATTGCCCATAGACTAACATTGTCCATACACTAACATTGGCTGTATACTAACATTGTCCATACACTAACATTGGCTGTATACTAACGTTGCCCATAGACTCACATTGGCTGTATACTACATTGTCCATACACTAACATTGCCCATAGACTAACATTGTCCATACACTAACATTGCCCATAGACTAACATTGTCCATACACCAACATTGGCTGTATACTAACATTGCCCATACACCAACATCGGCTGTACACTAACGTTGCACATAGACCAGTCGTGGTTCTTAACCTTTACTGCAGCCTTGCACCCCTTGGGTCCTCAATTGTTTAGAATGTATAATGTTAATAAATGCATAGGTTTGATGAAACAAAGTAGTTCGTGTTAACTTCGAAAGCAAGCTGGCCATGGCTCGCAACCCGGGTGAAGAAGAACCACTGACATCGACTTACATTGCCCATATTCTAACTTTGCCCATATACTTACTTTGCCCATATACTTACTTTGCCCATATACTTACTTTGCCCATATACTTACTTTGCCCATATACTAACTTTGCCCATATACTAACTTTGCCCATATACTTACTTTGCCCATATACTAACTTTGCCCATATACTTACTTTGCCCATATACTAACTTTGCCCATATACTTACTTTGCCCATATACTAACTTTGCCCATATACTTACTTTGCCCATATACTAACTTTGCCCATATACTAACTTTGCCCATATACTAACTTTGCCCATATAGTAACTTTGCCCATAGACTAACATTGCCCATATACTAACTTTGCCTATAGACTAACTTTGTCCATATACTAACTTTGCCCATAGACTAACTTTGCCCATATACTAACTTTGCCCAAAGACTAACTTTGTCCATATACTAACTTTGCCCATATACTAACTTTGCCCATAGACTAACTTTGCCCATAGACTAACTTTGTCCATAGACTAACATTGCCCATATACTAACTTTGCCCATATACTAACTTTGCCCATAGACTAACTTTGTCCCATATACTAACATTGCCCAGAGGCTATTCTAATGTTGTGTATGATGATGGCAGTACGTTCATGGCCTAAACGTCGCCACGATGCATGAGAGAGTTCGTGTCGTTTTCCTGTTCCTCCTCCGCTGATGGAGCGTAGACGACAGTGGTTCTGTGTTGTGACTACCACTACCCTGAATATTAAATAAAACGCAATAGGGCGACGTTTCGGGTAATGGCCCTTCATCATAAGAGAATATCCATCTGTGATGTAAAGAAGTGCTTTGAAGGGCTGTTGCTCGAAACGTTGGCTATTACATATTTATTTACTTTTAAGGCCGTGGTGTTATTCGCGGATTCTAGCACCACGTGGCGAGATGTTAACAACCTCGCATGGTATACAGGAGGTCGTGGGTACGATCCAGACCCTGACCCCTCTATATGTGGAGTTTGTGTGTCTCTCTCCCGATGGTGGCGTGGATTTGTCTCAAGAGTCGTCCAGTTTTTCCCTCCACATTTAAAAACAACAACACCACGCGTTTAGAGTAATGTTGCTGCTATAAACTTCCACGTGATGATGAGCCACTTGGTTGAGCTATCATTTGTGGCTAGGTCGCTTCTGAGAAAAGAAGAGCTGTATAGCTCAGTGGGCCTTACCTGGTAAAATACATTTTTTTGTGAGGTTGTTTTGTTAATTGTGCTTGTGCACGATTGCTGAGTAGCAACATACACGGTGCAGTTGAACACGTAGGCTTTCGCGACCAGTATCATCCATAATACAGTTTTTTTTGGGGTGAGATAGCATAAATATATAAACGACACATTTATGTATTTACGCGATCTAACCCCTGTATTATACACGGTGCATTCTAACAGGTAAAAGTGCTTTGCCTGGGCTTTAGCGTCGCACTCCGCGGGAGGCAAATTGATGGGGATATGTAATCGCTTATACTGGTAGGAACCACCTGGTTCCACCAGCCCACAGGGGATTATTGTGTCCGTCCGTCGTGAATCCAAAAATGGGAGTGGTGGGGCTGGGTGGGGAGGGAAGGGTGGGGAGGGGCTGGGTGGGGAGGGGCTGGGTGGGAGGGGTGGGGCTGGGTGGGAGGGGTAGGGCTGGGTGGGGAGGGGCTGGTCACCCCGTGGTGCCCTTGTAAAACTCAACGTTTAACCTACTCACGCCGGCTTGTGCCCGCCCTCACAGTCGGCCATATTTGCGGAATACACCACGCCGCCGTTGACCCTGGCCATTGACCGAGCAACCCAACGTTCCTACCAGCTCCCTCCGCAGGAATGTGTTTAACGAGGCTAAATGCAGTGCCATAATTTCAGGCCGCTCCTGCCACTGTGATGAAACGCATCGAACCTTTTTATTATTACACGCTTTCATTTAGCTCACTGTCTGTTGTTGTTGTATCCTCAAATCTTGTAACTAAATTTTAATCCACTTCCCAATGTGCAAACTTGCTATACTTATGTCATACTGATGACAATACTATATTCTATCATAAAAAATATATTTTAAAACATTATTTTGTATATGTTATGTTTTGGCTTGGGTCTAATTGTCCACGGTAAACTGACGTTGGCTGTAATTGACCACAGTTCCTTACGTTATGGGTAGTTTCAGTGTCACTTCCCGGAGTCGTGGATTTCTTCCATTACTAGTACATTTCATTAAAGCGTGTTAAAAAAAAAGTAAAAAAAAAATATTACTTATTTGTCTTCGGATCTTTAACTATGCAATGAGGTCGTACCGCTAAATTGAAACATCAACAGCAACGCAACTGCCCAGCACTCACTGGGACGCTACGATTTTGCAATGGCAATGCAGGGGGGGGGCAGCAGCAGCCCCCCACTGCTCCACCAACATGGCCCCCCCCCTCGCAGCCCTCGGTTGACCCCGAGTGATGACCTGTGGCAGCCGTGTGCACTTGCGTGTGCACACCCGCCCTGGCCGTCGGGACTCCGCGCCCGGGCACGCCTCGCATCGTGGGGGGCTACGAGGTGCCCCCCTACTCCATCAAGTACCAGGCGTCGCTGCAGCGGCCCCGTGGCTCCCACTTCTGCGGCGGCTCCTTGGTGGGACGGCAGTGGGTGGTGACCGCGGCGCATTGCAACCTGCGGTACGTGCTGCCTCGCTCACTCACTCGCTCGCTCGCCCCCCCCTCCGCAACTCTCCCTCACTCACTCGCCCCCCCCTCCACAACTCTCACTCGCCCCCCTTCCCCTCCACAACTCTCACTCCCCCCCCCTCCACAACTCTCACTCACTCACTCGCCCCCTCCACAACTCTCACTCACTCACTCGCCCCCCCCCCCACACAACTCTCACTCACTCACTCGCCCCCCCCCCTCCACAACTCTCACTCACTCACTCGCCCCCCCCCCCCACACAACTCTCACTCACTCACTCGCCCCCCCCCTCCACAACTCTCACTCACTCACTCGCCCCCCCCCCCACACAACTCTCACTCACTCACTCGCCCCCCCCTCCACAACTCTCACTCACTCACTCGCCCCCCCCCCTCCACAACTCTCACTCACTCACTCGCCCCCCCCCCCTCCACAACTCTCACTCACTCGCCCCTCCCTCCACAACTCTCACTCATTCACTCGCCCCCCCCTCCACAACTCTCGCTCACTCACTCGCCCCCCCCTCCACAACTCTCGCTCTCCTCCACCTAACCTACTCCCTTCTCACTCACTCACTCACCCCTCCCACTCCCTCTCTCCATCTTTCATTCTCTACCAGAGTCGTTGCCTTTCATCTGTAATTAAGGCCCCGTCGCTCGGGTCTTCGATTGGAGACCTTGCAGCCCTCCCAGGCCCACTCGTGCTCCATGGACCCATTGTGCGCCAGCTACATTGATCGCAGGGACTCTTTCAATGCAAGCGTTCCTGCCTCTCTCAATGCTCCACCCGCGATGCTGAACAAAGGCAAAAAATATGCCCCCGTATAGCTTTTAAAAGACGGTAGGGGCAAATGTTGTTTGCGTGCTGCGCAGTGCCGGATTAAGCTAGTGCAGGGTAGCATATTTATAAAGGGGCCCTAAATAATAAAAAAATTGAAACACAAATGTTTAACTTGCATCGTAAAGTAATTGTATTTTTTCATTTGCTATACAGCCAGATAATACGACAAATCGCTAACCTTAAACACCCAGTTGTTCATAAAAGTTTGAAGGCGGTATAGTACTATAGTAATAGAGCAAGTGCAGAATCGCTGAACCGGAATTGATAGCTTGAAAGCATTTAGCGCGGGGCCCTTGAAAGTGCAGTGCCCGTAGCTACGACATATGTAGTAGCTACGACATATGTAGTAGCTACTACATGTGTAGCTACTTTTGCTACTAGGATAATCCGGCACTGGAGCTGCGCCTGTGAAGCCCGGCACGGCACACGATGGGGCGGGTCGCCAGCACCACGCCCGGCCGCCTTTGTCTCCCTAGTAGCGAAGTTTACACACCACACTAGGTACTCATTTGAGGCTGAGTCGATCTCGGGAAGGCCCTGGATCGATTCAGATAATCGTGACTGGTGTTGGCCGTGCCGTGAGTGGGAGTCGAACTCGTGCCGCCGGGTTCGTAGCGCAGAGCGCTAACGGCTGACCACCCCCCCGCATCCATCTCAATTCGTGCGATGGTACAGGCTGCCCATCATACGTGTGGTGCTTGGGGAAAATTCCATTTCAAAATTGGAGGGGCGCGAGCAGTTCTTCCGCGCGGTGCGGACCATCCCGCACCCCTTCTACAACTCGCGCACAGAGGACAACGACATCATGCTACTCAAGGTGGGCTCCTCCACATTGTCAACCAAGTCGGCTTCAACATCGTCAACCTCACCGTCATCAGCTTCATCTTTAACACCGGCGTCTGTTTCACCGCTCACTTAACCACTGCACATCTCAGTCGCCCCCACACCTCACCCCACCTGCCACCCTACACCTCACCCCACCTGTCATTCCACGTCTCCTCCCGCATCTCATCCCGCGTCTCACCCCGCGTCTCACCCCACACCTCACCCCACCTGCCACCCCACACCTCACCCACCTGCCACCCCACACCTCACCCCACCTGTCACCCCACGTCTCACCCCACGTCTCACCCCACGTCTCACCCCACGTCTCACCCCACGTCTCACCCCGCGTCTCACCCCACGTCTCACCCCACGTCTCACCCCGCGTCTCACCCCACGTCTCACCCCACGTCTCACCCCACGTCTCACCCCACACCTCACCCCACCTGTCATTCCATGTCTCACCCCGCGTCTCACCCCACACCTCACCCCACCTGTCATTCCACGTCTCACCCCACGTCTCACCCCACACCTCACCCCACCTGTCATTCCATGTCTCACCCCGCGTCTCACCCCACACCTCACCCCACCTGTCATTCCACGTCTCACCCCGCGTCTCACCCCACGTCTCACCCCACGTCTCACCCCGCGTCTCACCCCACGTCTCACCCCACGTCTCACCCCGCGTCTCACCCCACACCTCACCCCACCTGTCATTCCATGTCTCACCCCGCGTCTCACCCCACATCTCACCCCACCTGTCATTCCACGTCTCACCCCACGTCTCACCCCACGTCTCACCCCACGTCTCACCCCACGTCTCACCCACGTCTCACCCACGTCTCACCCCACGTCTCGCCCCACGTCTCGCCCCACGTCTCGCCCCACGTCTCGCCCACGTCTCGCCCCACGTCTCGCCCCACGTCTCGCCCCACGTCTCGCCCCACGTCTCGCCCCACGTCTCGCCCCACGTCTCGCCCCACGTCTCGCCCCACGTCTCGCCCCACGTCTCGCCCCACGTCTCGCCCCACGTCTCGCCCCACGTCTCGCCCCACGTCTCGCCCCACGTCTCGCCCCACGTCTCGCCCCACGTCTCGCCCCACGTCTCGCCCCACGTCTCGCCCCACGTCTCGCCCCACGTCTCGCCCCACGTCTCGCCCCACGTCTCGCCCCACGTCTCGCCCACGTCTCGCCCCCCACGTCTCGCCCCACGTCTCGCCCCACGTCTCGCCCACGTCTCGCCCCACGTCTCGCCCCACGTCTCGCCCCACGTCTCGCCCCACGTCTCGCCCCACGTCTCGCCCCACGTCCTCGCCCCACGTCTCGCCCCACGTCTCGCCCACGTCTCGCCCCACGTCTCGCCCCACGTCTCGCCCCACGTCTCGCCCCACGTCTCGCCCCACGTCTCGCCCCACGTCTCGCCCCACGTCTCGCCCCACGTCTCGCCCCACGTCTCGCCCACGTCTCGCCCCACGTCTCGCCCCACGTCTCGCCCCACGTCTCGCCCCACGTCTCGCCCCACGTCTCGCCCCACGTCTCGCCCACGTCTCGCCCCACGTCTCGCCCCACGTCTCGCCCCACGTCTCGCCCCACGTCTCGCCCCACGTCTCGCCCCACGTCTCGCCCCACGTCTCGCCCCACGTCTCGCCCCACGTCTCGCCCCACGTCTCGCCCCACGTCTCGCCCCACGTCTCGCCCCCGTCTCGCCCCACGTCTCGCCCCACGTCTCGCCCCACGTCTCGCCCACGTCTCGCCCCACGTCTCGCCCCACGTCTCGCCCCACGTCTCGCCCCACGTCTCGCCCCACGTCTCGCCCCACGTCTCGCCCCACGTCTCGCCCCACGTCTCGCCCACGCTCGCCCCACGTCTCGCCCCACGTCTCGCCCCACGTCTCGCCCCACGTCTCGCCCCACGGTTCTCGCCCCCACGTCTCGCCCCACGTCTCGCCCCACGTCTCGCCCCACGTCTCGCCCCACGTCTCGCCCCACGTCTCGCCCCACGTCTCGCCCACGTCTCGCCCCACGTCTCGCCTCAACGTCTCGCCACGTCTCGCCCCACGGCTCGCCCCACGTCTCGCCCCACGTCTCGCCCCACGTCTCGCCCCACGTCGCGCCCACGTCTCGCCCCACGTCTCGCCCCACGTCTCGCCCCACGTCTCGCCCCACGTCTCGCCCCACGTCTCGCCCCACGTCTCGCCCACGCTCGACCCCGTCTCGCCCCACGTCTCGCCCCACGTCTCGCCCACGTCTCGCCCCACGTCTCGCCCCCACGTCTCGCCCCACGTCTCGCCCCACGTCTCGCCCCACGTCTCGCCCCACGTCTCGCCCCACGTCTCGCCCCACGTCTCGCCCCAAGTCTCGCCCCACGTCTCGCCCCACGTCTCGCCCCACGTCTCGCCCCACGTCTCGCCCCACGTCTCGCCCCACGTCTCGCCCCACGTCTCGCCCCAAGTCTCGCCCCACGTCTCGCCCCACGTCTCGCCCCACGTCTCGCCCCACGTCTCGCCCCACGTCTCGCACGTTCGCCCACGTCTCGCCCCACGTCTCGCCCCACGTCTCGCCCCACGTCTCGCCCCACTGTCTCGCCCCACGTCTCGCCCCACGTCTCGCCCCACGTCTCGCCCCACGTCTCGCCCCACGTCTCGCCCCACGTCTCGCCCCACGTCTCGCCCCACGTCTCGCCCCACGTCTCGCCCCACGTCTCGCCACGTCTCGCCCCACGTCTCGCCCCACGTCTCGCCCCACGTCTCGCCCCACGTCTCGCCCCACGTCTCGCCCCACGTCTCTCCCCCACGTCTCGCCCCACGTCTCGCCCCACGTCTCGCCCCACGTCTCGCCCCACGTCTCGCCCCACGTCTCGCCCCACGTCTCGCCCCACGTCTCGCCCCACGTCTCGCCCCACGTCTCGCCCCACGTCTCGCCCCACGTCTCGCCCCACGTCTCGCCCCACGTCTCGCCCCACGTCTCGCCCCACGTCTCGCCCCACGTCTCGCCCCACGTCTCGCCCCACGTCTCGCCCCACGTCTCGCCCCGTCTCGCCCCACGTCTCGCCCCACGTCTCGCCCCACGTCTCGCCCCACGTCTCGCCCCACGTCTCGCCCCACGTCTCGCCCCACGTCTCGCCCCACGTCTCGCCCCACGTCTCGCCCCACGTCTCGCCCCACGTCTCGCCCCACGTCTCGCCCCACGTCTCGCCCCACGTCTCGCCCCACGTCTCGCCCCACGTCTCGCCCCCCTTCTCGCCCCACGTCTCGCCCCACGTCCTCGCCCCCACCCACGTCTCGCCCCACGTCTCGCCCCACGTCTCGCCCCACGTCTCGCCCCACGTCTCGCCCGTCTCGCCCCACGTCTCGCCCACGTCTCGCCCCACGTCTCGCCCCCGTCTCGCCCCACGTCTGCCCCACGTCTCGCCCCACGTCTCGCCCCACGTCTCGCCCCACGTCTCGCCCCACGGTCTCGCCACACGTCTCGCCCCACGTCTCGCCCCACGTCTCGCCCCACAGTCTCGCCCCACGTCTCGCCCCACGTCTCGCCCACGTCTCGCCCACGTCTCGCCCACGTCTCGCCCCACGTCTCGCCCACGTCTCGCCCCACGTCTCGCCCCACGTCTCGCCCCACGTCTCGCCCCACGTCTCGCCCCACGTCTCGCCCCACGTCTGCGCCCCACGTCTCGCCCACGTCTCGCCCCACGTCTCGCCCCACGTCTCGCCCCACGTCTCGCCCCACGTCTCGCCCCACTCTCGCCCCACGTCTCGCCCCACGTCTCGCCCCACGTCTCGCCCCACGTCTCGCCCCCGTCTCGCCCCACGTCTCGCCCCACGTCTCGCCCCACGTCTCGCCCCACGTCTCGCCCCACGTCTCGCCCCACGTCTCGCCCACGTCTCGCCCCACGTCTCGCCCCACGTCTCGCCCCACGTCTCGCCCCACGTCTCGCCCCACGTCTCGCCCCACGTCTCGCCCCACGTCTCGCCCCACGTCTCGCCCCACGTCTCGCCCCACGTCTCGCCCCACGTCTCGCCCCACGTCTCGCCCACGTCTCGCCCCACGTCTCGCCCCACGTCTCGCCCCACGTCTCGCCCCACGTCTCGCCCCACGTCTCGCCCCACGTCTCGCCCCACGTCTCGCCCCACGTCTCGCCCCACGTCTCGCCCCACGTCTCGCCCCCGTCTCGCCCCACGTCTCGCCCCACGTCCGCCCCACGTCTCCCCACGTCTCGCCCCACGTCTCGCCCCACGTCTCGCCCCACGTCTCGCCCCACGTCTCGCCCCACGTCTCGCCCCACGTCTCGCCCCACGTCTCGCCCCACGTCTCGCCCCACGTCTCGCCCCACGTCTCACCCCACGTCTCACCGCACGTCTCACCCCCACCACCACTCCACCCTTCCCCCCCCCCCCCTGCCACCGCCATCACCACCCTCTGCCCCCCCCACTCAATCCCTCTCCCCCCCACCCACCCCTCCGAAGCTCAACCGACCGGCCACCCTCAACGCCTTCGTGGGCACCGTAGGGCTCGCGGAGCCGGGCTCGTGGCCCGGCCCCGGCACGCTGTGCCGCGTCTCCGGCTGGGGCCTCACGTCCAGCCTGGGCCGAGCCACCGCCGACCGTCTCCGCGCCGTGCGTGTCCCGCTCGTGCCCAGCGCTCAGTGCAACTCCACGCTCGCCTACAACGGCCTCATCACCCACAGCATGGTGTGCGCCGGCTACAGGTCCGGCGGCAAGGACTCGTGCCAGGTGCGGTTGCACCGACGGGCACCGCCACGGTTGCTGTTGTTGCTGCTGTTGTGCCCCGCGATCCCCCCCCCACCCCTTAACTACCTCCCCCATCCCCTTCCGGCAGGGAGATTCTGGGGGTCCTCTGGTGTGCGGGGGCCGCCTGTTTGGGGTCGTGTCGTGGGGGAACAGCTGCGCAGATTCGCGCTACCCCGGCGTCTACAGCAGCATCGCCCGCTTCCGCTACTGGATCGAGATGACCATCTTACGCGACGCACGCCGCCGCTCCCGCTGGTGACGCTGGAGACAGTGGCAGAGAGGTCGGCGGGGGCGTGGAGGTAGTACGGGGTCGGGGGGGGGGGAAACAAAGGGATGGGATCTGGTCTGGGCTTCCTCTCTTCCTTCCTCTTTCCTCCTACTCCACCCCCCTGCTCATTTTCTTTCTCCTCCTTCTCCGACTCGTACTCCTTGCACCGCCTACTCCAGATTCTACTCCTCATCTTTCTTGCGCCACCATCTTTCCTCCTCTTGTTACACATCTTCCTCCCCCTTCTTCCTCTTTCTACTCATCCTCCTCTCTCCTCTTTTATTCTGCGCCTCATCCTCCATACCGCCCTCCCCCCCCTCCCCCATCCACCTCCTATTCCTTATTCTACTCCTCAATCTCCCGCTTCCCTCTTTCCTCCTCGCTCCTCCTCCCTACTCTACTCCTCGTTCGTATCACATTGGTTCAATAGCAATTTGATTTGTGACCATCACAAATGTCTTCCGACCGATGTTCGATCTGCTCTGGCCCGTCTCGTTGCTTCTACAACTCCGGGAGACCGTTGCTCATAGCAGTCAACCTAGACGGTTTGGCCGTATCCGTTTCAATAAGGGTTAAAACATTTTTTTTGTCTATTTGTTTGTGTTTCTGCTGAAGGCAACGCATTTATTGAACAACTCTTAACACTCTAATAATAGGGGTTTTCCTCTTTTTTCTGGCATCGAAACTGAAACCTTTTTACGAGGATTCATGTCTGCATTAGCCACAATACTTGCAGTCAAAATGCAAACAAAAAACACACTGATAATATATGCATTGTCCTTGAAACTGATTGGTCCACACCAAGGGACGGCTTTCTGTTGAACCACGACCCAATTGGTGCTCGACCAGAGGACGCCAAAAGGCGTACAGCTCAAAGACAATGCACTATCAAAGTAATGAGGGCTCGGGGTGAGCATCTACATCATTAGACCTCCTTTGCCAGTACCAAAATATAATAATAAGGTTTAAGTTTTGTTGCCAGAAAAAAAGGGAAAAAACCTATTATTATATTTTGGTACTGGCAAAGGAGGTCTCAAGTTCATTTATTAGGTATAGCCCTGTGAGCCATTCGGCTCTTGAATCGGGTGCAACCGCAACAAACAAAAAACTAAAACATTCTGTTAACGCTACTCTGTTAACCACTTCTATATTAACATGGAGAGGTACGACCCCTTCCACTCGATATTCTAAGGGAGAGAGAGACAGCCTCCCTTCTAGCGTTCTCTACCCACTCCGGGCTACGCACACGCCGGTCCCTTGCGACGGCGGCTAGGGGAAGGCCGGACCAACCGACCCACGCAGGGTACGGGACTCGCCCTGGACAGCTTCAACCCCGGCTTGGCGAGAGCCTCGGGGAGGGTCCCAGGGGGTCCGAGCGACCTCGGCTCTGCTACAACCGGCTTACGAGAGCCACGGTTGAGGGTCCCCGGGTCGTTGGTCCAGACTTCAGATCTTCAGATGTCTTCGAGCTTGAGTTGGTGAGTACTGCCCCGACCGTCCCGAGGGCCGGCCTTTTATCCCCAGGTCAGGGTCACCCCTCCCCTCATGAGCCCCCCCTCCATAACCTTCTGGAAGGTCTTAGGAGGTCTTAATTCTTAAGGGGTCTTAGGAAATGGAGGGGGGCCATCATCCTCCTCAGCCCCCAGCCCCTGGGGGGGTCTGGGGTGTCAACCTCCGGCCACGGAGGGGCGGGGGTTTGACCTTCGGTCAACCCCTACCCACTTCGCTTTCTCTCGGCTGCCCCCAGTCGGCCCGTGAGCGTGGCGGCAGATCAGCTTCCTACAGAGCCTTATTATGGCGCTACAGTAGGATTAACTTAGAGATTTTTAAGAGCACGGGGTGACCAATAAGGTCTGAATTCGTCCATGATAAGGTAGGGCACTGATGAAGGGATGACAAGTATGGTTGCTCTTCTCACGTTCTTCCTCTGGTGAACTGCTGGGCACCCTCTCTCGTCATCTCCCCCCCCCCCCCCTGCACGACGACATCATTCGTGAACCTTTTCGTCACGCTTCCAGATTAGGTGTTTAGGTGTGAAGGCAGCCAGCCCGTTGTCTCACACATTCGTTCGCTCGGCGTCCTACGGAATCCGTCGCCAATCTCGTTCCCCTTGTCTCTTTGCCTGGTGATGCCCAGCCATTTGCCAAAAACACCGCGACTCGAACACCGCAGGCGGCTCTGACTTAGATGCACACATCTGGTTGTAGTGTCCAGTAAACGTGGAACGTTGGAACCGTTGGCCTAACATTGGCCCAAAGGCGTGGTGGTTAGTGTTTTTTTGTTGTTTCTGGAGGAGCCCCGAGGGGAAGGATTTGGTCTCCTGGCTCCGCCAAATGGGATTTGGCAGGAGACGTCATAGACGCCTGTCCCCCCGGGGCCTCCGGCACAAGCTTATGAAATAAAATGTTTCATTCGTGGTTTAGTGGTAATTGAAGGTGAAGGGGTTACCAGCCCCTCGCACCCAACCAGATCCCCCATTTGGCCGCTGTGGTGGTTACAAATGCCATGAGGGTAAAGGCCAATTTAAATTGGTCCTCCCCCCACAGCACTGCCCATCACAGCGTTGCCGTCCTTGAGGTCTAGATGCACGATGCTCTAGCGATGCAGGAAGGCGACGCTGTCCAGGATCTGGGTCATGAGGCGCACTACGTCGCGCTCCGTGAATGCCTCCTCTCTCTCCGCCATGCACTGGTTGAAGATCTCCACTCCCGCCGCAATGCCCAGTTCGTTGCTCCCCGCCAGAGTGTACCCGGAGCATCCCGCTCTGCACCTCCTCTGTGCTGCCACTGCTGTCGTCATCACATTTGCTATTTGCTGCGCTGTGGATACTTTTATAGCTGCCGCCACTGCTGCTGCAACTACAGGTGGTGGTGCCGCCGCTAGCGGGATTCCGTACTCGACCTCCTCTTCCCTCTTCTTGGGTGCACGAAGCAGGCACTCACTCCGTCCTCGGCCCCGCCCACCTTCTCGAGCATTCTCATTCCCTCTCAATCCTTCTCAAGAGCTCTCCCCGGACAGGTGATCACCCACTAGCCCCCCCACCTGGGGCCCCTTGTGTGGACACTCCGGATCACGTGTCTACAGTGTCAACCAGAGTGCCATGGCCCGGGGTAACCCTGTCCCTGGGCTGACGCTCACCCACTATCCCTCGTGGGAGCCCCCACCACACAGTCCGTGGTGCTCGCACTATCCAGTGCTCGCCAAACCCGCTAGGGCTGGTATTACACACAGCCACCCACACGGTGCTGTCCACGATGTAGGAACATCGAACGGCACGGCCCTTCAAGTTCAATTTAATTTATTAGGTATAGCCCTGTGAGCCATTCGGCTCTTGAATCGGGTGCAACCGCAACAAACATGCACTGTACCGGGCCGGCACCATACAGTGACATCCCCGATGTTATCATAGTAATGGTAGTGTATACTCTTTGGTTCTTTCCGTAAAGTCACGTAGGTGGAAGAAAATAAACAGATCACGACGTTTCGATCGCAACACAAGCGATCGTCATCAGGTGAGACAATAACTGCAGGGAAACTGCTGAAACAGGCGAGAGAGCTGCCGTGACAAGTGGCTATATAGGTGTAATGGGTTCGAATTTAGGCGCACACAACTTCTTGGGAGGCAACACTATTTATTACTGAACATGACAGTTAACTCTTACATTACGCATAGGGTGGTGACCACCGTCCTACTCTAGCTAACACACACACTTCTCTAGCACTGACTCTCAGATACTCTCTCGTGACCCAGCCGGGTGGGCTACTGGTGGGTCCGCTGACTGGAGGTTTGACTCTTCTTGGCTATTTAATTTTTTTTATTTCATTTCAATCAAGAGCAGGCCTCTGCCTTGTACAGCCAAAAAGAACAGAAAAAAAGACAGGAGAACACATGACCGTAACCGGAACCGGGGATCCTTTTGTAACAACCAGTGCCCCTACAGCAGATGCACAGAGTACGACGCGGTAGAATTTCCCTCTTACACATCCTTTAGGCAAAGGCAAGAAATCACCGTCACAAAGGAGGGTACATTCATCCACCCATTCTCGACGGCGGGGGGGGGGGGGGGCATTCACAATTCAACCTATCCCACACGGGGGTGGCGGCCATCGCCATTTCGCGTTTGTGGCGCTCCTGCCCATCGTCTCCCGCTCCACCTCCACCACCCTTTCCAACAGCCCCCTGGCTAGGCGGTATACCCCGAGGGGCGGGCCGTCCACAGGGCCTCTTTTATGGCGCCTATGACGGCCCATGCCTGAGTCCCAAACCTCGCCCGCACTCTGTCTGACTTGACTCTTCTTGGCGTCTTCACGATGCATCTTCATTCTTGATACGGGCAGCCACGAACCTCGTGAGTAGGCCTCGGCAAGGTAAGGTAATTTACCCTTTTTACCGGGTAAAGGGTAAAGATGTCGGCATGCCAAGGGGTAAGGTAAAGGGTAGGGTAAAGGTAGCTCGGAAGAATTACCCGGTAGGATAAAGGTAGCGCGAAGTATTACCCGGTAAATACGATACCTTGTTTACCGCTAAAAGCTCTGTGGCGCAGTCCGTGGCCTCCATTTAATAAGTAATATTAAAACAAACTTTCTTAAAAACACGCTTTAATGAAATGTACTAGTAATGGCAGAACTCCACGACTCCAGGTAGTGGCCCTGAAGCTTGCCATAACGTAAGGGGTGGTGGTGATTTACAGCCAACGTTAGCTGAGCGTGGACAATTAGACCCAAGCTGAAACATAACATATAAAAAAGTTTTTATGATAGAATATAGTGTTGTCATCAGTGAACAAGTTTGCAGTCGATACCACAATAGGAAGTGGGTAAAAATGGAGTTACATGATTTGAGGATGCGACGACGACAACAAGCGTATAAAATTGGAATCATCGAGAGCATTCTATATGAATAAAGCGCTCTACCTAGCATTTACCTGTTATAAACCTTGTTCATGTGTAGTAGTACCCTAGTAATTACCCTGTAATTGGGTAATTTATATGGGCTAAGGGTAAAAGGTAGGGTAAAGGTAGGCTCGTTGCTTTTTACCTTTTAACTTTTACCTTACCTTGCCGAGGCCTACTCGTGAGGAGGCTGCTTATATGGGCGTGTCCTGGCCCCACCCCGGCCACGCCTTTCTTCGAGAACCCTCTTGAAGCCCCCCCCCCCCTGCTGTCCACGTGCCCCCCGAGGTGCCCCCCCCCCCGGGTCCCCGGCCCCCACTGGGATCCGGTCACGTGTCCAGCCGGGGTCACAGAGTGCCACGACCTCACACCACCCCCGTGGCCTCCCTAGTCCAGAACCGGCCCTGACGTCATTCCCGCCTCCAGCCGGGATGACGTCATGTGTGTGTGTAGATCCGTGGGGTAGTGACGTTCCCCCGCATAGTGACATCACGTGTGCGTGTATACACAGTAGTGACGCTACAAGTCACTACATCGGGTAGGGTTTGTGGGCGGGGCTAGAGATGGGGGGGGGGGGGTCGGGCAGAGCAAGATCTGCAGCGGGGACGGGGGAGCTGGTAATAGTTTTTGTCGTGGGTTTGGTGTTGGGAGGGGTGGCAAAGCGGTTAGCGCACTGCACAACGAACTCGGCCACCCGAGTTCGAATCACGCTCACGGCCAACACCAGCGACGATTATTGAAAGCGGTCCTGGGCATCTCCTAGGTTGACTCGGCCTCAAATAAGTCGTTCCTGACTTGCAGTATCCTGGAGTCTACAAATTGAGTTGCAGTTGTGGTGATTGCTACATTGGAGAAACGAAACGTCATGTTTCTGATCGTGTCCGCGAGCACAAGTCAGATCTGAAACACGGCAGAACTGATTCTTCGGCCGTTGCTGATCATTGTTACAACTCGGTGGGCTCTCATGAAATTGTCTTTTCCGAGACCAAGGTGCTCTGCAAACCTCCTGGCTACCATCAAAGGTTTGTACACGAAGCCATACAAATATACAAACACAGACATAATTTCAACAGTGATGATGGTTACAAACTGAGTAATTATTGGAAAGATGTGATTAACCATGCAAAAAAAAAGATTTAACTACACTTATTTGGACCATCTTATTTGACAGACAACTATTACAGGTTATTGATAGACAGCCAGGCTTGTTTTACCATGTTTAGTTTGTTTCTTTTTTCACACTATTGTTATGTAGGCCAGGCTTAGTCACAAACCGTACCTCTCCATAACAAAGGCTCAGCCTCTTAAGCCTCACCTTACCATATTAATAAAAAGTGTGCCGTACTTGGCCCTTCCCCCCCTCTCCAACCATTATATATACGAAGTGGTAGCTCTTGCAATCTCTCATTTACTTGATACAGCTGTCGTGGCTGTGACGGTTCCACCTGTGTTGCCTCCGAAACGTCGTGATTTTTATTTTATTTTACTTTTATTAATTTTAATGTTTTACCTACGTGACTTTACCGAAAAAACCTAAGAATATGAATCCTTGCAGTCACGAAAGCTTGAAATCTAGAACTCAAATAAGTAATTGGTACAGTGCATAACATTGCCACTGAGGAGACAAAGGCGGCTGGACGTGGTGCTGGCCATCCCAACCCACTCGTGTGCCATGCCGGCCATCATAGGTGCTATTCGCGAACAGCACTTGCCCCAACAGTCTGTTAAGGCTATATGGGGATCTTTGTCTTTGGTGGTTTTGGTGACTTGGAGACCGGGATTGGTGGATCACACAGCGATGGAGCCATTGGGGGTGCGTGATGCTCTCCCACAGCACAACTTGATGGTGCTATTACAATGGCTGTACAGCAAGTGGGTTGCCGTTGTGGGGATTTTTATATATTTTTTATAAAGTGTTACACCATCGTATGAGTGGTGGGTTTTGATTTTGCATTACTGTTTTTTGCCTGCATGCAAAAATACTCATTAAATCGGCATTTTTAAAACATCCCAATGCAGGACCCTGCTGACACAGCCTCGAGACTCGGTGAAGTTTTTTTTCTCTCTCGGTAAATGTATGCACGAAAGGGCTGTGTGCACAATTAGAAGGATCATCAAAAGCAATGCCACGATAAGAAGTACTACCATCATCATCATGAAACTGATGATGTTAAAATATATACCTGTATTGATTATGTTCAATATTGTTGTTTGTTTTCACAAAATTTGTTGCGAGTTATTTAGATTTAGTTTTGTTGAACTGAAATGTTTCCGTTGCTACAGAATTGAGCAATGTTAATAAATTCGCCTGATTTTCAATCGCGTATCTTATTATTCATTCACCACTCATTCCATTCCCAGGTATACAGGAGCCCATGGGAGCTTTGTCATGATACACACACAACTGCTGCCATTTTAAAGGTGTAAAAACACAACTTTTTCGACCAACATAACATACAGCTGGACTAGATTTGAAGCTTTCGTGACTGCAAGGATTCATACTCTTTGGTAAAAATAAATAATAGAAATAAAATAATAAATCACGACGTTTCGGAGGCAACACAAGTCTCCGTCATCACGTGGGACCGTCACAGCTATATTTACTGTGTCAAGTGAGGCAAAATTCCAAAAGACAAGCTCTTAAATACAAGTTAAGGGGGAGGCGGGCTTATTTGAATGTGGTAGCCAATGAATGGAACTTAACCCCAAGTGCACCTATTCTCTTTTAGCTATTGCATGTGTAGTGACTTTTGCTACGAGGATAATCCGGCACTGGTTAGCGCACAGCGATATCCGTACCGGTCGTGCACGCCCCCCCCCCCCCCTAGGTAGACTCAGCCATAAGTGAGTACTGGGTGCGGCGTGCAACGCATCAGCGCTGGAGAGACAAAGGTGACCGAATGAGCGCAGTTCCAGCCATACCATCACCCCGTTGTGCGCTGTAGCGGCCTTCCTAACAGCGCTTGTTGCGGCAGTCTGTACAAAGGCTATACGGGGGAATGTGTGGTGGTGGTGGTGTGTGTGGATGTACGTGCGGGAGGGGGGGGTCTAGTTGAATGGGCATTCGTTGATGAGTGTCACCTTACTCGGCTCACAAAGACGGTGATTGCATTGGGCACAATGACATCCTTTCACGTTCCTCTGCGACCCATTCAAGCCCCGACTCATTAAAGAAAACCAAGTCGGGTTTTCATGGGCAGATCCCCCATCCGTCCCTTCTTATAGCCGGACCCCCCCTCCCAACCCCCCTCCCATCCCTCTCTGCTCCAGCGGCCTCGGGGGAGGTGGGGGAGGTGAGGTGGGGGTGGGGGAGGTGAGGTGGGGGTAGGGGAGGTGAGGTGGGGGTGGGGGAGGTGAGGTGGGGTAGGGGAGGTGAGGTGGGGGTGGGGAGGTGAGGTTGGGGTGGTGGAGGTGAGGTGGGGGTTGGGGAGGTGAGGTGGGGGTGGGGGAGGTGAGGTGGGGGGTGGGGGAGGTGAGGTGGGGGTGGGGAGGTGGGGGAGGTGGAGGTGGGGGAGGTGGGGGGGTGGGAGGTGGGGGAGGTGAGGTGGGGGAGGGGTGAGTGGGGGAGTGGGTGGGGGTGGTGAGGTGGGGGAGGTGGGGGTGGGGGAGGTGAGGTGGGGGAGGTGAGGTGGGGGAGGTGGGGGAGGTGAGGTGGGGGAGGTGGGGGAGGTGAGGTGGGGGAGGTGGGGGAGGTGAGGTGGGGGAGGTGGGGAGGTGAGGTGGGGTGGGGGAGGTGAGGGGGGGGGAGGTGGGGGAGTGAGGTGGGGGTGGGGGTGGGGGAGGTGAGGTGGGGGTGGGGGAGGTGAGGTGGGGGAGGTGGGGGGGTGGGGGAGGTGAGGTGGGGGTGGGGGTGGGGGAGGTGAGGTGGGGGGTGGGTGAGGTGAGGTGGGGGTGGGGGAGGTGAGGTGGGGGTGGGGGTGGGGGAGGTGAGGTGGGGGTGGGGGAGGGAGGTGGGGGGGGTGGGGGAGGTGAGGTGGGGGTGGGGGGGAGGTGAGGTGGGGGTGGGGGAGGTGAGGTGGGGGTGGGGGAGGTGAGGTGGGGGTGGGGGTGGGGGAGGTGAGGTGGGGGTGGGGGAGGTGAGGTGGGGGTGGGGGAGGTGAGGTGGGGGTGGGGGGGGGTGAGGTGGGGGTGGGGGAGGTGAGGTGGGGGTGGGGGAGGTGAGGTGGGGGTGGGGGGGGGTGAGGTGGGGGTGGGGGAGGTGAGGTGGGGGTGGGGGAGGTGAGGTGGGGGAGGTGAGGTGGGGGTGGGGGAGGTGAGGTGGGGGAGGTCTCAGTAACAAAACCGCCGAGCGAGTAATTAGTTCGTCAGCAAAGCTGGCTCTTCACGAGCCGAGGATTCTCCAACGTGGGAATTCATCAGTCGTGTCATTTATAATAATGACAATGTATGTATATATATTATGGTAGAAAATAAATCACGCAAAGACGCCAAGCGGCCAGCCATATACAGCACCTTTGCAGGCAGCGCTGAATTTCGGCCTGAAAAATCCTGAACGCCGTTGTGGAAATTATTTTGGCACCTAATCATATCCACATCAGCTATTTTAGTTTTCTTCTAATTATGATTTTTTTTAATTCTCCTGAATTATAGGAATATATGGTTATAGTCTCACACGTGTCCATGAGTCTCACACGTGACCAGTAGTCTCACACGTGAGCAGGAGTCTCACACGTTACCAGTAGTCTCACACGTGACCAGTAGTCTCACACGTGACCATGAGTCTCACACGTGACCAGTAGTCTCACACGTGACCATGAGTCTCACACGTGACCAGTAGTCTCTTATCACGTGTACAAGAACACGGGGTAAACCGTATTGGTTGACAGCGATGGCACTTTAAATCAATGCCGCCGGCTTGTGATTGGACGGAACGGCGTTCAGAGATCCCCCCCATCAACACCACCACCACTCCTTACCCGCCCCACCCCCCCACCAGATAAATAGGTGGCGACAGGAGGAGTCTGAGCGTCACGTGTCCACAGGTGTGCACGTGATACTCACTTAGCTCCAGGTGTGCCATGGAGCTGCTGATGTGTGTGATCATGGCGCTGGTGTCTGCAGGTAAGGTTTTTTTTTTTGTTGTTTGCGGGACTTTGCGATCCATGTGTTGCCAATCGTCCGTACAGTGCCTCTACTGGCGCCTGCCATATCAATGTGTAATTAAATTAAAGATGAGCATTTAAAAAAAATGTTACCAGGTAGGGTCCACTGAGCTTCATAACTCTTTTTGAGAAGCGACGTGGCCACAGATGATAGCTCAACGAAGTGGCTTATCACGTGGACATTTATTGCAGCCTAAATACTCTTAAACGCGTGATGTTGATTCGAAACGTGGAGGGGAAAAACCGGAGAACCCGGAGAAAAATCCACGCGACCACAGGGAGAGAGATACACGCAAACTCCAAATATACAGCAGGCATCAGGGTCGGGATCAAACCCACGATCCTCCTGCATACCAGGCGAGGGAGTTAACATCTCGCCACCGCGGCACCCCAATTGTTTTGCCACCTCTGTTGGACACCTTGGAAAGCAAAACAGATTCACACGCAGGTTGATTACACTGTTCAACCCACTTGCTGTACTGCCGTTGTTGGCCTCCTCGCAGCGCGGCGGGGTTGGTACTCGGGTTTCACTGAACTCGATGCTCTCATGATGGTCCACCAACCCCTCATTTCACGAGGCGAGCCCGGGTGTTACAATCCCAGCCATTATCAAATCCATCAATGGATGAAGTTATTTCCACCCCGTGTCGGTTATGGGTTTTTGCTGTTGTGACCATACTTCACCACACCGCTGGTCAATGCGGGTTGATGAACGGGTAGGGCAGCGCCGGTTTTGATTTTGCTCGCCATCCGATGTTAAAGAGCCGTGGCTGGGGAACGGGTTTGGGTGGTCCAGGTTCTTAGGCGCAGCGTGGTGAACACTACCACCACCGCTACCACCCCCCTCATGCTCCGTAATCCCATACACATTTTTAAAGCTAAGGGCGCAATTAGTGCAATACAAAATTAAGTTTAAAACGATGGCCTGATCTCACGAGCTATGGGGGTAGTTTTGAGCCAGCGTTGGGAATTCCAGATTTTCCCTGGTGGCAGCAGTCCGTCTATAGGAAGACCCACTGCTCGAAAATAATTCCCACCATTATTCTCATCATCATCACCACCACCATCTTACATAGCCACGATCTATCCACTGCACATGCCGTGAATTAAATATTGCAGGTAGGAACAATGTTCCACACTGTCCACCAGGGATTTTTTGTCTGTCTGTCGTGCGTAAATATATATATATAAAATAAACAGCTCTTTGATTCAATTTAACACGTAGGCTTTCGCGACCAATATTATTCATAATATAGGTTTTTGGGTCAGATCGCGTTATTTATAAATGTGTCGTAACCCTCCACCACCCGACACGGCCAAACAGTAAAAAATGTGTCACGTTTTCAAAGGACAAATTAATTGACTTCTTTAGCCCACCGCTGTGCTGAAGAGAGAATCAACAGCCTCCCGCTCGTCCTGCACGCCGCTCGCACCCGGCGCTGCCACCGCCGGCCGTTGAGCGTGAACCGGAACTCGCGCCGCCCCCCCCCCCCCCGTGGCGCGTCTCTCCCACGTGCGCGATGGCGCCGTCCGAGGGCGGCGCGGCTGCAGCCGCCGCCTGCGCCCGGAGCCGCTCGGTGTCGTCGTCTAGCCGGGGTTCCGAGGCGCGCCGCTGCCGTTCCCCCTCCTCCACGTGGAGGCGCCGCAAGTGCTCCGCCGCCGCCCGCAGCTCCGGCCGGTTCATGGTCAGACACCGACGATGACGACGCTGCGTGATGGCGCCGTCTGGCCGCCTGCGCCCGGAGCCGCTCCCGGTTGTCCTGGAGCCGGACTTCCGGGGCGCGCCGCCACTCCTCCACGTGCTGGCGGCAACGCGACGCGGCACTCCACCGCCAGACACCGACGACGAAGACGACGAGGGGTCGAGAGCCCCAGGTGGTGTCCCTGTAGATGAGGCGCTGGGTAGCGGGCTCCCACGATGGTATTGTGAAGCTGCACGACGGGGTGGTTTGCGTCCCCCTCGCCGAGCCCGTCCGCCATGGCCTCGTCTGCGGCCTCCTGCCAACTCCTCTTCGTCGTGTCGTCAAGCTCCTCATCGCGGTCTCTTTTTTTTCCTCCACACTCCTGCCTTGATCCTCTCCTCTCACTGGTAGTGTGTGTCGATGATTTGGCTGTACATTTCCACGTGATAAGCCGCTTCGTTTGGCTATCGTTTGTGGCCAGGTCGCTTCTGAAAATGAAGCGAATAGCCCAATGGGGCCTTACCTTATTACACAGAATTTTGTTTTAAATTTGTATTGTTTGAATAATTCTCTTACCTCTCCTATATTTTGCATTCTGGACATCTGTCAAAAAGAGCTTCATGGCTCCATCGGATTCCTCCTCCAGCACAAATGAATATTCTGATTTTTAACTTCCTTCGCGCACCTGCAGCTAGCCCCAACCGTGCTGATCGGAAATCTCCCCCCCCCTCTCTTGTCCACCCCCCCCTCCCTCAGCTGGCTGCTCGGCAAGAAGACACGCGGTGCACCCCCTGAGCCGCATCGTGGGGGGCTTTGAGGTGGTCCCGCACTCGCTGCCCTTCCAGGTGTCGCTCCTCTACCGGGGGTCCCACATTTGCGGAGGAGCACTCATCGCGCCCTCCTGGGTCCTGACCGCCGCACACTGCTACAAGGAGTACACGCCCCCCCCCCCTCCCCAGCCGCCCCCCCCTCTCTCTCTCTCTGTCTCTCTAAATCGTCTCAAGTCCTCTTGTAAATCCACGTGACTTCTGTGTGTCTAGGGGGAGCGGCGGTGCAAGGGTTTTAGCACGCGGCGACACGGGTTCGATTCCCGCTCGCGGCCAACACCGGCGACGATTATCTGAACCGGTCCTGGGACTCGCCGAGGTCGACTCGGCCTCAAATGGCTAACCTGGTGGCGATGTGTAAAATATCGCCACCAGGTTGCAAAGAGACACGGGCATTCTAGCGACCTGCTCGGCGATTTGTAATGACATGGTTTGTGAACTATGATTTGCTCGTTTCAATCCTCGTGTGGGTGGGTTTGGTGGACCTAACCAGTTATATATATTATGTAGTATAATTGCGTGTCGAACTAGGGCCCGTATGGTCAAGGGGAGTGAAGTCCTTGCCTGGTAACATCTGGGGGCTCGCCAGCATTTATTCCAGCAAGCCCCGACTCTGTTGCTGATCCAGACCCTGCAAGTCGAAACCGGTCCGTGGCTTTCTTGCACTGAATTAAAACGCTGCTGATGAGACACTGCATGTCGAAACCGGCCCGGGGCTTTCTTGCACTGAAAATGCTGCTGATAAGACCCTGCATGTCGAAACTGGCCCGGGGCTTTCTTGCACCGAAAACGCTGCTGAGATTGCACACTCCCAGAAGGCCATACGGCTCAATGTTTTGAGTCAGAAATACTTTAATATTTTAATGTGGCGAGACGTACGAAGACCTTTTTCCCCGCTTGCCTATTGTTATCCGGAACAAGCAAAAAAAACGCTGGGCGTTGTTTCTACACAACTACTCGCTCGGATGTGGACAAAGCTGTCACCAGGCGATTTTCAACAGCGATGTGATTTGGTGCAGACCCCGTCTCTCGGGTGTGGAAGCCGGCTTGCAGCATTGGATGAGCCAAGGCACTACATTGGTTCCCTTTGCTCCCCCCCCTGCCCTCTCGTCTTCTGCCAATCAGCGTGACCCTGCTGAAGGTGGCGCTGGGCGTGCACAGGCGCTCGGAGCACGAGGGCACGGAGCAGGTGCGGCTCGTGAGCCTGGCGGTGAAGCACCAGGCCTACAACGAGGTCACCATGGACAACGACCTCCTGCTGCTCAAGGTGCCTCGTGCGTGCGGAGGCTTCGGTGGAGGACGCTTGCACGCGGGCGTTGCCCTTCTTTGTGGTACTCGGTAAACGTGCCGACTGTTGGGCCAACATTGGTATGTGGTTTGGTGCCGTTGTTGGACCAAAGTTGGAGCAACGTGTTAGGTAACCCTGCAGCACCTGTGCCGTCGCCGCCTCGGTTCCACGGTGCCATAATCCATCTCACTCCCGCGAAGTGTCCGGTGTTTCCTCGTTCCATCTCTGATGGGCGCTCCTTCTGGACACGCTCTCCCTCCCTTTGGCTGCCATTCCGTCCCGAACCAGCCACACGTTCTAGCGCTCTCCCCTTCAACGGAGGCCCTTGCTCCAGCAGTGGCGTGAGCTTGCAATTGCAGGGCTCCACATTTTACCTCTTATATATATTTTAAATCCTGAACGAGACACTTGTTCTCCCGCCTCGCCCTGCCACCAACCCCCATCACTCCCTGTCCACCTTCCCCCCCCCCCCCTCGCAGCTCAAAAGCCCGGCACAGGTGACGAGGGGCGTGGTGGGGCTGGTGGCCCTCTCGGAGAGGGCCGTGGCCCCGGGCACGTCGTGCTTCGTGTCTGGCTGGGGCATCACGGCCGAGGGCAACTACATGCTGTCCGACCAGCTCATGGCCGTCGCTGTGCCTGTTGTGGCGCAGGGGCTGTGCAGTTCCTACTACAGCGGGCAGGTCTCCGACGGCATGCTGTGCGCTGGCATCGAAGAGGGTGGCAAGGACTCGTGCCAGGTGCGCCCGACCGCCTGCGCGTCCGCGCTAGCGGGGTACTGGCGGCGTAGCACGGTTGGCCACGTACGGTGCGAAAGAGGTTCAACGTACATACGCACATGCTCTACAAGCCTGGCGAACCCACCCCCCCCCACCACCACCTCCACCCTTATGAGTTCGATTCCGGCTTGCGGTCAACACCGGTAATGAATATCTGCATTGGTCCTGAGCCTCTCTCCTAGGTCAACTCTGCCTCAGATCAATACCCACTATGATGTGTAAACATTGCCACGAGGGAGACAAAGGTGGCCGGCCTTCATAGGTACTTGCAGCACTTTCCCCAGAAGCCTATTAAGGTTACACGATGGATCTTTGTGTGAGTTTGCCTGACGCAGGTGCATATTCTACCCGTAGCATTTGCACGAATGAGATAAAAAAAAAAGATTCTTCCGCGACCCAATGTACGCATCTTGAGCATAATAATCGATGCGTGTGGATGCATCGTTACACCCCCCCCCCCCGCAACCCCGTGTCGACCACTCCGCCCCTTGCCTTCCCTCATCCGTCGATCCCCTGTGTGTGTGTGTGTGCGCGTGTCCCCTCTTACCCTGCGTTCACCCCTCTTCGACCTCAGGGTGATTCGGGGGGCCCATTGATATGCAACGACAAGCTCGCGGGGGTGGTGTCGTGGGGGGAGGGCTGCGCACGTCCACACTTCTTCGGGGTCTACGCCAACGTGTCGCGGTACGTCTCGTGGATCCGCAAGACGATGGCGACTGCCCGCGACTCCCGGCCTTGTGACCACCGCCGCCCGTGACTAACCGGCCGCGTGACGGCCGCCGCCCGGACACGTTGATATCGTCTCGTCCGTCATGCTTCGGTCATGCTTCGGTCATGCTTCGGTCATTCGTGGGCAGTTGGCCAGTCACGCTGTCATGGTCATTGTTGAATAAAAAATTTATAATAATATTTTGCTCGCTAATTTTTACGTGACTGGATGAACAATTAACACCGTCCCCTGCACCGTATCAACTTAGGGACCACGTGGGCCCGTGTGTGTCCCGTCTGTGCACGGTACTTTGGCCGTGCAACTTTTCTGTTGCACCATATCCAGCCAAGGCGTTAGAACTTATGTGGTGATGCTCACTTAAACTTGCACCGTGCCACGGTATTGGGCCCCCTCGAAAAGCAAGAACAACTCCGGGAGGCTTGAGGAGGAACCACAGACAAGCAGGGAAAGGCAGCCACGTTGTGAGCTAGCGCCAAATAACCCTCCTCCCCCCCCCCTCCCAAGCTCTGCGGTCCTCTATATATATATATATAAAGATGCTTTGAGCCAATTAGTGGGTGTTTACATGTGGGAGGAAATAAACGTGTGTGGGAGGGAGCGACACTATCCGATGCAGATGGAAGTGGAGGCCACACTTGCTCCTGGCGAGGTGAGGTTATTTCACCACCTCGACGCCCACGGGAAGGGTCACAACTTTTGCCCGATCTAGCAACCCTCGCTGCCTCCACACAGCTGTGTGATCCACACAGCTGTGTGATCCACACAGCTGTGTGATCCACACAGCTGTGTGATCCACACAGCTGTGTGATCCACACAGCTGTGTGATCCACACAGCTGTGTGATCCACACAGCTGTGTGATCCACACAGCTGTGTGATCCACACAGCTGTGTGATCCACACAGCTGTGTGGATCCACACAGCTGTGTGATCCACACAGCTGTGTGATCCACACAGCTGTGTGATCCACACAGCTGTGTGATCCACACAGCTGTGTGATCCACACAGCTGTGTGATCCACACAGCTGTGTGATCCACACAGCTGTGTGATCCACACAGCTGTGTGATCCACACAGCTGTGTGCACAACTACAATTTGCAGCATGGGACATAACACAAGCACAGGACTTGTATTTTTCATTTTTAATCTAATTTATTGCAGTGTTTAGCCATCAAGTGGTATAATAAATGTAAAAAAAAACTTTCTATTAATTGTGCACGTGTTTTTATTTAATTGTTGTGTGGATTAGACTTGTAGACTTCGTTTTTAACGTAGATTTTTCGTTGCATTCACAGCTGGGTTGGACCTTTAGGTTTTCCGCGGTCCCAGGAGGCCCTCCTCAATAAGCCCGGCTCACTCGCTGGAGTCTCACTCCACAGTATTCCCTCGTTATTTACGACCTTGCTATCTGCGATTTTGGCTATCCGCGAATCACCCCTGGAACTCAACACGACTGCTGCATCGAGAGAGAGAAAGTAATGAGAGAGAATGTGGTGAGAGATAAGGCGACGAGATGAAATGAGAGAGCCTATTTACGTATTTATTTAAGGTAACGCATTAAAAAGTTAGGCTTTCGTAAGCCATTGTCGTCATCTGCAAGATATATCCCTCGCGAATAACGAGGGAATGGTGCATTTCAGTGGCGTTATTGACTGGGCCTGACTCTTCTAATCTTACGAACTCTAACCAACCCCAGACATCTGATGTCCTACAAATGCACGGTTGTATATTAAAGTTTTAGAAGCAGAGTAATGCGCGGGACATCTCAACGCGAACAATTAACATTGAAGCAAATCTCAAACGTCACCAAAATTTAGATCGGGAATCTGTCTCTTCACCCACGGCATCATCTTTGCCACGTTCGTGTAAAAGCTGCTCTTGATGTTCTTCCCACAATGCTGTGCCACTCCCCCAGCCACGATGCCAACCTGTTGTGGAACGAACACATCCTCGGTTTTAACACGCTTTCGCGAACAATATTAGCCGTCTTCTTGGTTCTTTCGGTAAAGTCACGTAGAATGGAAATAATAAAATAATAAAAATAAAACATTTCTTCACCTGAAGACGGCTGCTTGCGTTGTGGCCGAAACGTCGTGAGAATTATATTATTTTATTACGTTTTGTTTTTATTATTTTATTACTTCCCTTCTACGTGACTTTACCGAAAGAACCAAGAAGATGAATCCCTGCAGTCACGAAAGCTTTAAATCGAAAAATAATAAAATTATTCTCACGACGTTTCGGCCACAACGCAAGCAGCCGTCCTCAGGTGGAGAACAGGTCTGTCGAGTCATTCAGACTCTGTCTTCTCGACAGACCTGTTCTCCACCTGAGGACGGCTGCTTGCGTTGTGGCCGAAACGTCGTGAGAATGATTTAATTATGTTTTATTTGTATTATTTTATTATTTCCATTCTACGTGACTTTACCGAAAGAACCAAGAAGATGAATCCCTGCAGTCACGAAAGCTTTAAATCGGAATATCCGGTAGAGGTTTATTTTTAGGTTTGATCCCGTAAATATAAATGTGTCGTTAAACCTGCCACCACCCCGACATTGCCAATTTAGAAAGATTTGTGGCTATCAAATTTGAGCCAAATGTGGCTTTCACCTGATGATGCTAGTTGTAATTACTGGTGAAATATTGTGTGTTTACTCTCCAACACACCGGTGTGCTGTAGTGGTAATGAATTGGCATGTTTTGTTTAGGTGACAAACTTTACTAATTGGCTGTGTCGGGTGGTCGCGGGTTTAATGGCACATTTATTTGCGATCTAACCCAAAAAAACGTATGTAAACACAACCTTCTTTAAGACATTTCGCGGACACCCCATAACGTTCTATGCCGGTGGAGTGCGTTTGCTCCTCGACTTTGTTTTAAAAAGAATACCAAAGTAATATTTAATCTCCCGTCCATATCCAATAGGCCTCCTGAATTCACTACTGTAACAGTACAAATGTGGTTTTCAGTTTGGTGTCCTTTAAAAAAAAACGTTTTAAAATATTTCCAGCAGTTCGCCTTGATAGCAAATCGAGGTGATGTCATTGCAATAAAAAAACTGAAACTTCTCTTTTCCAAATGCATATTGAGTTGCACCGTAACACCCAGGTTAAATACTAAAGAAGAGGGCTAATATATTAGTACTTGAATTTCTATTGCACCCATAACTCAACATCTTTAAGGGATCATTTTTACCATGGGGTTCCGCTCCCCCTGCCGTTCTGCTGGCAGCTGCCCCCACGTGGCAAGCGGCGACCACAACACTGGCCTGCAAGTGGGAATTGAGTCTGCCACGAGCGGAGGTCATGTTGTGATGTTGCTACTGGTTAATCCAATTAAGTAACTTGAAAGTACATTTTTTTCTAATTTGGCAAATTTGGATCATGACGCAGGCACCACGTGACCTGCTGTTTTTTTTCTATATATCACCGGATCTCTTAATTTTCATTGTAAAGCAGAGGACGCCCCCTAAGACAATCCGGCAATGCCCAGGTGTGTTTTGAAATCACCTGAATCCATCTTCTGTTTTTTTGCAAAACAAGAGGTCCTCCGGAATCACCTGCACACAACGGAGTGGAGGGGGGAAATTGAGGGATTTATATTTCATGCTGTTGTCTTTTTCCTCCCCCATTTCATGGCAACTGTGCTGTTGGTAATTGTTTTTTTACCCTTCTATCTGGCAACAAAACCGACACCTTTTTTTACAAGGAGTCATGTTTGTATAGACCACAATACCTGCAGTCATAATGCAAACAAAAAACATAACTCTAATGTATGCACTGTCCGTGAAGTTGATTGGTCCACACCCGAGACAGCTTTCCTTAGAGCCTAGTCTCACCCATAACTCAACATCTGGCGTCATCTGGTCCAACCCATGTGAGACTAGGCTCTAAGGAAAGCTGTCTCGGGTGTGGACCAATCAACTTCAAGGACAGTGCATACATTATCAGAGTTATGTTTTTTGTTTGCATTATGACTGCAGGTATTGTGGTCTATGCAAACATGACTCTTTGTAAAAAAAGGTGTCTTTTGTTGCCAGATAGAAGGGTAAAAAACCAATTGTCATATTTTTTACTGGCAAATGAGGTTCCAATGGTGTCCTGTTGGTGTCATGCTGCTAGACACACGTCTGCTGAGACATCGCGAAGAGTGATGCATCGTGCTTTTGGGGAATGATCTGTGGTAGAAGATGTCGCAACAACGAATTCAGATATCTATTTCAGTGATTTTTTTTTTGCCTCCGATTCTTGGGTATGTATGTTGAACTTCTTTCGCACCGTACGTAGCCAATCGTGCTAAGCGGAGGTGCGGGGGAAGGACCACAAATTAAACACAAAGCAGTTCTATAGAAATAAGTGTTTAAACTAGATGATGATTTAAAAGTACATCGCTCCAGTGGCTTCCTAATATCGGAAGGAAGAGTGTTTCAGATGTCCGCACAAGAGCATCTGAAAGCGTTCGATACGGCGACTGACGTTCAATGGTTAGCCCAAAGCCACTGCGAGGATGACGGGAGTTCGCGTGATGGTTTCTGCTCCTTGGTGAGATCGGCAAGGTATTGTGGTTCATTTGTGGCAAGCACTTTGTGTGTAAAGAGTGCGACCTTTGGGATGATGAAGAGGAATGTTCTTTGCATGGCGGTCAAAACGAATATTTCAGTGCGGACTTCAGAGTACCTAAAACGTAGCTCTATGTGAAGACTAAATATAATGAATCTTAGGCTTTGCTTGCCTAAACAAATACTGCTGAATAATATTGCTCTGGTAAGCCACATGGGCTGATGGACTTACAGCAAAAATCTAGTTCAAGTAATGTCGAGAAAAAACATAGTAAAATGTATGAAAGTTTTTTTTTTAAATCCTTTATATTAAGTTCGCTTGCTTGCTTGCTTGCGTGCTTGCGTGCTTGCGTGCTTGCTTGCTTGCTTACGACCGTGCAAACCTTTCGGTCGCTTTTTAACCCACTTCCCGTGATCCAATCGAGCTGACATTTTGCACACAGACTCGTTGTGCGAGACAATTAATGTTCGTGACATTTTTTTTCCAAAATTTGACACTGTTTAGGAAAAACAAATTAAATATTTAATTACCAATTGTTTAATACTGCAGACAATCATCTGACCCATAGGTGGCAGCCATCTCAAGCCAGAGGACGAGAGGACTCTAGCCGCCACGCATATAAAGGATTTAGAGTGAAAAACTTTGTTTTTACGGGTTATACTTATTTTAACGTAAGCTCTGCTGGCTTTAACGCAGCCAAATGCATACCTCGGCATGTGTCTGCTGTTGCGTTCCATGCACACAGCATGTTCTCTGTGATATGTTTCTCTGCTTTCTCTTCGGTGACGTTAAATCTGGCCATTATGTCTTTCAGGCAAACTTCCTTTTTCTGGAAAACAAAGTACACGTGACACTCAGTAGGAATGCAACAATTTGCACTCCATTATAATTACAGAGACTCCTCTACTTATGAATTTTCGACTTACGAACTTGTAGAGATACGAACAAACCTGCCCATATGTCCAGTTGCCTGTTTGGACCGAGAGTCGTAAGTTCAACCGCCACGCAATAGATGGTGGTAGCGGCATCTACAACTGCATGAGATGATACAACGTTTAAAGCCATTCCCCGTGTTTGGAATCGACAGGGGTAAATTTGACTTACGGACAATTCGACTTACGAACAGACCTCTGGAACCTAACTCGTTCTTAAGTAGAGGAGTCCCTGTGGACGATTTCTCACATTTCGACTGGGGAATGTGGCTTTGCTCTTCCACGCCGGCCAGACATCTCGGAAGAGGTAGGACTACCAGAGGTCGCAAACGGGTTTTGATTCCTTACCTGTACCCGTACCCGGCCGCACCAGGGTCGCGAATGGGTACCCGTACGGGTACCCGTTCCCTACCCGTACCCGTACCCTACCCGAAATGAGTGACAAACGGTTACTCACCAGTGACTCACGGCCTACCCGTACCCGTACACGGCCGGGTACGGGTAGCCGGGTATCGGGTAGAGTACGGGTATCAGGTACCCGGTTGCGACCTCTGAGGACTACCCACATTTGACCCCGACACATGCCACCTGGCGGTTGACCGCATGGCTGTCACTCACCGCATATTGCACGGTAGCTTGCTGAAGCTGCTGGGCGTGTTTTTTATCACCCTCCAGAAGGCCAAATCCTGTGACTGTAAGTGATGTATTTTTTTTGACATCGATGAGGTTTTTTCCTGAAATAAAAAAAACATGTAAACATCTAGGAGAAGCAAGTAAAACAGCTACAAGACCAAACTGAACATTCACATTAGTGTTCAGTACAGCTTTGTATGCCTGTGAGACTTGGACGTTAAAAATATACTGACAGAGATAAGATATTGGCACTCGAAATCTATTGCTACAGAAGGATGCTGCATCTCAGATGGACCCAAAAGAGTGATCAACGTCGAAGAAAAATGTTGCACATCGAAGCCGTGTCGGATTAAGCTAGTGCGCTAACCTTAAACACCCAGTCGTTCATAAAGTTGAAGGCGTTATAGTACTATAGTAATAGAGCAAGTGCAGAATCACTGAATCGGAATTGATAGCTTGAAAGCATTTAGCGCGGGGCCCTTGAAAGTGCGTGGCCCGTAGCTACTACATGTGTCGCTACTTTTGCTACTACGATAATCCGGCACTTTAGAAGTCGACCTGATGCAGGAAGTGGTGAGACGGAAACTGGCATTATTTGAACACGTAGAATGAACAGGAAAATAACAAAAATTGCTTGCAAAAATGGAAGGAACCGGAAAGAGAGGAATACCTAAGAGAGGATGACTTGACGACATCATCAGAGATTGGTGTTAGAAAGATGTGGTCACTACTTGAGAATATTGGCACAAGACGAGAGGAAAGTTGAAACGGATAATGAAATGTGCAGTGGACACCGACGGGCGATCTGCATATGGAACTAATGATGATGTTTCAAAATGCGGAGGTGAAAAAACAAGACGACGCGGAGATAAATCGACATGACCACGGGGAGAATGTGAAAATGCCAAATATACAGGTGTCAGGGTCGGGATCGAACCGACGACCTCCTGCATACCAGATGAATGAGATTGCATCTCGCCAGTGTGGTTCCCCAACAAACTAAAAGCGGTTCTCATTCTATCTCGATTCTAAAAAGTTGCTAGCCGTCTGCTGTTTAATGCAGGCCAGCCGTCTGCTGTTCGACGAAGCTAATATCATCGGCTGACCATTACGACAAACACCTCCAGCACCCGGCAGCTTTAGACAATCGAGGTACAATGGGAGCTGCTCCATTCAACTCCTAAAAAACCTTCCTTAGCGCGTGCAGCAAAACGTCTGGAACGTTGTGTTGAACAGCGCTCGGCGCAAACCAGGAACACATCCGTCACAGTTCCTATGATCACTGTTTCATTGCTTTCATGGCTTTATTTTGGTGATTTCGAAAAGTGTATTGGTATAGCCATGTTTATTTGTTGTAGTACAGAGTTAGACGGATGGCCTTAATCTAAGTTGTCTTGTGGTTGTTGTTGGTTGTTTGACTTGCATCCTACTGGCATTTTTGCACACAGCGTTGGTGTACGGTGATTTTCTTCTGCAATATTTTGCTGTCTTTTCTTGGATTTTCTGTTTGCACTTAGTCACATATTCACTTTAAGATGTTTTTTGTTCATGTTTTTGCTTTTTGTTTGTTGCGGTTGCACCCGATTCAAGAGCCGAATGGCTCACAGGGCTACACCTAATACATGAACTTAAATGAACTTAAAAAATGAACGTCGGAGTGTTAATGGGTAATCATTGTTCATGGCAAGACGTACCATGTATGTTGCAGAGCGTTGTCCAATCCTTGTTTGCCGAATTGAGATCCAGGATCGCATTCGTTTCCTTTGTACATGGCAAGCAAATTGGCCTGTGTGAAAATGAAAGCGCATTTAGAAGAACAGAAGTCCGTTGCGACACACGAAAAAACCTCGGAATGCCGTTGTTGGGGAACACGATGGGATTAGCCGTCGTTTGGGCTCTTCGTACATCACAGGGGTGCCGGTCAGTGGCGTAGCTAAGATATTTTGCGCCCGGGGACGAACTATAAAATTGGCGTCCCCCCCCCCCCGTTTAATCACATACCAAAATGTAATTACATGACATGTAGGCTGTGTGTGGCGGGATATATAAACTTTTAGGTTGAGGTGTAGATTTGTGCAGTCGTTTCAGGCTGCCGCGCCCGCCGCAATAAGTTATAATGTGACGTTGTAAGCCTCATTTTGGCGCCCCTTTACCTTGGCGCCCGGGGACACATGTACCCCCCTGCCCCCCCCCCCCTAGCTACGCCTCTGGTGCCGGTCACCACCTTGACCAACACTGATGATGACGGGGCAGCCCGCGACGTAGGAGAAGGCCCAAACGCGGGTGCTCCAACGTACGCTACGACATGACGAACACGCGCCACTGTGTGCAACTGATGAGGTGGTATTAGAGAGGGGAGGAGGGGAGGGGGTATATACAGGGTGCTTCAAAAAATGTTGTTGTAGCAATATATTGGGGGGGGCGGGCATTTTGAGCATATTTGAATATTGGTGGGGATAATTACGGCCTCGGTACAGATAGTGGATAACAGTTAGATACTGCACTGTTTCTCGTGCGGTCTGATGAGAATTAACATGTACAAACATTGTGACGAATAGTTTTAATTTGGAATGTGATTAGTTACCTATTCGTAGAGAGAGAGAGAGTAGCAGACAAACCCTTCAATGGTCACGCATGTGTTACAACAAACTCATTTGTATTAAAAGTAAAACATTCAAAAATGTTGCGGACACATTGCATTCTGGGTAACCCTGTTGCAGTGTGGTCTCTTTATCTAGTTAACACAAAATTATAATTTGCATGATCCGCAAGTAAAACGTTATTACACACTTCACACGCCTGCTGAACACGTTCTATGTTATGGAGAGAACGCTGATTAAAATGACAATACATACAATACATACCTTCGTATGTGTGGACATGTGTGACCCATGTAACTGGTACGTAACGTATAAAATGTTCATTCAAATGAATGTCCTCGCATTTAACTTTGATACGAAAAAAACGATGTATCATGGAGTATAGTGAGAATTGAACATTGGAACACCCAACGTTAGCAAATGTATACAATACATTTGTACAGGCAACGAGCTGAACCACGTGGGTAATGTAATATCTGAGCAGCCGACCCTATGCAAGAATGAGATTTCTGGCTTCGAAGAAGACAAGCAATATCTGTTTTTAATGACGAACTGCTTACCGATATGTATATCCAAATGTTAGACGCTTGCTAAGTTTAATAAGGGCGATGTCGTTATCCAAATTTTCGATTTGTACATGAGCGTCTGGGTTCCTGTTGTAGCCTTCGTGGATGATAATTTGTTTTGGAGAAATTTTATCTCCTCCCAGTTTGTTACTTGATCCTAAAAGCAAGAAACATGTATGCGTTAATTCATGTGCACATTAACTTATGACAATTAGGATAAGGAGTTCAACTTATAGTGCTTACATGGCTCAGCAACACAATGTCTTGCGATATCGTATCAACGACGCCAATCCCTGCTGCACTTTCCAAGTTGGGCCCGCAGTGCGACACAAAATGTGTTCGCACAATTGCACCATGACACCTCCTCTTTTTCGAAATAGCAAAACCGTATCTTTAACGTCCACTTTGAAGCAGATGGCGTGTGTCTATGTTCAACACGTCTGCAGTATCCTACGTATACACTATGAGACCTCCTTTACTAGTGGCAAAATATAGTAATAGGTTTTTACCCTTTCAACTGGTACAAAACTGACACCTCTATACAAGGGGTCACGTTTGCAATAACCACAACACAAGCAGTCAAAATGCAAACAAAAAGAAACAACTCTGACGATGATAAAGATATGCACTGTCCTTGAAGTTGATTGGTCCACACCCGAGACAGCTTTTCTTAGAGCCTAGTCTCCATTGGTGTTGGACCAGATGACGCCAAAAGGCGTACAACTCAAAAACAGCGCACTATCAGAGTATTGAGAGCTCGGGGTAAGCATTTACACTATGAGACCTCCTTTACCAGTGGCAAAATATAGTAATAGGTTTTTACCCTTTCAACTGGTACAAAAACTGACACCTTTATACAAGGGATCACGTTTGCAAGGACAGCGCATATCATTATCATTATCAGAGTTGTTTCTTTTTGTTTGCATTTTGACTGCTTGTGTTGTGGTTATTGCAAACATGATGCCTTGTATAAAGGTGTCAGTTTTGTACCAGTTGAAAGGGTAAAAACCTATTACTATATCCTACGTATGTTTAACGTCTTTGGCACCGTGCGTAGCCAACCGTGCTAAAAGCGGAGGTGCAGGTGGAAGGACAACAAACTAAACATTACAAAAACATTTACAAGGGTGACCGCTAGGCTAGAACTGCAATGCCCCTGCAACAATAGGCCGTGTTGCCACCCGAAAGCCACGGTAATCATGTGATGAAGGCTTTGCTTTGGCAGTACCTATCACAACGTCAATCGATCCCCTCCACCATTCGTCGTCAGTGATGGCGAATTCGTCGAAGCAATGGGCAGCGGTGAGGATCCACTGCTCGGCAATGATGGAGCCACCGCAAAATGCTGGTTTTACGTGATCATTTGAGATGTGCACCTGAAAAGAAAAGTTAAGTAAAATTCGTTGGTTCTTTCGGTAAAGTCACGTAGATAGAAAAGAATAATAGAAACATTATAAAAATGATAAAATAAAAAAAAATTAATAAAAAACGAAAACTCACGATGTTTCCATCGCAACACAAGCGGACGTCATCAGGCGCCTAAATTAATTTATTTTATTTCTACGCGACCTTACCGAAAGAACCAAAGAGTATTTTATGCATTCATTACACTTTATACACCACCTACGTTCACCATAATTTTCACTCGTAAGGTGCCTTTCACGATGCCTAAAGGTGCCGTGGACGAAATGAGAAAAGTAAAATAAGAAATAACCGGGTTGCGAAACACTAACCAGAGCAGGAATAAAACTACTTTGGAGAAAAAGCTTTTAATAAAAAAGTATCTAAAAAAAAGTAGCTTTTCAGTCAGGAATTTTAAAAACAACAACAACACTGACAGACGTGTACCTCCACAGAGGTACCTCCACAGAGAGGTACCTCCATAGAGAGGTCCACGCCTGGATCACCGCAGCAACCCGTTTGCGCAACAGTGACACTCCACAAACGCGTTTGGAAAGGTGCACACGTACCCTCATACTAATCTGCGCTTGCCATGGCCACAGCTCGATTTTAGTGGGATCGCCTCCTGCGATCCGAGCACGCGGTATCCTGAAGGTGCCTGATGTACCGCACTGCGTAAACAGCTTCTCATCTGCAGCGCAGGCAACAAGGAACACCACACGCTTTCATTTCACTCACTCTGTCAGTTGTTGTTGTCGTCGTTGTTGTTGTTGTATCCTCAAATCTTGTAACTCAATTTTAACCCACTTCCCAATGTGGTATCGACTGCAAACTTGGTATACTTATGTCATATCTCCAACGCACGAGCAGAACTTCAGGCTGACAAACCCCTGCGAGGCAGGAGAGGCCACTGCCAATCTTAAGCAGGCGGAGTTCTGCCATCGGTGTGAACGCACGACCACGCAAACTCCAAGTGTACGAGCGTCAGGATCGGGATCGAACCCACGACCTCCTGTATACCAGGCGAGGTAGTTAACATCTCGCCCAACCTCCACTGCCACCCGATTGGCTCGTGCCTGATAGCCTCACCCCTGATAATTGTTTTTTTACCCTTTTATCTAGCAACAAAACTGACACCTTTTTTTTAACAAGGAGTCGTGTTTGCATTGACCACAATACCTGCAGTCGGAATGCAAACAAAAAACATAACTCTGATAATGTATGCACTGTCTTTGAAATTGATTGGTCTACACCCGAGACAGCTTTCCTTAGAGCCTAGTCTCACATGGTGTTGGACCAGATGACGCCAAAAGGCACACAACTCAAAGACAATGCACCAGCAGAGTATGAGAGCTCGGGTTAAGCATTTACACCATTGGAACCTCATTTGCCAGTAGCAAAATAGCAAAAAATGTGTTGCCAGATAAAAGGGTAAAAAAACTATTATCATATTTTGCTACTGGCAAATGAGGTTCCAATGGAGCCTCAGCCCTGTCGGAGTTGTCAGGAGCCACCTGCAGCAAGGCTCACCCCCGATTGGCCAAATCTTTGGAAGAATTCCATAACATTTATCCCCCCCCCCCACTTCTTGAATGAAAGACTTCACAAGCCCAAGCTGATTCCTTTACCCACTTAGCAAACTCAACACGGATCCCTCTCCCGTACCGATCTCTCTCCACATGGAGAAACATTAAGAGCGACGCAGGGGTTGCTTCAAAAAAATGTTAACACTTCTGAGAAGTTGCAACAATACCGCAAGAAGTGCGCCTCCCGGCTCTGGAGACCACCTGGAGAGGATTCCAGGCACGCGCTGACAATGACGGCGAACAAGTGGAGACTCGTTGAAGCTATTAACATACATTTGTTACCATGCTACAGCGTATTATCCGTTATTTTTCCATAAAAAACGATAGTCCCATGTAAGTGTTAACATGTTTTTGAAGCAGCCTGTTTTTCAATGTTTCTCACAGCCCACGCACTTTGATATCCCCGTTACAATGAAACTCGCCCGATTGCAACGATTTGGGAAATATTAACCCGTGCGTCGATTCGACTGCGCGATATTGAAACAAAGAAAGCATCACCTGCGTGCAGCATTTTTTCAAAAACTTCGTTCAGATCATCGTAATCCCTGAGAATGAAGGAATGTTGCTCGTTGGGTTTCTGCGACGCAATTGTTTCGATCTCGTCCTTGTAGACGTCTCCCATGCCAAAGACATAAACGTCTGGACAAACGCAAAAAAAGATACACACATGCAGAAGAGTCACTCGAGAAAGGCGACCTGCTCGAATGAATCGAATGGGCGGGTTGAAGTTCCGCAAGAACACATTCCTGCGGAGGGAGCTGGTAGGAACGTTGGGTAGCTCGGTCAATGGCCAGCGTCAACGGCGGCGTGGTGTATTCCGCAAATATGCCCGACTGTGAGGGCGGGCACAAGCCGGCGTGAGTAGGTTAAACGTTGAGTTTTATAAGGGCACCACGGGGTGACCAGCCCCTTCCCACCCAGCCACACCCCTCCCACCCCCACCCAGCCCCACCCTCCCCACCCAGCCCCTCCCCACCCTCCAAACCCAGCCCCTCCCCTCCCCACCCAGCCCCTCTCCACCCTGCCGTCGCCACCCAGTCCCTCCCTTCCCACCCAGCCCCTCCCTGCACGACGGACGGACGGACACAATAATCCCCTGTGGGCTGGTGTAACCAGGAGGTTCCTACCAGTATAACGTATGCGTTGTTTCTCCCGAGGTGATGGGGGTGTTTTTATTATTGCACGCTTTTATTTAACTCACACTCTGTGTGTTGTATCCTGAACTCTGTCTGTTGTCGTATCCTCAAATCTTGTAACTCAATTTTAACCCACTTCCCAATGTCGTATCGACTGCAAACTTGGTATACGTATGTCATACTGATGACAATACTATATTCTATCATTAAAATAATATATTTTTTATTTTAAGCAATCTTTTGTATATCTTATGTTTCGGCTTGGGTCTGATTGTCCATGCTTAAATGATGTTGGCTATAAATCACCACGGCCCCTTACCTTGTGGCAAGCCTCGGGGCCACTTCCATTACTCGTACGGTACATTTCATTAAAGCGTGTTTAAAAAAAAGTATTTTTAAATATTACTTATTGTGTGTTTTGGGGGGTAGGTGTTTGTCTACGTTTGGGCCCTGTACTGTGTTCCAGCACCACCTGATTGTTCGCTTAGAGGTACGTATCCACATTTTTTTTTACATTATAGGATTGGTTGGTATTGAGTCTTGTTGGATTAATTTGATCAGTATTAATTTGAAATGGCCAAAGGAAATGCAAGGTTTAAATACGCAATTTAGCCTTTTTTTCTACTTAGCTATGATTTGTACTAAATATTACTCTGACAAGATCAGCCTTACATTCGAGTACCAAACCCTAATGGGTGTGTAACTCTTACTGAAATCGAAATTGACAATAGGTTACAGAATTATTAAACGTCTCTTTATAGACGGAAATGCCATCCTATGTTGTTCAGTAATAATAATGAAAACCCAGGAGTATTATAATTGTTCTGCTTCTTGCAGGTTGTGCTCCAACTACCCATGTGTTCTTTAGGGATGTCCAGGTCAATGTTGTCCATCAGGAATTTGCCCGGTGGAGGTCCAACATTGGATCTTCCTTCAAACACGAAATAAATGAGAAGGGGAGGGGAAAGGTGGGGGAGGGGGGGGGAGACACAATCAGAAACCACTTTTTTCATATTTAGCATTATTGTACTTATATACCCAGGAGAGCCTTGCTGAATCTCAAAACTATTTCTTCAGGAAGGTCCTCGACACGTTTTTACATGGGGGGGTGCAAGTTAGTTTTCAACATTGAGATGTCCAGTACTAGTTACATAGCGGTTATTTCAATCTATGCGAGGAAAACAGAGAAGCTGTAGGAGATCATTGCAGAACAGGGGAAGGACAATGGAAAACTCTGCTAAGAGCACAGACAAAAACAATCAGACCAAGGACCTGTTTTGCTACGAGGCGTGAGTGTTACCACTGTGCCACCCGCCACCCCGTAATGACTCTGCATGTTCACAATAGTTTGAAACTACAAACACGAAACGGATGCGGAGTAAACTGCACGCCACGTGGCAGTTACACATTCCTGCGGAGGGAGCTGGTGTAGGAACCTTGGGTTGCTCGGTCAATGGCCAGGGTCAACGGCGGCGTGGTGTATTCCGCAAATATGGCCAACTGTGAGTTTTATAAGGGCACCACGGGGTGACCAGCCCCTCCCCACCCAGCCCCACCCCCCACCCAGCCCCACCCTCCCCACCCAGCCCCTCCCTACCCTCCCCTCTCCACCCGGCCCCACTCCTCAAATTTTTGGATGCACGACGGACGGACGAACACAATAATCCCCTGTGGGCTGGTGTAACCAGGATGTTCCTACCAGTACTAGTTTAAAAGTGTACAGAGTTGATTGTGTCGGTTCAGTCATCATTGCACGCACATTACATTTTGTCTTGCACTTAATTTCCTAAACGGCAGCTCTGAGAATGAAAATATCAGTTTGACTGTCAAGCAACGAACAATATTCTCATCACATGCAGAGCGAGTGGAAAAGTGCTGCCTCCTGCTATGTTATCCGCTTTTGGTGGGCTGGTTTATAACACAACGGGCCACGCTAGCTCTTCAGAGATCTGATTGAATTCTATGTCCCACGATGACATGATGCCAAAAAAAGCACAATCAGGATAAAACTGGGACGAACAACAGTTGCATATATCGCGGACAAAAAAAAGTTTGAACTTCTGCATCGGGAGATTTGCAACGCGGGCACGACTTTGTTTGCGAGATGTTCGGTTCAGTGATTTGGAGCCTTGCGCATGAAAAGTTGCTGTTGCTTCTGAGCCAAAGATGTGCACGTGTGAACGGCGGCTCACCATCTGTGAGAAGTATAATGGCTTGTCTGATATCCTTAAACGTATTCTGATTAGCCACTTTATATAAAGCCATTGTATCCAGCACCATCTTCAAAGCCATGGCTGTATTTGTACCCGGAGTATCGTCGAATTCTGTATCATTGTATACGGGAGATGAAAAACAAAACAAAGGAAAACATCATTGGAACCTCATTTGCCAGTAAAAAATATGATAATCGTTTTTTTACCCTTCTATCTGGCAGCAAAACTGACACCTTTTTTTATTTTGATGACGCCTTTTGGCGTCATCTGGTCCAACACCATATGAGACTAGGCTCTAAAGAAAGCTGTCTCGGGTGTGGACCAATCAACTTCAAGGACAGTGCATACATTATCAGAGTTATGTTTTTTGTTTTCATTATGACTGCAGGTATTGTGGTCTATGCAAACATGACTCCTTGTAAAAAAAGGTGTCAGTTGTGTTGCCAGATAGAAGGGTAACAAACCAATTATCAAAGGAAAACATTTTAAGAAATCCGTTTTTTCCTCTCTCAAAATGTGTGTTCGTTCATTCGTTTCTCAGTCCGCTTGTCCTCCGGCACAACATTACTACACCATAAGACAAAGATCCCCCGTATAGCCTTAACATACTCTCTGGTTCTTTCGGTAAAGTCACGTAGGTATAAAGTAAAATACAAAATTAAATCACGACGTTTCGATTGCAACACAAGCAATCATCATCATCAGGTGGGAAAACCACAGCAAGAAAACATTTTGCTGGAGCAACAGGAGAGCTTCACCATTCTTGCCCGATGAAGCTGATTGTAGTTATCAGCGAAACGTTGTACTCAAATTTTAAAATGCTGTTGATTCTCTCTTCAGCACACCGGTGGGCTAAAGAAGTCAATTAATTTGTCCTTTGAAAAACGTGACACATTTTTTACTGTTTGGCCGTGTCGGGTGGTGGAGGGTTACGACACATTTATAAATAACGCGATCTGACCCAAAAACCTACATTATGAACCAGCAGTATTTGTTTACAAAGCGGGACTTTCTTGATTAGAAGCAGGAGGTTACAACTGGTTGAGAGAGAGCCAGAAAGTGCTGGCTTCAGCTGAGGTCGCAGTCGACCTCACGGCACAAGGTGACAAGGTGGACAGAGGCAGAGGAGATTCAGGAAACGCATCCCCGTTATTTTGACTGCCTCGCCGGCCGATTGAACTGGTGACCTCTGGATGTTCCGACCACAATCATGAATGTGACGCAGTGCTTGCCAAAATGTACACTTACCGTAATAATCCAGATCATCCAAAATCTTGATCACAGCGTTGGGGTCATTGGACCAACTGTCACGCACCGAAAGCTTTAAGGATGGATTCGTGGCATACATCACGATGCTGTACCTTATATTCCTGACGTACATTCCGATCTAAGGAATTTTGACGGAGACATTCACGAGTCAGGATTAAACAGTTCGCCACCAATGAAACCCGCGCCACGCACGCACGCACGGCGTGAAGACGCACATCTTCTATGTCTTGCGATGATCAATTGGGTAAAATCGATTCTTACACTCGTGATAGACGCTTCAAATCTGTGTGCGCGGAGAATCGACGATGCTAAATAACACGTGTGTGAAATGAGAAACAATTCTAGATTTGAAGCTTTCGTGACTGCAAGGATTCATACTAGTAGGTCTTTTCGGTAAAGTCACGTAGGTATAAAAATAAGTAATAAAAATAAATAATAAAAGTAATATAATAATATAAGAAATAAGAAGAAATATTATTTCTTATATTATTTATATAAGAAGAAATATTATTTATTATTTTATTTCTTTTTATTATTTATTTTTTACCTACGTGACTTTACCGAAAAGACCTAAGAAAATGAGAAGCAAGTCTGAAAAGTGTGCAACAAGCCTTGGCCGGTTGTACAACTCTCCAAAATTACACCTTCAATAAAAAATAAAATTTCCTACAGGGATGCAAAAACGCAGAAAGATGTTCCTCGCTAAGGGAGATAAGGCAGAGCTATATAGGAATGATGCGAAGGAGGGAGATAGGAAGAGGTGGAGAGCGGAGGGAGGGGGGTGAGTGAAAAGGCATGGAACAGAGAAATAAGAGATAGAGCAAAACGGAAAGAGGACAGTGAGGGAAAGCAACTAGCAGTGGTTGAGAGGATTAGGGAAATCGAGATGAGAAAAGGAGAGCTGGGAGGAGAAGAGTGAGACGTCAGAGAGAGAGAGAGAGAAACAGAGAGAGATGGGGGGGGGGGGTGTGGGTGCGATACAGTGGAGGGAGGAGAGGAATAGAGAAACAGATAGAAACAGAGACAAAGTGAGGAATTGAGATAAATTAGGATACTCGGTACAGAGAAGGCACGAGAAAGGTGGAGAGAGACAGGGCTCTGTATAAGATTCATTGTTTTACTGGCTGGCTGGCTGGGAGGGACCTGGGGATTTCAAGGGATTTCACATCCAAAGGATGTGTGGGTTGCTAGCTATTGAAACATATAAAATTAATGAAGGTCAAATGAGTGCGTTACTGATTGAACTTTATGGTTAAAAATAAATTTGGATTAAATCATTTAAATGAACAATTATATTTAGTGCAATACACAATTAATGTTGTTTCAATGTAACACATTTAAATCTGAAAATAGAATACATACAGTACTAAATTGGCCCTAGAAATCCAAAAATCTGGTATCCTAAGAAATGAAAATCGCAACCCATCCTTAAAGTATATGAAAGGTAAAGGCGCGGACCTGCAACTGCTGGCTCATGCCACCGCCGTCAAAAAGGCCTCCACTCGAGCGAGTATTTGGTCTACTCTTCCACACTGACCAGATGCGTTGGCAAGAGATGGACATAAGCACACCTTACCCCTGTCGATTGACGAACACGTGACCTTCCGATCAATTAACCGTGTCGTACCCATATATACTGCTGGGCGGACAAAGGCAGGGGAATTTAAGAAACTTGTCCTTATTGTTTGAATTGCCGCCCGTGGCCATCGCATTGAACTGGCCGCCTCTGTGGTGCAAATCTGGTGTGTTGACCGCTAGAACACCGTGGCAGCTCCTCTAACATAAATGTTGTGCGTAAATGGTTCATGAGAGCCCTACTGCAACTTGCGAATCTCCACGCATCACGTCGGCAAGCATGGAATGTTGGGCCGACGCTGGTTCCAACGGTTCAAAACCACATGCCGAACGTTGGCCTTACGTTCGCACGCTTACCGGGACCAGCGGAAAACGATAATGAATGTACTGCATTGAATCACGACCCGCAATCGTGACAAATAATATACTCAAATCGCTGGGGTGTGAATCAAAAGATGCAGACCCATTGTGTCCATGCACCGTAATTGGGGGTGAGTTGTGTGCGGTGCGTTACCCTGTTGATGAGATCTTTGACAAAATTCAAGCCCGTGTCAAAGTCTTCCTTGCCAACGCTGTAGGAGGCATCAATGACCAGGTAGATGTGCGTGTCGTACAAGCTCGTCAAATTGATGGATCGTGCCATTGATTCTTAAACACACACACACACGTACAAATCCCAATATATTAAACGGCACAATTTGTCAATGTAAATGCAGGATATGTAATACACTGGTCGACACACTTTTTCTGGCATAAGGTATTCCAACGTAATTTTGGGGTGCTGATTCCAAATATGGCATCAGTTTTTGTCTATCACATCAAGTTTTTGAGATATCAAATATTGCATTTTCAATAAAAACTGCAGAAGAAAAATATTAAATAAATGTGGATATCTACATAAAATGATATTATAAACACACTATCCTAAAAAAATACAGCACCATATTTTAACACTAAAGCAGACCCTGACTCGCAACAACTTGCAATCATAAGTGACAGAGTTAATTTCGGGTAAAATCAATGAAAATGGGGTATGCTGATAGCATAAAAATGAGATGTGATAGAGCAAATCTGAGATCAGATTTGGAATAAGCAACCTGAAATTAGTCTAAAACAGCTGCAAAAGTCCAGTGATATTAAGGGCAATTAGGCTACGTATTGCTAAACTCAGGGTTTAATTTTTATTATATCCCCTCTCTTGGGGACGTCCAGGACCAGTTCAGATATTCGCCGCTGATGTTGGTGGCCATGAGCGGGAATCGAACTCAGGTGGTCGTGAGCGACTTCATGGCACCTGTGCTTGACACCTGGACTGCCACTCCCCACGCTGTAAGACAAAGACAACCCTGATAGTCTTCACACACGTTTGGGACAAGGGCTGTTAGTGAGGACTTATGAAGGCTGGCACGGTACACAAGGGGGTGGGTAGCCGGCACCACGCCCGACCGCCTTTGTCTCCCGAGTGGCGATGTTTACACACTGCACCAGGTACTCATTTGAGGCTGAGTCGACTAAAGAGAGGACCAGAACCGGTTCATAAAAATCGTCACTGATGTTGGCCGTGAGTGGGAATCGAACTCGGGTCACCGGGTTCGTAGTGCAGAGCGCTAACCACTGCACCACCGCTTCCCATACTGTTGGACAAACACGCACACACAAATCTATAAACGTACATTTAAAACACAAAGTAAGAGTAATATTTCGTGTGTTGCTTGCAACACAGTACCTGATTGCTCAACACCCATTGACAAAGTGACTTTGCTGAGTGCAAAGGACACATCTTCTGGATTGTCATAGCTGTAAATATCTGTGAGGATACAAAGATCAAATAATAATTAGTGGCGTAAGATATAATAATAAAGCAATTTGTAACGTGCACAACATTTGACAAACAATGACAATGATCATGAGGTATGTCTGCTCAGTGTCATGCCAGGCGCGAGAGGTGGGGCCTTTAAGTGTTTCTTAAAAGGTGTAGACTCTGTCAAGGCGCTCTCCTCCTCCGACTCAGCTTCAAAAGACGCTGCCAAGCTTAGCAGTGTTCATTAGGACGCTGTCTTTCCGACAGCCCTGTTCTTCACCTGAGGAAGGCTGCTTGCGTTGTGGCCGAAACGTCGTGAGAATTTGATCTTATTATGTTTTATTTTTATTATTTCATTATTTCCCTTCTACGTGACTTTACTGAAAGAACCAAGAATATGAATTTATGCAGTCACGAAAGCTTTAAATCTAAAAATGTCCAGTGGTATTCCAGACGGCCGGGGCTGCTGTCGGATAATCAGCGCCCAGCAGTGATGGTCTTAGTCCTTCGTGTAGAGCAGCGGTCGGGAACCTATGGCTCGCGAGCCATATATGGCTCTTCCGGTGACGGCATATGGCTCCCAGACAATTTTGAGTTGAAAAAAATAATAATAAAACAATAAAATCAGTTTGGAACTGATTTTAAAATACTTGTGATATTGCTTAATAATACTGTGCCATTTTAAAGTAAACAGAAATTTGTTTTGAAGATAAAATTTCTCGGGTCACGGGTCCCGTGACCAGAAGTCGCATTAAAAGTAAGACATATTTAATTTATTATACGTTAAAAATACTATATGGCTCTCAATGAAATATATTTAGAAATATTTGGCTTTTATGGCTCTCCCAGTCAAAAAGGTTCCTGACCCCTGGTGTAGAGAGAAGGAGGTTGACAGTTGTGCTGAATGATACTGCGATCATAAAAGCATAGGAGACATGCACACGATATTCCCTCATACTGGTAGGAACCTCCTGGTTACACCAGCCCACAGGGGATTATTGTGTCCGTCGTGCAGAGGGAGGGGCTGGGTGGGGAGGGAGGGGCTGGGTGGGGAGGGGAGGGTGGGGAGGGGCTGGGTGGGGAGGGAGGGGTTGGGTGGGGAGGGGAGGGGCTGGGTGGGGAGGGGCTGGGTGGGGGGTGGAGGGGTGGGGCTGGGTGGGGAGGGGAGGGTGGGGAGGGGCTGGGTGGGGAGGGTGGGGCTGGGTCGGGAGGGGAGGGTGGGGAGGGGCTGGGTGGGGAGGGTGGGGAGAGGCTGGGTGGGGAGGGGAGGGTGGGGAGGGGCTGGGTGGGGAGGGTGGGGCTGGGTGGGGAGGGGAGGGTGGGGAGGGGCTGGGTGGGGAGAGGCTGGGTGGGGAAGGGAGGGGCTGAGTGGGGGGTGGAGGGGTGGGGCTGGGTGGGGAGGGGCTGGGTGGGGTGGGGCTGGGTGGGGAGGGTGGGGCTGGGTGGATATGCACTGGCGAGATGGGCAGAGGGAACTCGTGGATTGGCCTCATTATTTCACGCTGCTAGTCGTGATGTAGGCCCACATCGACTGCCTGCTTTCCTAGATTGTTTAGCGGCCGACTTTCAGTCTCCTGCCTCCCCGACTCCTAAATATAGATTTACGGTTACTAAATCCTGGATTATAGTGTCGAAGACTGTCGTTCGGTTTCAGTTCAACGTACGTTTAATCGGGGTTTCAGTCCTCTGTATAGCATGACAACTGTAATTGCCAAGAATACTAGCATAAGTACCCGGCGTTGCCCGGGTGAAAAATATATTTCTTAATAACCTTACATATATACACAGATGGGCTGCTACCCCTGCCCCCCCCCAGCCACGATCTCCTCGGCCGCTGTGCAGTAATATGTACGGCCTATAGTGTGGTGGGGTGTCGAGGCCTAGTACCGTGCAGAGCCTCCGGCCTCGCCTAAATTGCCCACCCGGCTGAGGCTGGGTTTTAAAAATATTTCAAAATTACTGTTAATAATGTAACTGCAGTGCGTACTGACTGTGGTGGTACCTGCTTTCACTGCAGCAGTGCATACTGTGGTGGTACCTGCTATGATTACAGCAGTACATGGTGACTCTATAGCAGTATTTATGGACTGTATAGCACAAAGTACTCACCTGTCAGAGTGAATTTACCTCAGAGTCGCGTGTTAATGCGTGCGCATATTTTTAACGGGAATTAAAAATGGCGTCCACCCCGCAGCAAATGCGTCGCTACCCGTTGCCAGGGGCAACCGCCGTGGAAAACCAAACGGACAAATCGCGTCTCGCAAATCCCTCACATTTCGTCCAATGAAACTGCGTATGGTATATATATAGATGGAGCACACAAGGGAGCCACTGTGAATCTATAATGTAAAGTTTCAACAATAACCGAGAGGAACCAGCCACGGAATAAAAAAAAAAACCCAGACTTCCAAAGAAGGTAAAAATTAGGTCGCAATCAAAGACAAATTTTGATTCGTAATCGAGTATTTGTGTAACACGGGGGGACCCACAACACCTTCTACCAAAGACTATGATTCCTAATCGAGTACTGGTGCAACACGGGGGGGGGACCCACAACAACAATGAGGTCACACTCTACCAAAGACACATTCTGATTTGTAATTCAGTACTGATGTAACATGGGGTGGAAGGGGGCACAACAACAATGAGGTCACACTCTACCAAAGACACATTCGGATTCGTAATCGAGTGCTGGTGCAACACGGGGGATCCACAACAACAATGAGGTCACACTCTACCAAAGACACGTTCTGATTTGTAATTGAGTACTGGTGTAACACCGGGGAGGCCCACAACAACAATGAGGCCACACTCTACCAAAGACACATTCTGATTTATAATTGAGTACTGGTGTAACACCGGGGAGGCCCACAACAACAATGAGGCCACACTCTACCAAAGACACGTTCTGATTTGTAATTGAGTACTGGTGTAACACCGGGGATGTCCACAACAACCCACCTTCACAATCCGATTCCTTCCCCGTCCATTCCCCGGTCGACAGGCAGGTGCGCCGGGTGTCCCCGGACATCACCAGCCCCGGGCTGCAGGTGAAGGAGACGACTCCTTCAATGTCGAAGTCCACTCCCATCTTGCGACCTCCGAACGGAACGCCGGGGTTTCGACAAAATGAACCTGTGTATGACCCCATCCACCCACCCCAAAAATAAAAGAAAACGTTGGATGGCTCAAAAAGGTCCGCACGCACCACCGATTAGCAACGGTTGGCCATGCGTGCGGTGCGAAAGAAGTTCAACGTACCGTGCGTGCGCATACCTGTCAACCCATACTGTTTACCTGTGTTGTACAGGGAAATTGAGTTTTCAAGTCCATATGGCATAACAGCCGTTTCAATACGGGCACAATTTAGTTTTGTCTTTGTGTTTCTCCATTGTGATGGGACTTTGTAGGATGAACGTTGAAATGTATAAGGGGCACGGGCTGACCAATAATATCTGAATTGGTCTGTAGCAAGGTAGACACTGATAAGGGGTTGACAGGTATGTGTCTGCAACAGGTCAGAGAGCCGAGTTGGCATCACCCGAGATCCTGTGACCATGAGCTCAGGACTTAAGCAATGCTATACGTGGCCTAAGCCAAGACCTGTCTTGGCTCCAATTCCATAAGGAAGTTAAGACTGTTAAGCATCGTAAAGTTAGTTGAAAACTTAGGTGTAGCGAGGAGGCGTAAATAATAATCAAACGCTCCAAAGAGCTTCACTGTGAATGTTCGTCGCGGTTGCCATGCCCAGTCTAAGTGAGCGGGCGAGCTGGTCGACAATTGTGATGCATTTTACAGACGTGGGTGGACACGTACTCTCGTCGTCGCAGGCGGGAACAGTGCCGCTCCACTTTCCATTGGCTTGGCACGTGCGGTTACCAGACCCGTAGAATAAGAAGCCGCTGTAGCACGAGAAGGTGACGGTGTCGCCCACATTGTAGGGGTGCTTGCGTGGGTAATACTCCCCGTTCTCAAACTCCAGTGGCCCCACGCATGTCATCGCTGTCGGCGGGGGAGGGAAGGGAAAAAGGAAATAACATTGGTGGGTTAGGAACGTGGCTGGCATGAGTGGCCGATTGGCTGGGCCATGTGTAAGTTAGGCATGCAACTTGAGCCGAGAAAAATCAGTCGATTAATTGTATCAAACTAAAGTAAATAATCAACTAGATTGTTTGAAATAATAGGGGGGTTTCCCCCTTTTTTCTGGCGACAAAACTGAAACATTTTGCAAGGAATCGTGTTTACGTCCACCAAAATACTTGCAGTCAGAATGCAAACAAAAACAACACTCTGATCATTTATGCATTGTCCTTGAAACTGATTGGTCCACAGCAGAGACAGCTGGTCGAACACCGTATGAGACTAGGCTCTAAGGAAAGCTGTCTCTGGTGTGGACCAATCAGTTTCAAGGACAATGCATAAATAATTATCAAAGTATTGTTTTTTGTTTGCATTCTGACTGCAAGTATTGTGGTTAACGGAAACATGATTCCTTGCAAAAGGTTTCCGTTTTGTCGCCAGAAAAAGAGGAAAAACCCTATGATTATATTTTGGTACTAACAAAGTAGGCCTCATGATGTAGATTGTTTGTCTTGTGTCGCCACCCGGTCCAGCTCTGGGATGCGGGCAGGGGGGGGGGGCAGGAGATCTGGGGTGCATTCAATGGGCAGAGCACCCAAGAGTGATTTTACTGGTAGGAACCTCCTGGTTACACCAGCCCACAGGGGATTATTGTGTCCGTCCGTCGTGCAGGGAGGGGCTGGGTGGGGAGGGTGGGGAGGGGCTGGGTGGGGAGGGTGGGACTGGGCGGGGGGTGGGGCTGGGTGGGGAGGGGCTGGTCACCCCGTGGTGCCCTGATAAAACTCAACGTTTAACCTACTCACGCCGGCTTGTGCCCGTCCTCACAGTCGGGCATATTTGCGGAATACACCACGCCGCCGTTGACCCTGGCCATTGACTGAGCAACCCAACGTTCCTACCAGCTCCCTCCGCAGGAATGTGTTCTTTAGCACGACCCGTTGGTAGCCCAGAGCGCATCGTGTCAGGAGCTAACGGTCTGAGGAGCTTGCCTCGCTGTTTAAAGAGAGAGGGACATTCACTGGTAATGCAGCGGGCCCGTCCACGTTGGTTAGTTCGAATATTTATACGTGAAGACAGAGTAGGGAGGGAGAGCGGGGGGAAGGGGGGGTAGAGAAGGAGGGGGGGTTGTGGTTTGAAAAATATTTATAAGGAGCAGGTAGATTACATTTTGACTTAAAACTTTCGTTACTGCAGGAATTCATATTCTTTGGTTCTTTCGGTAAAAGTCACGTAGATAAAATACAAAATATTAATAAAAAATAAAAACCACGACGTTTCGAACGCAACGCAAGCGGTCGTCATCAGGAAAAGGGGGGGGGGGGGTGATGGGGGGGGGTATTGCGATCTAAACGTCGTGGTTTCTATTTTATATATTATAATTTTGTATTCTATCTACGTGACTTTATCGAAAGAACGAAAGAATAGGTAGAAGATTGTTAAGGTCTTTTTTTTTCAACTCAAAATGTTCTCACTCGTGGGAACTGACCCCACGTGCTCCCTCGTGACGAGCAGCTGCTGGATTTGGATGTCCTCCGAACTTAGAAGAAAACCCGTCGCAACACATATTTAAAAAATATTGTAGCAAATAGTCTTTAATTCATGGGACCTCCTTTGCCAGTACCAAAATATACTAATAGGGGGTTTCCCCTTTTTTTCTGGCAACAAAACTGATACCTTTTGCAAGGAATCCCCTATTAGTATATTTTGGTACTGGCAAAGGAGGTCCCATGATGTAGCTGCTCACCCGAGCCCTCATTACTCTGGTAGTGCGTTGTCTTGGAACTGTGCGCCTTTTGGCGTCATCTGGTCGAACACCATATGAGACTAGGCTCCAATGAAAGCTGTCTCTGGTGTGGACCAATCAGTTTCAAAGACAATGCATAAATTATCAGAGTATTGTTTTTTGTTTGCATTTGACTGCAAGTATTGTGGTTAATGTAAACATGATTCCTTTCAAAAGGTATCCGTTTTGTTGCCAAAAAAAGGGGAAAACCCCTATTAGTAGTCTTTACTTGTTATGAATTACAAGGTGGGGGGAGGGGGAGCTCAGCCTTCTACAAGACCCCCCTCCACCCCCATCCACCCCCTCCGGGTCACTAAAGGGGGGGGGGGGCATTTGTGTGCGTGCGAATTTACGGCGGCACGATGCTCTCCTCGCTTTCTGGTTGTAGGCGTTGACGAGCGGCGACCAGTCCCCGTTTTTCTGGCAGACGCGCGTGTGGACAGGAAACGGCCGCATGGCGTACGGGCACCTGTACTTGAGCACGCTGCCCACCGCCGGCTCGTCGGGCATGCTGGTGTTTCCCCCCAGGATCGACACCCCTTGTTTGGTGCACTGCAACCGAGCTGTGGGTGGAAAGAAAGCACGCGGTCAGTCGTCGTCGTCGTCAGGACCATCACGGCCGCCGTCATTGTCAGCGTCACCTTTGTCAACGATCGCCGTCAGTGTCACCGCCGTCAAGAGCGCATCGCGACCCGTGCCATCGATGCCAGCACGCCCTCGTCATCCGTTTGATTCCTTCTGCTGAGGCACGTAGTTATTGCAAAGTCGACGCTTGACATTCTATCTTAGTATCTCACCACCGCCACCTTCTTGGGTTAGGGTCTTCCCATTGGTCACCAACATCGAGGTACCACTCCAATGGCTGTCTCAGTAATTTTACTCCTACACGTGTCCCACCCATTGCAAACTCGTCTTTCCAATTGCATCTAGAGCAATCGCTTGTTATGTTGAACTACAAAGCTCCAAAAATGCTTACCCTATCCTCCCAACAGAGCCCTGGCATCCTCTGCAAGTGGCAGTTTAATTGTTTTTTTTTCGCCAGCCAAGCCAGCCTTTTGAGATGTGCGTCTCATCTCCAAGGGGCTTCTGCCTAGATGGCAGCTGCACTTTGGTGACACTTAAACGTTACAGAGAAAAAAACAAATAAAATTGCTTGCTCACGCCACTGCCGTCGGAAGGGCTTCCGCAAGAGGGACATTGAGAGGGCCCCCTCCAGAGTGTATTTGACCTTCTCTTCCACGCTGACCCAGACATCTTGGAGGATGTGCGATTACCCACAATTGGCTCCACCACAACTAACGCTGCCGATCATAGACAAGTCGTGGTTTACCCAGTTATGCCGCTGGGTGAACATACTCCTACTAAATCATGTTTTAGTTTACCAAGCAAGGTCCCCTGAGCTATATAGCTATTTTTTAGAAGCGAACTGGCCACGAATGATAGCTCAAGGAAGTGGCTTATCAGCCATATACTCTAAACATATGTTTTTAAATGTGGAGGGAAAGACCGGAGGACCCGAAGAAAAATCCACGCGACCACGGGCAGAGAGACATAAAAACTCCACGACCTCCTGTACACCAGGCGAGGTAGTAAACATCTCATAGCCACCGTGATGATGATGAGAGAGAGACGCAGACTCCAAATATACAGCTGGCGTCAGAGTTGGGATCGAACCCACGACCCCCTGTATACCAGGCGAGGTAGTTAACATCTCATAACCACCGTGATGATGATGAGAGAGAGACGCAGACTCCAAATATACAGCAGGCGTCAGGGTCGGGATCGAACCCACGACCTCCTGTACACCAGGCGAGGTAGTTAACATCTCGCCACCATGGCACCCCACAGGCAGGAGAGGAAGATTTCACAAAACTCGCCCCTCTGTTTCAACTGCCGCACCGGCAACCTCTCGACTGCCGTGGCAACCAATTAACACCGCGGTAGCATCCTAAAAACAAAGCAAAACCCCCCCAAAAAACAAATGTACACGCGTGAAAAGTAATTCGACTTACCGTCGCAGAGCTGCTGATGCGAAGCCCACACAACAATGCTCAGAACCACGACAGTCAACCTCGCACGGGGCATCTCTGCGCCGAGACGAGGCTGCGCGGGAGAGAGCGTGAAGCCAAGCGGCATCGACGGGGCGTGCGTGTTGTGGATGGCACAGCGGTGTCTGCTCAGTGTCGCCCGAAACCCAAGCCAGAATGCTTGCAACCTCGTTAAGCAGCGAGGAGGCTGGAATTTGTGCAGATCGTGCCAACCCTGGCACTTATCAAAGTCCAAACGGGAACCAAGGACTTGCGGGGGGTGGGGTGTAGGGAGGAAAAATTGTTTGTTATTCTGGAACGGTACTGGCAGATAAAAAATCCCACTGGCAAAGTTTCTGTTAATCATTCTTTAAAATCCGTGTTTTTTTTCATGGGCCCGATTTAAAAAATGTTTCACGTCGAACGAGGTCGAACATTGTTTTCGCAGAATATTTTCCGTCAGATTCGTGTGTCATTTATTAATTGATGTGCTATGAAGAAGAGGCCCCACACCTAGGATTAGCATGGTTGGCTAGGTACGGTACGAAAGAAGTTCAACATACGTATGTACGTACACTCACTGACCCGCTCACTCACGGTTGGCTACATATGGTGCAAAGAAAGTTAAATGTACATACATGGGTCAATGCCCTAACAGACACCCGTTATACTTTATTCTTTTTAAGTCTACAGTGTCATTGACGAATTGTTTTGAGTTTTTACGAATGTATTTGCAGACATGAAAGGAGATTTTTAAAAAAAATAGAAAACAGGTCCATAGTCTCTGCACGTACCCGTTTGTCTGAAAAGCGAATGAGCACATATTAATCATTGCCAACGTTGTCCATCAAAAAGTGGAACTGATGCATAATACAATGGCATTAAATGTAAATAATTATGTTATTGGAATAAATATTAAGTGGAAAATAATCACCGTTCTCCAGGAAAAAGAATATCACTTTAAATAGGCAGCAATATACAGTGTGCATATCTCGGACAATTATTTCAGGGATATCGAGATCAAAATGATGAACTAAAGAGTGAAGGGAGAGTGGGATAGATAGCTCTTAGAAATTAAAATGAAACGAAAAGCTACAGTTGAAGCGTACTGTGATGTCGACGCGGACAGGGCTAATATCAGTGGCGAGCGATATCTGCAGCAGTGCAGGACCACGACTCCTTCACCAACACACACTGACCCGTGTGGTGAAGTATGGTCAAACAACCCATATGAGCGACACGGCGTGAAATGACAAAGGGCTGTAAAAAAAACATGTCCATAATCACAATCAGTCATGGTCAATCCACTGCTGGATGATGGCCTCCCACAATCCAAAACACAAACCGAAACGGTGACAAAGTAAACTCATTTAAAGGTAACTCATTTGAAATAACAAATGTAAGAGCGAAGCAACACACGACACACGGCTGCCCATCGTAAGAAATTACAATAATAACAATTCATTTAGGCCTAAAACAACATTTCAAACGAAATTGTACGATTCCTGTAAACGTTTGCTGGAGCCATGGATTTTTTCAAACAAAAGTGAAGTGTTCACGGAGGTCACTCACTGGTGGAGGCAAACATTTGTGCTTGACAATCAGCCACATTCCGGGGAGCGGTGGAGATAAAACCGTTTCCCGTAAACCACGTGAATCGTCACCCGGGAGTTCACAGCGCGCAGCATGCCCAATGTCAATGTGCGGCCCTGCAATAGCCTCGCTCGTGATTTTAAGCTTTCGTGACTGCAAGGATTCATACTCGTAGGTTTTTTCGGTAAAGTCACGTAGGTAAAACATTAAAATAAATTAAATCACGACGTTTCGGAGGCAACACAAGCTCCGTCTTCAGGTGGAACCGTCACAGCAAAATTACTCTATCAAGTGTATCTCCCGCTCATCTTTGTGGTTCCTCCTCGCGCCTCTGAGTCGTTCTCTCCCTACGGGAGCGAGTGGATAGGAGAGACCTTTCGGTAAAGTCACGTAGGTAAATTTTTTTATTAAAATTAATAAAAGTTAAATAAAAAATAAAAAAATTCACGACGTGTCGGAGGCAACACAAGCTTCCGTCTTCAGGTGGAACCGTCACAGCACGATTGCTGTATCAAGTAAAGAGTTTTTTTTATTCTAGATTTGAAGCTTTCGTGACTGCAAGGATTCATATTCTTAGATTTTTTCGGTAAAGTCACGTAGGTAAAAAAATTTAAATTAATAAAAGTAAAATAAAAAATAAGAAAAAATTCACGACGTTTCGGAGGCAACACAAGCTTCCGTCTTCAGGTGGAACCGTCACAGCACGACTGCTGTACTTGATACAGCAGTCGTACTTGATACAGCAATCGTGCTGTGACGGTTCCACCTGAAGACGGAAGCTTGTGTTGCCTCCGAAACGTCGTGAATTTTTTATTTAACTTTTATTAATTTAAATTTTATTTTTTACCTACGTGACTTTACCGAAAAAACCTAAGAATATGCCTCGCTTGTGCCAATGCCGGCATCAGGCCCTCCGCTCGAGAGAGTCCTCCCCGGGGGGGGGGGGGGGTGGGGGGATTTTAGGCCTACTCTTCCAAGCTGGCCAGACGTGTTGCTGTTGTAAGATGTAGGAGCAACCGACACTTTGCCCCGTCGCAAACGACCTGCCGATCGGACGAGCTCATGGCGTCCCCACACGATTATTTATCGTAGTCTCTCGTTTCAGGCGAGAGACTGCGTTTGTTAGGATCAGGCCGTGTCGGGGCATACTTGGTCAGGAGGAGGATGCCGTAGGGCGTCGACTTTTTCCATTGCCGACGATGGCGACTCACGTACGATGCCGGGTGGATAGAGGAGGTTCGAGGATTAATCAACTTGATATGCAAATTCCTTTGTCAAGGCGCCCTTCCTCCCCTAACCCAGCTTAAATATACGCTGCCAAGCTTGGTGGTGTTCATTCAGACGCTGTCTTTCCGACAGACCTGTTCTTCACCTGAGGACGGCTGCTTGCGTTGTGGCCGAAACGTCGTGATAATTGTATTTTATTATGTTTTATTTTTATCATTTTATTGTTTCCCTTCTACGTGACTTTACCGAAAGAACCAAGAAGATTGCACCGTTCTGTTAACGATTCGCACGGTTGGCTGTGCGCGGTTAGAAATAAGTTCAACATACGTGCGTGCGTGCGTATGTGTCGGCAGATCGAATCGAGGAGGCGACCTTTCGTCCAGTGTGCTAAACCAATACACAGCAGCTCGGCACCATATTTTTAGGGAGACCAAAACATGATCTGTTTCTGCTTTTATCTCCTTTCGTCTATTTGTTCACGTCTCTATCCATGTCTGTCTTCTCGCCATATTTTTCTATCTCTGTCCTGTGTGTGCCTGTCGATCTCTAGTTCTGCGTGTGTGCGTCTTTGTATTTGTCTCTCTCAATCTTTTTCTCCATGTCTCTTCATCTCTGTTCTCTGTGCCTGTCTCTCTCCAGCTCTGTCCGTCTGTTTCTCTCTTCATCTCTTAATGACTGGGGTCTCTGCGTCTGTGTGGACGCTACCTGGTCTGTCGTTCCACACGAAGCTTCGGGTCTTCTCGGTCACAGTCACGGCCCTCCCTTCCCGATGCTTGCGAAAATGTGAACCCCCTCTAATAGAACATTTTACCAGGTTAGAAACATTCAGACTGCCCTCCCTGCAATCCATCCTGGGTTTAACCATCGGTGAGCTGCGTTGGCTGAGGCATGTAGCCTGCATGCCCAGTCACCGCATACCCAAACAGCTTTTGTTTGACCAGATAGAGGGGATGAAATGGGTGCGGCGCGGGCTAAAGAAGGGATGGACTGATGTGGTACAGGAGGATATGGAGCTGAGTGGACTTGCCGACCAGCGGTGTCGTGAAAGATGCATCTGGCCAGCTGGAGGCAATCGCCCTCCAACAACAGCATCGGGCAGATGATCAATGTCCACGATAACGAGCAGAGCGCCGGGTGGCCAAAACACAGCAGGGTCATCTCAGTCAGTCAACCCATGGCACCTGGGTCGAGTCACGCACTGCTGGGCCAAGTGCTGTTAGCGAGCACCTACGTCACACGGGGGAGTGGAGGAGGGGTGGCCAGCACACGCATGTTTTATCTGGGTCGTCCACTTTCCTCCTAACTGTTTAAACACCCATTCATTGCCTGAAGACATCTTCATATATAGAGGACCCTTAGAGCGTGGGTAATCGTTGGCACCGGCTCACTGTCGCCTAGCTCCTTCTGCCTTCCGGCTCATCTCTGGTTCCTCGTTGCGTCTTTCAGTTGTTCTCTCTCTCTCGTTGGGAGCAAAGCGCAACCCCGTCTGAATTGTTACCGCGATTGTTAGAATTAGATTGAGAAAAATCAAAGTAATTCACCCGTTCAACACGAGACACGCGGCGCTCCTTATGCTCATCGTCGCCATCATTATTAGTTGAAGTTTGGGTGCCGGAATTTTTGATGTGCCTCTATTTTCTTCACAAATCTGCTGGGGGGGGGGGGGGGGGTGTGGGGGGGGGGGGCTTGGGCTACTCAGGGCACTAGACCTTTGGCTTGTTTTGCTGAAGCCTATGTATGTATGTACAAAATGTTGACCTTCTTTCGCACACCCTATACGCAGCCGCTAACCGTGTGGATCGTGGGTGCGGGGCGAAGCGCGGATGTCTCCCCGGGTCGCCACGGCGAGAGCTCTTGGGGTGACGAATGCGGTTCAAGTTTAAGATGAAAACGGACACCGTGAGAGAAGGGCACGATATAAATCAACGAACATCAACGATGGCGGGTTCATCGTAATTTGCGAGATAATCGCCGTGTCGATTCATCGCCAATATTGTGACCACGGCCTCACCCCCCCCTCCCCGGCTTCATTTGATCGGCTAAAATATCATCGGCGAGATCGGTGATTCCTGAGCAGTCCACTCTGATCGTGACCTCGGGAGCGCGATCATGAGAGAGAGAGAGAGCGAGCGAGAGCGTGAGCGAGAGGTGGGGGTTTACATAAAGCAAAGTAAAAAAAAAAATTACGAAATAATGAACGAAGCAAAATGCCGACTACACCGAGCATCTTCTTGTTTCCACTGATCGTAAAAAAGAGAGAGCGAGTGGCGTTTCTCAACTTCGCCCAGCAGGCGGAGTAACGAAACCGTAACCCGAAAACGCGTTTGAATTTCCCCGGTCACTCGTTGCTCGTGCATATCACTGCCGAAGCGACAAACGTGCTGTCATTCTCTCAGATGTCACACGTACCACCACCACCA